GCCAAAGAATAATCCCGCTATGCAGAACAAGAAGTTAGGGAAATGAAGTGGAGGGTATAAATGTGTTCCAATAATCTGTATGTAAGCCCTGGTTTTCGACTGAGTCGTCAATTATGAAAATCCGATTTTGAGCTCGGATAAATCCTGTCCGGCTCTCAGACTCTCAATGCGGACCGGCTATCCTCCTTTTTCTTGGAAGGTGGTGCTTGCAATCCCGACTTGCTTTACCGGATCCAGTCCGTTGCGGTAACGTTCCACGCCTTCTGTCATCTTGAGCTCAGCCAGTCAAAGATTTCTTTCCGTTTGGTTGATCACGACCCGTTTGGTCCGGGCGAGGTCCTTTAAGAGCATTCCGGTCCATGGACTGGCGCAAGCCCTAGCTCAAAGATCCGGTCACGGGGCCCTTACTAGAATTAAGGCGCCCCGTCTTGCTAAACACTGGCTAGATTCCGACCTCGACCTCTCTCTTGCACTTCGTATAAAGAGAAGGTAGAAGTCTAGGCCGTTTTGCACACCACCTTTTGGCTTAGGCGTATCAAGGGATCTCGAATGTGACCTGAAGATAGTCTACTCCGCAACCCCGTATACTTTCCACCGCACCAACCCCCCTTTTTTTATAGAAGGACCTGAGAGTATGGAACAGGGGACGACATCCATGCTACTAATACATTCGTCCAGTTGTGCCGCGACGCTCAGTAACAGCTAGAATAGTGACCACTCTTGTTGGGTACGGACTGTATGTACATACATAAATACATACATCATACGTACAAATAGCCAAAACTATCTGGCTACATGAATAGGTGTGTTAAAACATTGGTAACGGTGTCTCATCAGGGACCTAACCCTTATGCCCTGTGCAACATGCATGTCAAGTCGATCATCCATGGCGTGCGTCTTTGCGGCGATCAACCCGCAGCAAGTGCCGTCTCCGAAGGTAGTTAAGAGGCAAACAGGCTTACGTAGAGTGAGCAAATGCATCTGCTATGTGGCACAGATGGAATTCAAATACGATCAAGGGGTATATATAAAATTGCCAATTAAGAAAGGATTTAGACGAGTTCAGACTGCCTCAGAGAAATATTCAGCATTCGATAAATCGTCCACCGGGAAGACATGGGTACATACCCCCTCAGGTGCTCTATGTGCACACCCTAACCCACCCTAGGCGCTTAAAGAGAGCTTTGTAATTTGGTTAAGATGGCTTTTTATATAGTCCGACTATAATGGGTATGTGCATCCTAAGCCGGCAGAGAGACTCCCAGACTTATAGGTTACCTGCGTCCTACGCACCCGCTCCTTTTGTTCCTTAAATACCACGCGGGCACCACATCATTTGGCTATACAGCCAAATTCCGGGGTTACTCGACAATGCCGTGCTGCAGAACCTGGGAGAAGCAACCAATTTAGGTATGTCAATATGTTATCTTCGTTGGATATCAAGTGTCTGTCCCCTCGCCATTCATATGTATGAGACGTCAATCAGCGGGGATAGTAAGGCCTTCTTCGATTGATCCGTCATATTATATAGGGTGGCGCGGGATCTTCTCGCTCTCCCACGCATCCCATCTTCACTTCCCGCTTGTGTAACCATGCCATCCTCCTCTAAAGCAACACACTGAATACATGCCCAAGCTGACAGAGAACTACCAATTCAATTTCAGCATGCAATATTGCATTAGATAGTTTCATTTTGTACTCTGAATTGCTTCCTCGTCAAACTGATTGGCACTCTGGTCTCGCATTCAATTCTTTGAGTCCAGCATACAGAGAAGTTCGTCGTGTGGAAGAACCACACCCGTGAGGCAGTGTGTATACGGGGTTCTCAACCTAATATTTCGAGGACTGAGGTCAGAGATTGTCACAGCAAAATCCGAACTCCTTGTTCACATCTATATTGGCCATTTCACTAAATTCAACTAATCCCACGGAGTACTCCGTAAATTAGTAGTTAAGAAGACACTCCGCTCGTGATACCTATGCCGCGTGAGAAATGTCAAGCTGATTGGAAGTATCAAGATTGAAGACGTTGAATACTAAGTGCGGAGCACTCTATATGGCATATTTTGAATAGCATCACTGGTCACGCTGCCGGGAACTCTGGATTGTTTATCATGACCAAGAAAGATTATTCATGCAATCAGCGTGAGCCACAATTGTCAACGGGCTCTTCCATGCGGAGTACAGAGTTCTGGGCAATAACGGAGTATCGGGGAACTCCTCTGGAAAGAAGGGTTGAAATTTTCGTGCCAATTCATAATCAGGCCAATTGAAGGCCGCGGTCCGGCGACCGGTGTGAGCGGATCAGAACATTTGACATGTCACTTTCGACAAAATGTCAACTTGTTGGGCCCTTTGTGCGACCCCATACCAGGTTTGTCTTTATTTTTCCCCTCCTTTTGTTGATCAAGCAGAATGAGAATGTTGATGAAAAGCATCAGGTAGCCCCTGCTGATACTCTTTACTTTTTTTCCAAACTGCATTAAAGCTCAGGATAATCAGACAACCTATAGTATGCCACATGGATGGCACGGCTTTTGAAGGGGTTGAGAAACGAAACTCGAAAACAATTTCGCTTTCAGCTCGGGTTGATACAAAAGAAACAAACAAAGACAGACTTGATACGGGAGTAACCCCATGCCCTATGCATTGCGCAGACTGCGGCTCAAACCATAGCGGGATCGGAACCGGGTTTGCCACAGAAGGCCAGGCTCTGAGAAGCGCTGACTGGCTAATCATATTAGGCTCGCACAGCTGTTGGTCCTGGCTCACCCCCACATAGGATACGCATCATATGGTTAGATCGACTGCTGCATTGAAGACTCTGATCCCCGCAGGAGCTATGCGCTTCAGTCAGATCAGGTGGTTGCACTACCTAGAGGGCATCTGTCAACAAGACACTATTCTGCAGACATTCAAATCGCTCAGAGCAACCACAGAATTCAGTATGACGCAATCCCTGAAATTAAATCACAGATTCCCCATACAGGACGGCAACTAAATACCGTGACGTCCTATGAATAAGAATAACTCCCGGAACAATCCCGCTGTTTCCTGTCTTAGCCTTGCCCTGGTTCACAGCAGGTACTTTAGGCAGCTTGCATATCACATTGGCCAGCATAGGATATCTGTTCCCAGCAGGTATCTCAACCAAATTTCATAACCATCCATCATAGGGACATGTCCATTAAGTCAGGCAAGCCTTCTGTGGACACCCGGTGGTACACTACATGGAGGGATGAGTGCTGTTTTGAGCATGAACTTCAACAATTTGGTGTCACAATTGCTTTCGGCTACATGCACTTTGCCCATTCCCCTCAAGTGCTTCGATCAGCTCCCTATTCAATAAGCAGATGTAAAACCCACTTTTTGTACAGATGCGTGATTGCACCATAAGCTGTTTAATCTGGTCCCCTGGGTCTACTATTGACATCCATCCCTTTAAAAAATAAGAGTATCATTGTTACTGGTAGCGAGCTTTTGGAGGCCAGCGTGACCTGCTATGTATTTCTCTCCTGCAACTATTACGGTCTTCATCATATCTAGCCTAGTCTTCCATACCCGCCAGAAACAGAGCCGTGTAGTACCGGCTTAAGTTTGAAGGCCAAAATGGCTTCGTGGGGACACGTTGCACTCTAGCAAAATTGACCTGGACGGTGGACAATCACGAAATGTTATTAGATTTCTTGTCTTTTAGATAGGGCAGTGTTTTATTGATGATAATAATGCCGGCATTCTTCCAGTCTTGAAGCGCCAAAGATTCTTCTGGGGTTTGTCCAGCATGGTCATCAACCGATATTGAGCATCAAGATGGTCCTCCTGGACAGGATAATTAACTCATAGATTTTGGAGAAAATCATACATAATAAATGCAATGTAGCCGACAGTGATGTTTGGATTGAAGCCTGGAAAGAAGCTCTTGGATTATGTCAGAGTATCTCATCGCGCTATGGTAAGTACGCTAAATGACTCTGCTAATTGTCTAGTTAGTCCATTAGTTATACTCCGTAGACTAGCACGAAATGTTGTGGTGTGATGTTTCTCTGTCATTGATTCTTCATTCAATTAAACAAACGTTTCTCTTTCGAAGCGCTTCAACCACAACGAATATATGCTTTGTTAAAGATGCCTGTGAGCTGAGCGCTGCAATTCTTGCATTGCCCAGTAATTCGTCTTCGATATCCGAAAAGTTGCCCGGGACTCCGGGTAGTGTTCCATTTTGCCCAAGCGGTGTTGTGGGTGGCCTTGTTGGATGCCTTTGAGATATGTGAACGACGCTAGAATGCACTCGCCCATGAAGAAACGCTCATCAAGAAACGCTCATCAACGTAAAAGAAAAGCTTGCCTGCCGGCAGCCAGCAAAAATTACATAATTTTCCTTGAGGCTAGGGTATTAAAGCTGCTAGGATTTTGAACGTGTTGCTGTAATTCATTCAATTCGACAGCCCGTCTGCTAATACATCGTGAACAATCGTCTTCAACCGTTCAAGCAAGGCTACATCCAGATAGGATTTGAGATGCAGGGTAGGTTGATGCAGGGAGTCAATCAATGCTAGTAACGAATCAAGATATCAAAAAAGGACTTGATATCTAGGGAGTATTCAAATGCAGCGATCAGCTCTGGAGCCAGATGGGATAGCTGGAAGAGTCTGGGCCATATTGACAATGGAAACAGACGTCGATATGAAGCTGGCTCAAGCACCGATCTCCAACAGATGAATATTTTTATTTGCTCACGTAAACGATCCAGTCGCCCGTGTTGCAACCTTAGATTTCGAACGGTGCCGACGACTATTTCGTTTTTACGGAACGGCTGGAAAACCCCATCGTCGATTACGAAGCCCCTTCATGTGCTGTCATAAAGACCTATTGCGTATCTAAGGAGCAGTCAACACTGGAGGGATCGTGGTCTTTGGGCTTTCAAGAATTTGAAATAAAACGAGAAGGAAAAAATTTGCTACTTAGGATTTCTACCCGGTTACCTCGATACAGAAGACCGCCTAAAAATCCTCGGAATCCACAATATAAACCATCTTTTCGCCGGAGACTTCCCGTCGTTGCATTTTTTCAATTCCTGCAATGATTGTATCGAGGCCCCCCGGGTTAATTTTTGGGGGGTGAGGCTTTATTTTGCCAGCGTGGATCAGAGTTTCCATGCGCTTAGCTAGATCAGAACCCCAAGCCCGTAACTCAGGGTCCGGAGGACTGCCGTATCCTCCCGGAAGAGCAATCTCCAGGCCTGTCATCCTGATTCCTAGCACCCAGTCCGCCTTAACTGCTTTTCTCATATTGGCGATTAGTTCGTCAGGGATAAGTTCGAAGCCGACATATTGACCTCCAGTACGACCGATAGCGGCGTAGCAAAGTTTAATCGACTTTGCTTCCGTGATGATATCAAGAACATAGCGGAGGGAATTCTTGGTGTACATACGAATATCATCCGCGCAGGTCGGCGAGTTATAGTCAAAGGCTTTCTCTGCTCCATATGATTCCACCAAGGAGAAATTTTTCGGGGAACAAGTTGTGATGACTTTGAATCCTGACCTGTACTAATGTGAGCTGCGACAGAAAAGGAAAAAAAAAAAAAAGGCTCACGATAGAATGTGATGGCTCACAGTTTTAAGAGCTGTATCGCAATTGTCCCGCTAGCAGTACTTCCCCCATATACCAGCACGTAAGTGGGTTTCCCAACAGGCTTCTCGGGGGATCCAGGTAAGTTCATAGTTCGAAACAGTGCCAGTCCAACGCTCCCGACAACACACCAACCAATAGCCACAGCGTCCTTCATTGAAAGGCCGTCTGGAATTTTCCATTGATGATCCGTATAGCCCGCAACATACTGCGCAAACGCACCGGATTCCGGGTTAAGAGGGTTTGAGGCATGAACGGCGCCTGCGACACGGTCCCCAATTTTGAAATCAGATCGAGCATTTGGTCCTAGCGCAACGATAGTTCCGGCGTAGTCTGAACCATCTCCTGCCCCCGGAAATGGAAAATTGGTTGGCATTTTCCAATCGCAGGGGTTCAAAGCAACAGCAGCGGTCTTCACAAGAACCTGCCCGGGCAGCAGAGTTGGAATAGAGCGATCTTCACATAGTGTTAGCGAACCCAGTGGCTCCTTGCTTTGGATGATTGCCCGTTGAGTGGTTGGAATCTTTAACCGTTCCTCCATAGCGACTGTTGGATCTGTCGTAAATAACTAATCTAAGAGTTTCCAATATTGTATCCAAGTGAACTTTGTGATCCAGCTCTTCTAAGAGTCCTGAAGCTTCGGGAGATTGGCTCTCTTTTTTGGGTGACGCGATCAGGTGGTGTTTAGTCGGGGTCCGAATATTGCGTAGCTACAAATTTCGGAACATAACATGACTGTCCGAATCATCGGATAACGTGAAAGTCATGTTTCCTTTTGCTCGCTCTATTCGTATCTCAGTGGTAATTGTTCGATTGCACTTTTGGCAACCAAGATTAATTTCATGGACACGCTTGACCGCAAATGAACTTTTGATGGACTGATTTTGACTCCCATTTTATAATCCCTCCCCCATTAATCAACAGGATTACTGGTGGCTATACTCTTCACCATGTTTGCCTTTATTGCGCTTTTTCTTCTGCAAGCTACTTCGGCAGACCACCTATCCCAGCAGCCATTGAGAGAACTATTTCCTGGGAACTGGGAGGCTGAGCTGCAAGCAGATATTCCTAATCAGCCAGAACCATGCTCCGTGAGCCATCTCTCAGCGTACGAGCAGGTTGAAGGGCCGGTAGCTTTCTCCACGTCTTCCACCGAGCATTTGGAAACACCCAAACTATCAGGCGTAAACGCAACAGCCTGGGAACAATGGGAATTCGATGGGACTGACGATGATGGAATGGCTGGGATTATCATTGGATTTTCGAGAGATGCGTCATATGCATTCTTTGGCCTCGGAAACCTCCGCGTCGAATTTTACATGGTTCTGAGCGACGGAACGGTCATCCAGGAGCTCGATTATCTGGATGAATCGACTATCATGAACTGCCAGGGAGATATAACGGGAATGTGGAATAGCACAAAACGCAGTTATTCTTTCCACGTTCCAAAAGACATGAGTCGTGCAACCGTCAAATGGAGAACCCCTGCCGGAAAGGGAACGCTGTCGGTAACATCGACAACGCAACCCCATTTCCCCGACGGCTCAATGTGGCCCTCACAGGGTGCCAGAACGGAAATGGCCCCGTCTCTGCACATGAACCAGCCAATCGCAGGTGGCCGTGTCATAGCAGATGTTGAATTATCGAGCTCGAAAAGGATGAAATTAAGGGGATTTGGTGGCCATGGTCGGCTATGGGCCCAGGGGGGCTGGTTCGATATCGTTGACGGCTTCCACATCATACGTGCATATGCGGGACCATACACGATATCTTACTGGAGGCCAATCTCGCGGCTTAATAAAGGAGATGTCTATCATTCAGCGCAGCTGTTCAAACATGGGAAGCTGCTAGCGGCCACGCAGCTAGGGGAAAAATCTCAAACCAAAGATTACATTCTCTTCTCAAACGATTTTCGCGGTAAAGTCAGTGGGGGCCTTACTGACAAATCCACTGGCCATGTGCTTGAATTTATATCCCCTAGTCGAGGAAAAAAATGGCAATTTCTCGTAGAACATATGAGAAAGAAATTCGAAATGGGACTTGGTGGTGAGACTGGGATAAGTGGGTTCACGAATCGAGTAACAGGGGGAGAAACAGGGGGAAGGCAATATGAGGGACGAGGCTTTTCTGAGCAAACTATCTTCCCGGAGGAAATTGCCAAATGGAGGATCTGGATTGTTTATGGCATTGGGTATTTCAACCGTGGAAAAAGCTTTGTACTCAAGATCGCGCGATGGCTATCTTAAGGCTCCTCGGCATTGATAAATCGCTTTTGCGGGGCTTAGTAACACGCGTTTGTTGTATTATATAATCCATGCGCGAATTCGGCAGTTTTGACTTCATTCCTTTGATCATATCATCATATCACCACAATGGCTCTTCTATGACTGCAAGTTCGACTCTGATGGGAAACCTATCAATTGCACTGTAAATAGAGATTCTCTGGATTGATATACTTTTCGGGCCGATGGCCTTAGTCCCTGATAGTCTTCGGGGATGCACATATTCTTTGCGCCTTACGTCGTCTTGGCTGAACCGTGTGGTGATGCCAAAATACCAAGATTGTCCCGTCACTGCTGTGTTTGTCCTGCATAATTCTTTATCTAACTGGCTGGGGCTTTGAGGGCTGTCTGATGCGCGTCGTTATTTACTTGTGACTTTTTGGCCTCTAAAGACCAAAAATGGGGTCTCTCTGTGGCTAGCCTAGCCCGTGTTCAACGTGTGCGAAGCTCTGAACCAGTGCTGAAAGAGTAGGATAATTTCCTTCGTATTCCGATGGTTCTGCCTCCATCCGATTTTCTTCCAATTGGCCGACCCTGGGCATGCCCACTTTGGACAATGCGGCTCGTATTTATGGATTCTATCGGATCCATTCCACAGAGTCCGAAGTCCGAAGGCATGGACGTTTCGGAGGTCTCCCTGGATAATGCCTTCGGAGGAAATTTGATATCTAGTTGTTGAGACACAACTGACCGAGGCATCTTTAGCCCATCGTCGTTCAAGTTTTATTTAAAAATGTACATGACAACCGGTGTGGAATATATGGCTCGGCTTTAAAAGCTTCATCTTTTCAATCATTTTATGGGTAGTATTATTGGCCGATTATAGACAGTTGGTGCGGGTTTTGTTTGGTATTACTTGCAATCAAAAGGTCCATTCAACTGGACGCCATCGACTTCTCTCCTTCACCGCAGTGGCACAGTATCTCGCACTCAACTATGGGGAGCGTACCTCTCTCTAAAGGTGAAGAACCTATCGCCGTCATCGGAAGCGCCTGCCGTTTCCCGGGTTCTTTGAATACTCCCTCGAAATTCTGGGACTTTCTGCGAAAGCCTCATGATCTTCTCACCAATATTCCTAGCGAGAGATTCAATCCTGATGGGTTCTATCACCCCAATGGGATGCACCATGGAACCTCGAATGTCAAGCAATCCTACTTGCTTCAGGAGGACCACCGTTTTTTCGATGCAGGGTTTTTCAACATCAAACCAGTCGAGGCCCATTCGATTGATCCTCAACAACGCCTGCTATTGGAAACGGTCTACGAGTCTCTTGAGGCGGCAGGATTATCAATTGAGGGCCTTTCCGGCTCCCAAACTGGTGTCTATGTTGGTTTGATGTGCGAGGACTATATTGATCACCTCCAGCGCGACATAAATACGGCACCGACTTATCTGCCAACTGGGACTGCACGAAGCATCGTATCCAACCGTATCTCTTACTTTTTCAACTGGCATGGTCCATGTATGACTATCGACACAGCTTGCTCTTCCAGTTTGGTTGCTGTACACCAGGCCGTCCAACTTTTGCGGAGTGGAGAATCTGATCTCGCTGTTGCCGCTGGCGCGAATCTTATCCTGACTCCCGAGCTCTACATCGGCGAAGCCAAACTTAAAATGCTTTCTCCGGGTAGCCGATCTCGAATGTGGGATGCTGATGCCGATGGTTATGCCAGAGGAGATGGAGTTGCTGCAGTAATTCTGAAGAGGCTTAGTCGGGCATTAGAAGACGGTGACCATATTGAGTGCATTATTCGTGAAACGGGCGTCAATCAAGATGGTCGGACAAAGGGAATTACTATGCCCAATGAGCTTGCGCAAATGGATTTGATTGCTCAAACGTATGCAAAAGCAGGGCTGAATCCCTGCAACAGAGAGGACCGCTGTCAGTATTTCGAAGCTCATGGTACTGGAACCACAGCAGGTGATGCTCGTGTATGTTTCCATTGTCGTCATTCGATAACAGCGTACTAACGACTCATAGGAAGCGGAGGCTATTAGTAAAGCTTTTTTCGGACCCGAGGGAAAAGCTCAGGACAATGAGGACCTGTTGTACGTCGGCTCCGTGAAAACGGTTATTGGCCACACGGAAGGCACTGCAGGGGTTGCTGGCCTTATCAAGGCCTCTCTCGCCGTACAACACGGTATTATTCCGCCTAATATGCTCTTCAATACTCTCAGTCCTGCTGTTGAACCATTCTACAATAACCTCGAGATAGCTACAGTTGCAAAACCGTGGCCTAAAGTAACGGGTCCTCGGAGAGCTAGTGTCAACAGTTTCGGTTTCGGCGGGACAAATGCTCACGCTATTGTTGAGAGCTTTGTCCGTCCACCAAAGGGCGAACACGGTCCCATTTCGTTCACACCTTTTGTATTTTCGGCTGCAACTGATCAGGCACTGCAGAAGATGCTTGTCGCTTACTCTACGTATTTAAAATCTTATCCAAACTTGAACCTCAGAGACCTTTCCTATACTTTACACAGAAGATCAGAACTTGCTGTGAGGGTTGCCTTCGCGGCGACATCCATTGGCGACCTTATTTCGGCCATCGACACACACCTGGAGACCGCCGCAGACAATTCTCATCCGGGATCTGGGGTTGGCATTCGCCCGTCCAACAGTCCGCCTCGCATACTTGGGATATTTACCGGCCAGGGTGCTCAATGGGCGACAATGGGACGTCAATTAATTTCAAAATCTCAATATGCTTGGGACTTTATTGCGGGCCTTGACCACGTCCTCCAAAGTTTGCCTGAGCCTGATCGCCCGGGTTGGTCCATTCTGGACGAACTAGAAGCCGATTCTTCAAACTCACGGCTTGATGAAGCTTTAATATCACAACCGCTGTGCACTGCTATTCAGCTTCTTTTGGTCGAGCTGTTATATAATGTTGGCATCAAGTTTAAAGCTGTTGTCGGTCATTCTTCCGGAGAAATAGCTGCGGCCTATGCCGCGGGGATTATATCGCGCGATGCCGCTATCAAAGTAGCGTTCTACCGAGGTCATTTTACATCGCTCGCGGGAACCGACCAACCTGGTGCTATGATGGCTGTTGGAACATCGTACGAAGATGCAAAGGATCTTTGCGACTCCGAGATGTTTGAAGGCCGGCTTTGCGTTGCTGCTTGCAATTCCTCCTCCAGCGTTACTCTTTCGGGAGATGCCGATGCCATGTCGTATGCCAAAGTTATCTTCGAAGATGAAAAGAAGTTTGCCAGACTTCTAAAAGTTGATAAGGCTTACCATTCACATCACATGTTCCCATGCAGCAGTCCGTATGTTGAAGCGCTCCATAGCTCACAAATCCAACTTCACGAGCCGGAGAACGAATGTGCTTGGTTTTCAAGTACCTTCCAAGGTAGACGGATGCAAGCATGCGATGAATTACTGGGGACTTATTGGAAAGATAATATGGTTAAACCTGTTCTGTTTTCTCAAGCAATAGCGGCGGCTACAGAGAACGAGGGCCCTTTTAACCTTGCGATCGAAATCGGACCGCACCCAGCTTTGAAAGGGCCTGCTCTCCAAACGCTGCAGGATATATACGGATCGGGGTTGCCTTACACTAGTCCACTGAGTCGAGGCTCTGATGACGTGACCGCTTTAGCAAACTCCCTTGGATATATTTGGACCCATTTCGCTCCATCTCTCGTTGACTTTAACCGATATGACAATATCCTTTTTGCAAACGAGGATCGACAGCTATTGAAAGGGTTGCCGACTTATACCTGGGACCATGATCGAGTTTATTGGCATGAATCTCGTATTTCTAGAGCACACCGACTACGCAGTACGGTGCATCATCCGCTTCTGGGGACCAGATTACCTGACGGTATTAAAGAAGAGATACGCTGGCGCAATCTTTTGAAACCAAGTGAATTGTCATGGATCCATGGTCATCAGTTACAGGGACAGATGGTATTCCCTGCCGCAGGGTATATCTCTACAGCGATTGAAGCTGCGCTCTCCCTTGCGGGCAATTTGCCAACCTCTATCATCGAGGTTAGCAATTTCGTTATCGGGCGCCCATTGACTTTTGACGATAATGAATCCGGAATTGAGACTTTGTTTACCCTTTTCAACATATCAAGAGAAGAGGGTAATTTTTCTGCTTCATTCAGCTATCATGCGTGCACAAATCAGGAAGCAGATGCTTTGTCGAGCTTAGCCACCGGGACAATTGTGGTGACTACCGGTGACCCGCGGTCAAATTTGTTGCCCGCTCGGGGCCCAGAGCGACCAAATATGATTCCCGTTCCCAAAGATCAATTTTATCAGTCGCTTGATGATTTGGGTTATGGATACAGCGGCGATTTTAGGTCTCTAGGCTCTATGAAAAGAAAACTGGACATTGGGTCCGCAACCGTGACTGTCCCATCACAGGAACCCCATGAGGTTTTACTCGTGCACCCAGCGCTACTCGATGCTGCCTTCCAGTCAATCTTTCTTGCCTATTGGTGGCCAAATGATGGAAGCCTGGAACAGCTGTATGTGCCAACGAGAATTAAAAACATTCGAATCGATGTCTCCCTGTGCCAAGAAAGCATGGCTCCTGGAAATTTGCTGCCCGTTGATTCTCATATTATGGAGAATCCTTTAACGTCCAGTGGCATATTAGGCGATGTCGATATATTTGGTGCTGATGAGCGGTCTATGGCAATACAAGTCGAAGGCGTTACCGTTGTCCCATTTTCCGAAGGAGGCCCGCAATATGATCGCCAAATGCTATCAGAACATATCTGGGGACCGGCATCTCCGGATGCGGAGCTGGCAACAACCAGGCGCGCAACGACGGAAGACTACGAATTAGCGTGGTGCTTGGAGCGCATCTCGGCATACTATATGCAAAAGATCGTAAGCGGGATTAAACCAGAAGATAGAAATGGTATCGAGTGGCACCATAAGGCTCTTTTCGAATTTTTCGAGAGCGTTCTCGCACAAACTCGGAAAGGACGACAGCCGTATATCAGAAAGGAATGGCTGAACGACACTTGGGAGGACATATCTGCTATACTAGATAGGTGAGAATGACCATTTCTTTACTTGTGTCTTACGAACACGCTCATACATTATCATAGGTACCCTGATAGTATCGAGATCAAACTTAATCACACCGTTGGTCAGAATTTGGTATCTGCAATTCGCGGTGAAACAAATATCTTGCAGCATCTACTTGAAGACAATCTCTTAAATAGATATTACACGGATGCGCTCGGTATCAGAGAAAACACGGAGTTTCTCGCGAAAACAGTTTCCCACGTCGCGCATCGCTACCCTCATATGGATATTCTTGAGATAGGTATGGAATTCAAGACAGATTCGTTGATTTAACTAATCGAATTTCAGGTGCTGGTACAGGCGGAGCCACGAAATCAATTTTACCGCTAATCAATCACGCGTTCTCATCCTATACATTCACAGATATTTCGACTGGCTTTTTCGAAGCTGCCCAAGATATCTTCACTGAATATTCCGGGAAAATGGTGTTCAAAGCCTTGGATGTCGAAAAAGATATCGTTGAGCAAGGCTTTTCAGAGCATTCATATGATTTGATCATTGCCTCCTTGGTTCTTCATGCTACCGCCAAGCTCGAGCAGACAATGGAAAATACGCGTCGGCTTTTGCGTCCTGGAGGTTATCTGATAATGCTCGAAGTAACAAGCAACGACGTTATCAGAGTTGGTTTCGCCATGAGCGGACTTCCAGGATGGTGGTTGGGTCGGCCGGATGGCCGCTTACTATCACCATGTGTCTCGGCTACTGAATGGCATCGTGTGCTTCTTAAGACTGGATTCTCCGGCATTGATTCCATGACTCCAGAAGCAGATATTTTGCCGCGGCCAATTTCCGTTCTTGTGTCACAAGCAGTCGATAGCCAGGTGGAATTTCTTCGGGAGCCATTGTTACATGCCAGTCAGTACCTTCAGTCCGAGGACTGGGAGCTGGTCATTCTAGGGGGCCAAACTATGCGCACAATTGTTCTGATCGATGAGATTCGCCGACTCCTCTCGCCTATGGCAATCCAGATCCGTCAGATTCGCTCCCTCAACGATGTCAGCTCAGCGCATATTGCCCCCACGAGTTTTGTCCTTAGCGTTACTGAACTGGACAAGCCAATCTTTAAAGACTTTACCGAGGAAATCATGGCCGGCCTCAAAACATTATTTGATTACCAGAGAGTATTTCTGTGGGTGACTCAAGGCTGTAGGGCAGATGAGCCTTACATGAATATGACAGTTGGATTTGGGCGCACACTGGCTTTGGAGGCTCCTGACCTGCGGCTACAATTTCTCGATCTAGACATAAATGAAAAGCCAAACGCCAAGGCTCTCGTGGAAGCTCTGCTGAGATTGCACTTCAGGCAGAACGACAACGCTTTGTGGTCTATTGAACAGGAGCTTGCATACGAAGGCCGTAGGTTGGTTATCCCACGTTTGATGCCAAACAAGGCCCAAAACCATCGCTACAATGCGTCAAAACGCACCATTCTCCACGCGGTAAACCCTCAAATCACGCCAGTCTACCTAAACAATTCCGCCGGCGCTTATTATTTAACAGAAGGAAGCTGTACGCCACAAAGCAATGAAATCATTGTGAAAGTCAGCCATTCTCTTTTATTGCCGCTCGCAACCCCGGTTTATGCTATTATTGGAATTGATACCTCAACCGATAAGACAGTCCTGTCAATCTCGGATAGGAACGGTTCGTACATCACTGCTGATCCCAGAGATTTAATTGATTGCGCGTCTGTTAAGGACAAAGAAGGCCGGCTCTTATCTCTATTGGATATTGAGATTCGGGTCAATAACATATTATCAGTTTGCACGCCCAATACTAATGTCCTTCTATACAAACCGGATGTCACTCTGGCGGCGAGATTCCAAGCCCGAGCCGCCGGAAAGGACCTATCCATTTTCTTCGCAACTTCCGATCCCTCTAATTCAGGTACGTCCTGGAGCGTAATACATCCGATGTCTCCGCGCCGTTCAGTTCAAGCCTTGCTACCACAACGAATCTCAACTTTTGTGGATTTCTCAAACCCCCGCGATCGAGTTGGATTGTTGATCGCTTCTTGTCTCTCGCCAATATGCCTACAAACTACCATGACCCGTAATGGGCTAGAGCCTCGACCGACAGAGATCCCATTAATGGACCAATTTAAATGCGCAGCAGCCGGAGCATTATCTGAGTTACATTCTGGCAAGCAAGTTTCCCGGCCTGTCATGAACATTGGAGACATTCTTACCCGGTCAACAACACCTGAAATGCCAGTTGTGAACTGGAGCAATACGGTTGATACTCCGGTAAGACTTGCTTCTGTGGACAAACAAATGCACTTCCCAGCAGACAAGACATATGTTTTCTTCGGTTTAAGCAGCGACCTTGGGCAGTCTTTGTGTGATTGGATGGCGTATCATGGCGCCCGGAATCTCATCCTTACTAGCCGTACCCCGAAAGTTGATCCCAGGTGGCTATCGGAGATGGAATCAATTGGTGTGAGGGTGAAGGTTTATTCAAAGTATGTCCCTTTTTTTTGGTTTGTTGGATATAGACTTACTGTGGATAGTGATATTACGGACAAAACTTCCGTCGAAACCCTAGTTGCTGAGATCCGGCGTGACTTCCCGCCAATTGCGGGTATCATGCACGGTGCTATGGTTCTTGATGATACATCATTCTTTGATATGTCGTTTGAAAGCATGAACAAGGTGCTTAAACCGAAAGTTTTGGGAAGTATTCATTTGAATGAATTATTTCAAGACGATACCCTAGACTTTTTCATATTCTTCTCGTCACTCACCTCCGTGGCTGGGAACCGCGGCCAGTCTAACTATAGTGCCGCCAATATGTTTGGAACCTCTCTGGCTTTTCAACGTCGCCGAAAAGGTCTTGCAGGCTGTGTTTTACATATTGGTGCGGTTATGGGCGTCGGGTACGTTATGAGGGAAGTAACTGAGTCGGTCTTCTCAGCAATTTATAAAGCGGGGTTTAGATGGATGTCCGAGCGCGGATTCCATCAATGTATTGCTGAGGCGATATTAGCTGGCAGACCTAACTCTCACGCTAACCCGGAGATCGTGACTGGCTTGCGAGTTATCAACGCAAATGAAGAAGAGCCAGCTCCTTGGATGAATATCCCACGCTTCCAACACTGCATCAATTTGGGTAAATCGGATGGGTTGAAGAAGAACAGCGGAAATACCGCTATTCCGGTAATGATAAGACTTCGTGAAGCTGCGTCCGAGGAAGAAGCGCTTGATATAATCAAAGGTCAGCATAGTTAATGATATTATTCCGGAGCCAGAAGCTAACACCTACTCAGATGCCTTGCTCGCGAAACTACAAATCGCACTCCAACTTCAATTGGAAGACACATCCATTCGACACCAAGTACTTGATCAAAGTGCTGACGAGCTCGGGATTGACTCTCTTGTTGCCGTTGAGATTAGGTCTTGGTTTTTAAAGGAACTGGAACTCGACATGCCTGTTCTTAAGATCCTTGGGAGTGCGACTATTGCAGATCTTTTGACTTTCACTCTTGAAAAGCTCCCTCCAGAGATAACATCATTCCGGCAAGGATCCCCTCTTCTACCTATTGAAACCTCTGCAGAGCCTGAAACAGCCACGCCGATGTCTACGGATGCATCCAGCTCCAGCGGGAGTATTTCGACAGAAAACGGGACACAGACTTCTCCTTCTCCTTCTAATCCTCCGGAATCAATGAGTTCATTGACTACTGACGTGCGGAAACAACATGATATATTTCCATCTCCCTCCGAGTCACCAGAATCCATTACTGGAAATGATTTACAAAAGCAGTTACCGATATCCTTTGGTCAGTCGAGATTTTGGTTCTTAAGGCACTACCTTGAAGACCAAACCACTTTCAACATCACATTTTCTGTCCAATTGCGCGGGTATCTCCGAGTCAGTGACATGGAAAATGCTGTCAAGCTGTTAGGCTCCCGCCACGAGGCATTGCGGACCTGTTTCTTTACCAAAGATGGAGAGACTCCTATGCAAGGCATCCTCAAAGAATCTCGTCTTCTACTGGAGAAGAAAACAATACAAAATCCAGAGCAAGTTACCGTGGAGTTCGAATCGATGCGGGATTACGTCTTCGATATTGAACATGGAGAAAACATGAGAGTTCTACTTCTCTCTTTAACCCCCACCGTTAATTATATGATTATCGGCTACCATCATATAAATATGGATGGCGCAAGTCTTGAGGTCTTCCTGGATGAATTGGAGATGGCATACACTCACAAACGTCTTCCGCAGCCCGTATTCCAGTATTCTGATTTCTCTGAGCAGCAACGGTTGGAGTTTAAGAAAGGTCAAATGAATGCAGAGCTTAACTATTGGAAATCAGAGCTCTCTGACGACTTGTCAGTTCTGCCCTTATTGCCTTTTTCATCTGCTAAACATCGATCTCCCATCGAAAAATACGAACACCATAGAGAAGACTGTCGCATCAGTACTGAACTAGCTACCCAAGTCAAAGATATGTGTCGGAAGAATAAAGTCAATGTATTTCACTTCTACCTTGCAACATATGCGGTCCTATTGTCTAGGCTTCTCGAGGTGAATGACCTCTGTATTGGAATGGCGGACGCTAACCGAAACGAAACGCATCTGGTGAGAAGCATGGGAATGTACTTGAATCTGCTTCCACTCCGCTTCCACCTCGGTCAGAACAAATCTTTCACTGAGGTCTTAAAGGAAACTCGTCGAAAAGTGTATTCGGCCATCGGTCATTCTCGCCTACCATTCGATGTTTTACTTGAAGAACTGAAAACGCCTAGGTCGACGGAATTCAGTCCGTTGTTTCAAGCGTTTATAAATTATCGCCAGGGTGTCAAAGAACAAAGACGCATGGGAGACATGGAAGGCCAAGGGGAAGAGTACGCTTTTGGTCGCACCGCATACGACATTACTTTGGATATATTTGACAACCCAGGAAGCAATCCCTTTGTAATGTTTATTGTACAAAAGCAACTGTACTCTCACAACGATGCCAAAATCCTTGCTAAGGCCTACTGCAACCTGCTGGACTATTTTTCGACGAGTCCAGCTGCAACCCTAGAATCGATGTCTCCATTTACGGCCAATGACATTGCCATAGGGCTGGAACTTGGTCAGGGTATGGCTTGTCATCCTTTTTATTTTACTCTTTGAAACTAACAATTGATAGGCCCTATTCGCAATACCGAATGGCCCGAAACGTTAGCACACCGTATAGATCAAGTTGCCATGAAACAACCAAATTCGATAGCTCTCAATGACGCCTCGGGGATTTGGTGGACATATCAGCAGATGATTGACCGTGTTAATGGAATAGCATTGGCACTCATCAAAGCAAACATACCTCTGAAATCACCGATTGCTGTGCTCCAGGAGCCCACGCTGGATTGGGTCTGTTCGTTGCTGGCTATCTTAAGGGTTGGTGGTATTTATGTGCCTTTGGACGTAAATATACCTTCAGCTCGATTGAATACTATAATTGAGAACTGTCGTCCAGCCGGGATCTTAATTCATAACGAAACCTCTGGCAGGATAAATGACCTTGAAATGCTCAGGAGCACGATTATTGTCAACATTTCCGCTTGTTCCAGTCAGTTTTCAGGCGAAAGCATAGAAATCACAGCTCGTGCGGAAGATGCAGCCGTGATACTTTATACAAGCGGGACTACGGGAGTTCCCAAAGGTGTGGTCATGTCGCATGCAGGATTACGGAATCGAATGGAGTTTGCAATGGTCTCAACCCCAGGCACTGTCCTCCAGCAAACCGCTCTAAGCTTCGATTTATCCATTTATCAAGCGCTTCTCTGCATCTCTCGTGGCGGGACTTTAGTCGTGGCCCCAAAATCAGTACGAGGTGACCCATTCGCAATTTCTCAACTGCTTGTACGCGAAAATATCACATATACTGGAGCCACGCCCTCGGAGTATTTGAGCTGGATCAACTATGGCAAATTTGAATTAATCAACAGCAAGCAGTGGAGATACGCCATGTCCTGTGGGGAACAATATCCTCAAAGGCTTGTTAGCGAATTCCAAAACCTCTCGCTTCCTCATTTACGCCTGATCAATGCATATGGTCCAACCGAAATAACCTTTGAGTCAAACAACTTTGAAATACCCATCATAGAACCCGCGGGCACCCGTATCCCCGTGGGCCATACCCTCCCGAATACCTCTATCGTCATCCTAGACGAGAACCTGAATCCAGTTCCTGCAGGATTCCCTGGGGAAATCTGCATTGGCAGTGCAAGCTTGGCTTTAGGTTACCTCAACGATGAATCTCTCACTGCAAAGAAATTCGTTTCTCATCCCTTCCCTTCCGGCCAGCTTGCATCTTATGGCTTAGACAAGATATATCGATCAGGAGATAAAGGAAGATTAAAGGAAAATGGACTGCTTGAGATTCTTGGTCGTATTGATGGGGATACTCAAATTAAACTGAGGGGGATTCGCATCGAAACTCAGGATATTGAGAGAACCATTCTGAATTCAGCCAAAGGGAAACTGGCTGATGTTGCCGTTGTACCTCGTGGAGATCCGCCGGTGTTGTTAGCTCATGCCGTATTCTCATCCGCAGCTACCGTCGTTGACAAGGCCGGATTCTTGAAAAGCTTAATCCCATCTCTTCCCCTTCCCCAGTACATGAAACCAGCAATGATTGTCTCCATTGATTCAATGCCGCTCAGCGTGAACGGAAAGGTCGACAGACGCGCTCTTCGAGAGCTTCCTCTAGCCAGTATATCCGGCACATCCGGAGCCGTTGTTGAACTTAATGAGACCGAGTCGGGGCTCCTAGAGATTTGGGAAGAAGTCATTTCAAAGGACGTATTGCGTTCCTATAACATTGACAGAAGCACAGATTTTTTCAATATCGGCGGAAATTCTATGCTCCTGATCAAAGTTCAGGACCTCATTAAGCGTCGCTTTGATATTAGTTTGGCCTTGATTCATCTCTTTGAGAATAGCACGCTCAGTGCCATGGCTGCTGCAATCTGGAGCTTACCGGGAATCGGATCCCCTGTTATAAACTGGGATGCAGAAACATCGGTTCCCGAATATTTAAAAATCGAATCTCCGATTACCGTAGCTAACAACCCACCCCGTGTGGTGGTTCTCACCGGCGCCACTGGATTCTTGGGTAAAGAGATTCTCCAGGAGCTCCTTACATCAACTTTCGTGGAGAAGATTCACTGCGTCGCCGTTCGAACCGGTAGCAAACTCGACGAATTTTGTGAGCCTGGCAAGGTAGTCGTTCACAGAGGTGACCTTAGTCACCCCCTTCTCGGGCTTTCGGAGGACGTGGCTAGGTCGATTTTCAATGAAGCCGATGCCATCATCCATAATGGAGCTGATGTTTCCTTCCTCAAAACGTATCAATCCCTAAAGCCATCAAATGTTGGCTCCACTAAAGAGCTGGCCAAACTTGCCCTAAGCCGCCACATTCCATTCCATTATATCTCCACGACAACAGTTGGGCGCTTGAACAAGTCAGAAACATTTGAAGAAGTCTCGTTAGCATTGTCTCCACCACCGCCATCCTTCAACGACGGCTATTTGACGTCGAAGTGGACAAGTGAAGTGTTTCTCGAAAAGATAAGCGCCAAGTTCGGTCTCCCGGTGTGGATTCACCGCCCGTCTAGTATCCTTGGTGACGACGCCGGTGACCTCGACATAATGAATAGCGTGCTGAAATACTCTCTGCTTACAAAGATGGCTCCTCGATCCAAGCTTTGGAAGGGCCATGTGGATTTTGTTACAGCCGCCCACGCTTCGAGCGCAATCGTTGAAGAGGTGTTCAGGACTCGAGCGGATAAAGAGGCTGCACCAGCGTCTATCACCTATCTCCACCATTCCGGGGACCTGGAGATGCCGATGGATGCGATGGATGCATTCATGGAAGAGGAGGATGGCAGTGGCGCTGCGTTTTCGCAGTTGCCTTTAGCTGAGTGGATACAACTTGCGAAAGAACACGGTATGGACACCCTCGTTGCCGGATACTTGAGCGCTATTGAGGAAAATGGTGTGGAGATGTTCTTCCCACGAGTGGTCAAGTCCATGAAGGCATGAGAGAGAGAAACTCCAGGAGGTTTATTTTACGCATCTGAGATTTTCGGACTCAATTTTAATTATAACATATTGTAATGTATATTAGTAGTACACTTCATTCTATTTATGACAACACTCTTTTATATGTTGTTAATTAATTGCATCAGTAATTATCCGCTTCGCCCATATCTAGAATCGAGAAGTTCTTGTATTTCCTCATCACAAACTGTGTAATCAATGGACACAAAAATTCAAATAGTTTCAGTCAGCAATGATAGATTATGTTGCAGCAAAGTACTTGAGTTTTTGGTATGAAGAGTAATTTGATGGCACTGTGCCCTAATACACCAAAAAATGGCGCAAATCATTATGCTCTGAAGGATCAATGGATGGAACCGTTCAAGAACTAAATTGTCACATCCAAACTCACACCTCCACCTCGAGGCGATAACTCGAAAGCCCAGCTCTTCTCACGCCAAGATGCTTATCCAAAAACTGAAAACTCTTCTGTGCTAAGAGGCCCCATGCACCGACCTTGGCCGTAAGTCCACCGTCGCCGATCTCGGTCGGGATCCACACTTCCTTTTGTGTCTTTTCAAGATGCTTCAACGAATTGTATATGTATACAGTGCTTGAATCCGGAGAGGCATAGATTGCATGCCCAGCACCCGTCAGAAGAATTGGACATTTCGCCCGGTCAGTAACCTTTCCTCCATTTACGGGATCATCAAGGGTGAAAGCCTGAAAACGTCGAAGCGTCTGGCCCGGTGTTGAAGTGCCCATCATATAACTCCCAAGCGAAGATTCCCAGCGACTGCAAAAGTCAAAAGCCATCGATAGGCGGACGGACCAGTTGAAAAACGATTCTGGGATCCAGCCTGCTTGCCAAAGGTTGGCATAAAGCGAGGGCATGCGCGTTAGGGCAAGAGACCAGAGGCTATAGAACGGGTCGACTGCGACACAAGCTCTGATTCGACTATCAGTAGACGCACGAAGGGAATAGTAAGCGCCCATTGATGCTCCGGCAACCGCTATATTTTCGAGATCCAGGAAATAGTCCGGATTCGCTTTGGCGATGCTTGAAAGATGATCTAAAACTTTGCTTGTGACCACCTCGTAGTCCGGCCGCATTGGTACTTGGTCTTTCTTCAAAACAAGGCCCTGGCCGGGTCCTTCAAACGTAAGGACTGCGTAGCCCAGGTCCGTTCCCGCTGCTCCGTATAGGAAATAGAGCTCTTCCTGAGTCGAGTCGGCGCCACCACAGTTTAAAAGTATGGGAGTTTTCTGGCCTGGAATCCGTTTCGATGGTGCTGGAAGGTAAAGATATCCCGGCAAGGTGAGGCCATCCTCATAAGGTATATCAAGTACAACGATTGTTTCATCCATCAAAGGAATCGCTTTTCTGAAATTTCGGATCGATCTCTCTGCACTAGGAAGACTTCGCCCATCGGAGGTAGGAAGCATGTATGAGCTGGCACGAAAGTAATTGCAGGCTCGCAGATACGCTCGCCGGGCAGGAGCTTTATGGCCATCGCGAGTCGCATCCTGCGCTATCTTTTCCACCCGTTCGCCTTGTTCGTACCATGCACGATACCAGCTTTCAGCATCATGTTTTTTGATCTTGTCAATAGCTTCGAGGAATTCCGCAATGTCGCATCCACCAAAGGGAGTGCTCCCAAGGATGCGAATAAGCTCAAAATCAAAAAATCGGGAGCGGAAGAAGCTGAACATCGTGCCTGGAGACGGCCGCACAGCCACTGCTGGGCGGATAAAATGAAGCTTGGAATGAAAATGAACTCGCTGTGTCAGGCTAGTGGTCTATGGTGCAGGAAACATAAACAAATATTGTCGCTGATCTTCGGCAACAATAATCTCGATCCTTCTCCGATGCGTAAGATAAGCCTATGACTTCATGGCGGAGACCTCCGTAGATGTGCGAACGAGCCGTCCCGATCCATCTAAAACCTCACAGCGTAGCTTGCGCGAATGACTAGGCTCGGAGATTATATAACCGAGTGAAAGTGTGTTGGTTCGCCAGGTTGGTCAAAGAGTTCGGGCTCCGAGGTCAGCGATCGGTACAGCAGCCAAGACAGAAGATGGCCGGCCAACATTAAATGTAGAAGTTCTCAGTATCATGTCCAAAGCATCAAATACTGAAGTGACCTTCATGCTCGGGGGATAGAAGCAGCATTTTTATACCCCGTGCCGAAACCTCTCAGCGAAATCAACAAGTGTCTGTATTGTCAGGGACTTTAATTCACAGTCAAAACCATTCCATTCTTCGCCGATCAAGATCACGCTGTCGATATGGGCGTAATTACAACAATCATCGCCGTTGGGCCGTTAGCGAGTTCTTCAGCGGCGTAAGTCCAGAATCATATTCTCCGTTACATTCACGCTGAGAGTCAGAGTAGCTTCATGTGCTCCGCAGTCCAGCAGAAGGCCGTCGGATCCTTTCTCAATACCTCCATACCACCTGTCGCTCGACAGGCACTGTACTACCACTGGTTTCTCGGGTTCCGGAATGCCGTCTATCTCTCTGCGCCGTGCCATATCACGACCCTCGTGCTATGCTTCATCAACCTATTCTCGGGGATGTCGAACGCGCCGTCGATGCTCTGGCTGGGTGGGATTCTTTTCACCTTCGGCCACATGTATCCATTGCGGCTGGGACTCGAACACCTGGGTCTGACGGAAAAGGCCTGGAAGGCAAAGTCCGCGGACGAAGGGTACGCTTTTGTGAAGTCATTTGTGGACGCGAATGTGCAGAGATTGACGTTTGTCGACTTTCCTGGGTGGCTCTGCATCGTTGCCGCTGTGGTTCTCGGCGCTGCGCGTTCCAATTGACGCCGGGACGCCCCACCGCGGCAGCCGCCGAACTCGGGCTAATGTTTAGGGGCAGTTGGCGCCAAGAGGCTAGTTAGCTATTACTGTAGGGAGTTTCAACTTCATCTCAGATCTCAATGCCATCCAACATGTGTTGTTGATATTAGTTATCACTCTGCCAGGACTCCGGATTCATCATCATACAAAATGCAGTATGCAACATCTAGAACCATTTATTCTACCACCTAAAAAATAATTGCCAAAAAAAAAAAAAAAAAAAAAAAAAAAGGTGTCCCAGACATGCCATGACTCCCGCACAAACTAGGCATAATTACAGACGACACGGCGATCCAAGTCCACAGAAATGACCAACTCCAAGATCGCGGCAGATCTAGGCAATTGTCTCTGGCACTTGAAAAGCTTTTTGACCTTCTCCATTCGCGTTTTCCTGACCATCTTTCTCCCCTTCCTCCATCACGACCACGCTGTTCTTCCTCGACCCATCCTCCATTCCATACTCAGTGTCCAACTCCTGTCGCAGGGGCACTTCCCGTGCACCAATGACAACGACGAATCCCAGGGCTGCGAATGCGATTGCGATTTGCCAAGTGCGTTTTAAGCTGTCTGAAAAGACAGAAATAACTTCCTGACGGATCCTGGCTGGTAGTGCTTCGAGGAATAGTTTTGTGGCGTGCTCGTACGCCTTCCCGCCTTTGAGCTGGGCAGCGACGTCTGCGCTGCTGATACGGCCAGCGAGTTGATCAAATCGGTTGTTAAACACTGCGGCAGGGATGGTAGAGCCCCATACCATACCGAAACTTCGTATGAAAGCCCATGTGGATGTCGCCAAGGCCGTGTCCTTGTCGGAGAGCTCAGCCTGAACCGCCGGTAGTAGCACCGGAATGATCAAACCTGCACCCGCAGCTTCAATGGCTTGATAAATGACCCATTCTGCGGTTGAGGATTCTTCGTCCAACAGAGTAAACAGCCCAAGCCCTATAACCATAATCGCATATCCGGCATGGTGGAGTGGGCGATAGCGGCCAAATTGAGCCAGAAGTTTTCCGGATATGGCGGCAAACGGGATCAACATCAATATCGTGGGAAGTAGCTGGACACCGGAGCGTCCAGGAGTCGAAATGAGTACGCCTTGGAAATACACTGGAAGGAAGTATATCGCCCAGATCGTGGTAATGCTGTGGAGGAATGTAAGGATAAAGGCCGTCAATGATGTGCGATTCGAGAAGAGGTGCAGAGGCATAGTTGGATCCACACAGAATCTGGATCCTTCAAAGAAAAGGAAGCCAATAAGTCCCGCAAAACCGATGACTAGCGGGACAATGATACGGTAGGACGACCAAGGATACAATGCACCGGCCCAAGACAAAGATATCAAAATCGAAACCACTGATCCGACGAAGACCCCAGTGCCGATCCAATCGATGTTGCTGAGTCTCGTCGCGAGCGTGTCCTCTTTCTTGTACTTGACCTTCAAGAAGAGAACCAGCAGGACCAGTGCCGCGCCACCTATTGGGAGATTGAGGTAGAACACCCATCTCCATGAGGTATGTTGAACAATTAGACCACCGAAAAAGGGGCCGAGGGCTGTCCCCAGTGCGATTAGGCCGAATATCAATGCGAGATAGTTTCCTCTCTCTCGCAGCGGAACCAAGTCGCAGATGATGATTTCGATAAGGACGTTGATTCCGCCGGCACCAAGACCCTGGATAGCGCGACCTGCGATCATCATGCCCATGTTATGCGCACCGCCCGAGATTCCACTCCCTAGGATGAACAACGCTGTGGCTATGATGGTCGGCCAACGTCTGCCGAAAACGTTTGCCAGCTGCCCAAAAAGTGGCTGTAGCGCGGTCCTAAATTGCGCCCCTGTCATCATTCATGCCACAAGGGACCTTGGATAAATGCCAACTTACATGCACAAAAAATACACGTTGACTGCCCAGATGTACTGATCTGCCCCCCCAAGAGCCCCGATAATTGTTGGCAGAGCAGTTGATGTGATGGTTGCTTCTAGGGCAGTCAGGAGCCCGTCAACTGCAAGGGCTGCTATGATTGCCCAGAATCGCAGGCCCTTGCTCCTCATAGATGTCTTTTGCTGGAGAATTTCATTAGTTTCTCCGCTGCTCCCAGCCGTGGTCTCGCTTGATCTTGTCTCGTCCATCGTTAATCGCTCCGCTTTCTGGCCCTCGGTAGGGACCACGGTATCCCCGCTGGGAAGACCTGGTTCTGACATTGTGTAACCGAAGCTCTGGAACTTGTTATCCAGCCCTCCACCTTGGAATGAATATCGAGTGATCGGGTGGTGTTCGAAGGTTGGGAAGGGCTGAATACTGTGATAGAGTGGATGCTGCGGTGTATGTATATCTTTGACGTCCTCAAAGTTCGTATGGTTACTCGATCCGCCCGCTGCAACACATGAGAGATGCGCAGCCGTTAATGTTATTGCAGTTGAAAAAGTGGAGCTTATCAAGATAAAAAAAGAAATCAAGAGATATTGGCTGTCAACCCAAGAGTGCAACGTCACGATGAGCCTATGGACATTCTGGAATTGACCGCAGCTTTTGCAGGATAAAGTGCCACCCCTCTACTTAGTCTACCGGAGCTGTCCGACCTAGGTGTACATCCATTCTTATATCGACGACGGAGTTATCTGGGACAAGATCTCCGGGCAAGGGAACATCCGAAGGCCGCAAAGTTTGGAATAGGCGGGAATAGAATATACATCGCTACGCGGCGCGCGATTCGAGTTTGCTTCAGATCCATCTGATTGTAGGGATGGGCAACTTGTGTTACTACAGTTCGCTACAAGGAGGGCCATCACACTCAGCATTCGAGCGCTATTCACGGAAGGCCACTCCATCTGGTTCTTTTTGAGATACCCTTCAGGTGACAGGTGCCCCGGGCAAGGAGAAGAGTTACCCAAGAAGCCATCATTTATCTCATGATGAGCCAATCCCGGGTAGAAATATAATGACTCTGAGCAGCCTTTAAGTGCCACTCCGGCCGATCGTATCCGCCGTACTGTATGTGGCCAAGCACGGCGGCGAGGCTTAAACGGAACAGCAGCCAATCGCGATCCGGTGTTCCGGGCGGCGCGGTCCGTTTAAACTTCCGGATCGCGCATTTCAAGCTTAAGCTTACCGCTGGTCTCGGAAGCGATGTATTTTACACCGGTGCTCGGCTGCTGTAATCTATCTTCTAGCGCCTTGGCGTCGTGGGAGCCGGTCAGACTGGATTGCACGTATGCACAGCGAGCCACGGTGTCCGACCATTGCCGGAACGGATGCGAAAACAGATAGATGTTAACAATTCGCCCGGAATCTCAGCTACATATGTGTGATGTAAAGGGGGGATTCGGCTTCGGAGCGTATTTTACTCGTTGAGAACCAGTCAATCCGCCATAATGTGTTTTCTACGGAGTACACCATATGAGATTCGGGAACTACAAAGTACTCTGTACTTTCATTGGCATAGGAGAACATTGTGTGCAGGTGCCAGCTGATTAGCACAAGTAGCCCGAATTTCGTCTTTGATCTACCGAGTCCAGCTATAGCGTGAGTCGGACATATTTGACGTTCCCATCGGTAGTCAAGGTGGTCGGACGTATAATGGTATCAACAAACAATAAGATGCGATCAACTCGTACTCAGAGGCCTAGGGGGCGTTGACGAAGATTCCGTCGCACGGTCTTGGCCAGGATCACCACCAAATCGGACGAGTCTTGCTTATCACCTTGATATTTTGAGGGCCAAACCATCCAGTGTACTCCGCATCCTAGGGCGACAAAAAAGTGGGCAAGCATGGCGGCTCCTCCAGAGGTCACTATGAAAAATCTCAGCGGCATTTGGGTCATGGTGGGTAACTTATTCAATGTCCAGTCCATTTCCCATAGTCGATGGTGGGAATTCTAACACCTTCACTCGCATATAGAGCAAAAATCTATCAGGCGACTTAGATCCTTGCCTCGAAATACAAGGCATTCCATGGATTGTTCGCAAAGCCGTTTCTTGGGCTACCGTAACAGGACGCCTGAAGCAATTAAGAACTGAAGGTGGCCTGACAACCATTCACATCGACCAGACCGCGACGGGAGGCATCAAAGGCGAATCAGAGAATCATCAGCTGAATTGGATGGAATTCACGCATGGTTCGGGCATGTTTGGAACACAGAAAGTACGCACCCGATGGACAACAATCGATCAAAACTCAGTTAGTGGTGACGGGACTCCACTTGATCCGTTCCTCACGGCGGATTGGTTAGATGAAGAGGGAGGAGACCTTAGCTTTGAGGCCGGTTCTGATGACGGGAAGCATGTCCAAGTATACGTGGTGAGTAGTAAGGGAGGATGGACAGCGGAGCAGATCTGGGGATTTGCAATGATAGAAGGAGAGAGATATCATGTCCGCCGGTTTATTGTCAGAAAGGGTGAAAGAGCAGCGAAAGTGAGAATGGTATACGAATGGAAGGGAAGACTCGAAGATAGTTGATGGAAATCGCCTTCGATGCTTTCTTTAAGTCGCAGGAATAGAGTTGGTGATCAATTTATGATGTGATATAAGGGTTGTAAGAACGATTAACCGGCATCAATCAATTGGTATTAAAAGAGCAACATCTAAGGAGATTAAATCTAAGATACTTGAGCAAGATACTTTAAGGGCCTTGGGAAAGCGTTTATTCAACCCGCCTCGGACTCAGGCGGATAACAAAAATGCTACAAGAAGGAAAGGGGATCGAAAATAAACTCCAAGGAATTTCACCATTTATTTAGGAGACCTCACCGTCCTCTGCAACATAGTGCTTTCCCACAATAGACAAAAATACTTGATCAAGCGTAGTCTGGCTGACGGAATAAAATTCGATTCCAAGGTCTAGTCGGTTCGCTTCAAGAAGGGAAAATACTCTGCCGACGCTGACGCTCTCCGTATTGTTCATAGCGCTGTTGGAGCTTGCAGGTAGCCCGTCCGTAGGTTTGTTCGACTCGCCAGCGTCGCCAAAACTATGTACGATCCTGTCTGGGTCATCAGACCTGGAGTTAACGGATGAGACCGCATCAGAGTGTGAATTCAAGGCTTGAACGCTAAATCGTAATTGTCCATGGTATGTCTTCTGTTCAACAGATGCGCCAGGAAGATGGTCTATAATCCAACGGCGGACCTTTTCCATATCTTCGTTGCTCGTATGCGGGGCTGACTTATGGACCATGTGGACATGATAGGCGTTACCGTGTCGTTTGCGCAGATAATCGGTAGTTCCAAGAGCAAGCATCCTTTTCGCCATAATTCCGGCACGTTTCGCGAGAGCATCAGCCTCTTCCATAGAATGCGTGGTCAAGACTAGAGAGCGTCCAGGCACAACTGCTGCGAGGGTGCGCCACATGATTCGCTTGGAGGCGGCATCCATTCCGGACGAAGGTTCGTCAAGCAAAAGGACCGTTGGATTGCCCATCAATGCAATTCCAAGCGACAATTTCCTCTTGTTTCCTCCCGATAGCTTGGCCGCCATGCGATGGCGGAACGGGTGAAGACCAACTGCCCAGATAATTTCGCTGACGTTGTGTTCAACGTCCGAAATCCCGCGGATGCGAGCATAGAACCTCAAGTGTTCCAAAACCGTCATTTGATCCATCGCATCGAACTGTGGACATACACCTAAGTGAGCTCGCGCGGTGGCACGCTGCTTAGTAACCGATACATTCTCGACAAAGACCTCTCCGCCTTTCCGAGATGGTTGAATGTCACCTCTAATAAGACTTATAGTTGTCGATTTTCCTGCGCCGTTAGGTCCAAGCAATGCAAACACTTCGCCCCGTGCTACTCCAAATGTGACATCTTGGACAGCAATAAATTTCCCAAATGACTTCGTCAGGTGCAGAACCCTGAGGCCATCGCTAGAGCTCGAGACTCGGGTAAGTTCATTATTGAGGTCTTCATCCCCGCTGAGATCCTCTTCTGGATCTTCTTCTTTGGTTTCCTTCCGGAATCTACGAAGGACAGGTCCACTATCCCACCAGATCAAGAACCCGAAAAGAAATATTGACTGAAGAACAAGATAAAGGATAGGACCTCCGTATAATTTGATCTCTCCCGGGTATGATGCAACTTCTTTGCCTCTGCAGAGAGTGGAAAAGATGTTGAGGGCCGTAAATATGGACCTCGTAACATTGCCGATTGGAGCGAGAGCCGCAATCACAAAATGCATTGTGGTAATCAGACTGTTTACTCGAGTAGTCGGAGCGTACGTCAGAACTGACATGTAGGCAATGAAGTAGAGGAGAAACATGACCCTAGTAATCATTAGCATCGGCATCAACCTCGGTCGGGAACAGTTACTCACGCTTGAGCGCCTGCAGAAAAAGCAAACGCAGCCAGTTGAGATTTTGCCAAAAGTGATATGACATATGCAAAGAGAGTTGCGGCAATACCGTAGAGGAGTAGGACAACAAACAGGTATCCCGGATAGTACCATGTATCCGAGACCCCCCTAAAGATGATAATCACCAAAACACTGACTGCAAGTACAATCAGAGAATCAAAGCAGAGATAGGCAAGCCAGAGTGGAAAGCTTCGGACCCCATTGCTATAGTGAAGTGCGCGGACGTTCCTGAGTCGCTCGACAGTGAGATAAAGGGAGAAAAAGGCCGGGTAAACGGAGAGAGCTAGACCGAAGTAAACGATCAGCTGGAGAGCTTGACCCGAGTTCTCGGCAAAAGGAAGCTCGAAGCTTTGATATTGCGTGCTGATTGAGACGTTCGTCAGGAGATTGTCCATTGCGTTTTGAACAATCACGGGGAGCGATATATCTCCGTTTCCCTTCCAAGCAAAGGTTGGCGGCGAGGATTCATCGCCCAGGAAGAAACCTCCTGGGGTTACGTTTCGGAAATTATTGTCGATATAATTGTTGAATTCCTCCAGTGTGTTAACGATATGTGTGTTGTTGAGAATTGAGGCATTGAAATTAGGAGAGGAGGAGCCAGGCAAAGAGCTCGCGAATTCGCCTATCGACGACGGTGTAACCCTGTTTGCTGGGCCAATAACTAACTCAAGATCAACTTGGGATAAGAGAGATTCGATATCGAATTCGAGCGTAGTTCCCGGGCCGGAACAGCCAGGCCGCTTGAAATTCTTTAGGAATAGTGTCACCAAACCAGCAGCAATGATAGGAATGAAGAAAGCAGCCAAGTAAGGAAGCCAATTCCGGCGGAGAATTGTGGCTCTTTTGCAAAACAAGACCCAAGTTTGCTGCGCCATCCCAATGCGTTTCCCGGTTAAGAGGTCTAGGGTTTGTTGAGATTCCTTGACATCACTGAACTTCTCGTCTTTGGGGAGGATTGGTCGGAGCTGAACCTCTTCCGCTACTTTCAGGAACACATCTTCGATAGTTGGGCCACTAACAGAGTAATCTGAAATTCCAAGTCGCTCCAGTGCCGTAACAAAAATTGCCGCCTCTGAAGAGTCTGGAAGACTGTAAACAATGTGATCGTTCTGTTTTTCCGACGGTTCACTCCTAAAGGTCGATACAAACGACTTTTCGGGACCCGGACCGTGATATACATGAACTCGATAACCCGACCCAAGGCGATTCTTAAGCTCGACACTTGATCCTGTAACTTTTAGGGAACCCTTAGACAGGATGGCAATATGATCCGCCAAAAGGTCGGCTTCATCCAAAAAATGCGTAGTCAGCAGAATTGTCCGCTCTCCCTGCTCAGCGAGTAAAATATCCCAGATCTTTCTCCTTGATATCGGATCGAGGCCCGAAGAAACCTCATCAACACAGCAAACGGACGATCCTCCAGTGAACATCATAGCCAACTGGAGCTTTCTCTTCTGTCCGCCAGATAAGGTTCGCGACTGGGCAGTTGTCTTTTTATCTAGGTCACATGCTGTGATAAGTTCGAGGAGCCTCTCCTTAGTGTCAACCTTGTTGGCTGCCTTCAGACTATTGAATATCCGAACATGCTCCAGGACGGTCAGACGATCCCATAGAACATTTCGCTGAGGACACAATCCAAACCCACCGCCCGTCTCGGTATAGTTAACCGCAACTTGTCCAGCAGAGATCTTTGAGAGGCCAGAAATCGCGTCCAGTGTGGTGGACTTCCCACTTCCATTAGCACCAAGCAAGACCATAATCTCACCCTTACCCACTTCAAGGGTCAGGTCGTCAACGGCCAATACTTCTTGCCGTCGGCTACCGAGCATCGGGCCGATCTTTCTGTAAAACCAGTTGGGCCTGTATATTTTAGTGAATCTATTTAATGAAACAGCGGTCGTAGTTTCATTGGATCTTGTGGTCTTCCTGTCTTTGCACTGCGTTCCATAGAATAGCCGTTCAATCCATGCACCGAGAACTGGATAAACTAGGATCTGGACGATAAAAAAAATCCAAAAAGCAATCCCTGGGATGGTCCATGGACTTTCTGGGGCAGACTTGACCATATTGGTTGGAAGATTTTGTCGTTCCCAGCGTGCCATTAATATTGTGAAGTTGATGTAATTCATAGGAGGAAATAGAAGAGAAAGAATTGCAACGCCGCCGTTGCTTTCCGGACCGACAATTTGAGAAATGATACCCAGCAAGAGGCAAGCAATAGTCACGGATATTCCACTGAGCTGCGCTCTTTTGAAAAAAGATGCACCAAATAATGAAAATGAGGATAAAGAAAGGCCGGCTAAGAGATGAAATATAAGCAGAATCCCGGGCGATGTGTTGCTGAATACGCCCAGGCTCAAGATGATTGCAATTACGATCCATCCCGGTGCATAAATCGCATCCAATGCGAGATGTGCAGCAACGGATCGGGCAGCCTGTGCTTGCCAGAGTGCATTATTCGGCATCATACAATCGATAAGCTGGCTCATGCCCAATTCACGTTCAGCTGCGACTAGGCCCGTGAGTTGATATGTCACACCGACAATGCCAATCAGAAACGCGATGGCAAGGATGTCAATAATTGCGCCCATATAACGAATGCGAATAGTCTGTCTTCGTTCTTCTGCAGTTTTCGACGTGTACGGGTATTCCAGAACCTGCAGGGTAAGGAGCTCGTTAGACCCCGTGCAAAAAGTGCCATAGCCGTAACGTAATTAACGGATTGGTGGGAAGAATTCAAACCACTGACCTCTTGTTGGGGCAAGCCACCGTTATTTGTATCATCGACAGATGCAATAGCCCAATCCACTGCATGCTGGAATGGAATAATATAGATCTCAGCATCATTGTCAATATCCGTGGTCCGAATCTTGCCGCCGCCCAAGCTGCCATCCGCCTTGAGCGTATAATTCCATTTTTCATCGGGACCCTCGGTGGGAGACGAATAAAACACTGCAGCTGCTATGCAGTAACTGGTGCCTAGTAATGTACTTTTGCAGGCATCGGCCAGCTGATCCGGAGAAGAGAGGATTTCCACTTTCTTCCCACTCGATCTGACGGGCTCTGCGACCCGTGCGATCACCCGATCGATGGCTCCTCCAGTAAATCCATTGTTAACGAACACTACTTTGTCTCTCCCACCAGAGACAGCGCCGAGAGCGTCGGGCAAAGATCGGACGGGAGTTGGTTCGCCGATGCCAAATTCCGCCGGCGGAATGAACAAATTACGGGCATAAGACCTGATCGGAACGTTAGGATATCCGAGAGGAATCGGAGACGAGGCACTTTTTCTGATAAACGTACAAGAATGCAACGAAGATAACGGGCAAGAGAAATGCGCGAATCGAGGTAGTAAACCAAGGGCGAACGAGCGTTATCAGGATATTTTTCAGGAACAAAGTCCAAACCTGGCGGAGGAATATCATGCTGTCAAAACGAGTCCCATTCCCGGACAAAGCTAACGATTCAAGATTATTAAAGGTAAAGAGAGGGAGCCGTATTTTACTGTTGAGGCGAATGCCATCAGGAGAGAGAGACAAAAAGAGAGTGACCGCACGTCTTCATTCAAGGTGAATGAAGCGAAAGAGTGATTGCAGGCAGCCGTTTTTCCCAGTTAGCGACTGACAGGGGGATGCATTGCGATCAAGGGCCTCTCGTGCCGGGGACACACAGCCTTGATGGCGGTTTCATCCCGACAGATTTCCAGCACGACAGCTGCCGCAGCGAGACACCCCCGGCTCCGTGAACTTCCATGGTGGAGAGCGACAGGCCGTGTGAGTGGCCCGGGAGGTCTCGCGTGCGGGTGGAGCAGACTGCACGCCAACCCTCGCTTGCGGAGGACGGTGGCGACTGAGCTGCTCCGGACGAACCCCAGGGGAACAAGAATACAATAGTACTCCGCAGTCAGTGGTTATTAGTTACCAACTCGGGGTTTGAGAGCAAATACGTTATTTTTAAAAACTCTTGTCATTGCTGTCAATCTACACCGTGAAACCAACACCAAAGTCAAGTGTGCACACATCGAGAGCAAGTTAGCAACACAAGAGCATAAAATGAAAAATGATGGGCGCTCCTATTAGTTACGGACATAACCACAAGAGGCGCCCAACAGAGTACTTTGTGCGGACACATCGCAGTCAATGCTCCTTGTACTCCATACTTACGGAATAAATATAGACCCAATCCTAGAATATGGCGGCATTATTCCGCCTCCTGATGGAAAATGCATGGCTACTCAGCGCCTGACGTTCAAAATTCATCTCGACTAGAAGTAGAGAAGCATACAGGTTATTTTATACGCTGTCTATTGTCTATATATCTCACTAAATGCTAATCAAAGTAAAACCGGCATTCTGTAACTACACAAACGTGCAACTAAAAATCGAATCTTCTGAACATCAAAATGTGTGAAAAGCAAATAGCCTCCTCTGGGTAGGCCAAGTTTTTTACATTAGAGCCCCAATGTATGTGTTTTTGCCTGATGAGAAAACTTTTTATACACAGAAACAGACAGAGAGCTTTAAACACAGATAGTAGGGGAAGGGTAATTACACATGTAGAAAAGAATGAGACGATCTGCCATATGAATACATAAATGCACATAAACAGCCGTCAGTTGGAATTAGAAACTACTATTTTGAAATGGCAAAAAAAAAAAAAAAAAAAAAATTGGAAACAATGAACATCCGCCATATGGATGTCATCGCTATCACGGGTCCGATCGATAGCGGACGCTAAGATGATGCGCTTATATATATATATATATATTGGATGTTTGTACACACATCATCTCCGGTTGAAGTTGAGATATCGCGACTGTAAAAAACAAATTGAGAATCAGTATGGTCATCCAAATATTTCAAGAATGAAGGCGATAAATCTTACCCCGACGAACAGCAAAATCAAATTCGACGCGATGAAGCACAGGAAAATACCCAAGTCTCTCCACCGATTGCTGAATTCCATGCCAAAAGGTTTATAGAATTGGTCTCCCACCTTATATGCACAGTATTCGCATATATCGGTGGCATTCTTTACCAGGTACCCAGGGCCACCGTTTGCGAAGAACTCTTTCATGTATGAGAAGCAGTCCTGTCCCGGAGGCGGGACGAATCGGTTCAGTTCCTCCGGCTTGCAGGTCACCGGTCTGTCATGCAGCTCGGTAACGATCATGCCGCTCATCAACCGAGTAAAGGGGTCCAATTCGTACAACCACACTCGCCAAAATTTAGGAATCTGAGGTCTAGGAATAGAGACGCCACAGAAAAGGAAGAAGATGATAATAACTGGCGGATTCAAAAGCATAGCAATAAATGTGCTAGGCGTCAAGGCTGAGATCGTCTGGCCTAACGTGACGGCGAAGAACTCGGTAATTAGGATCATGAAGAACTGATATCCGGCCCGGCTGCTAGCCGACTGCAAACCTGGGATATAGTAAAGCGGAAGGAAGAAGCAAACGGCGCAGAGAATACTATAGGGAACTTCCGCAAGGACCATAGACAGGGCGAAAGGGAATTGTTTATAAGCTTTTGCGGCAGATTCACGATAGAAAATCAAGCGAGACATGTCATACTTTGGCTCAACCTGTGCGAGAATAAGTGCCGGAATGACTGTAATTTGGAAGAGAACGAAGATGCGGTACTGGAGAGAGGATCGAGAATCATTCAGTTGGAGATAACACAGCCCAGTGATCAACGCAAGTGCCACATGGCTGAAAAGACGTGTAAATCCATAGTTTGGCGATCGCCAAAACGCAAGGTTGGTCCTTCGACACACAACTTTGATCTGATGCCATATCGGGGTGGCGTATTCCTTCTCGGCATCCGCAGATGCGGAAGCCCCTTCAGTTGCCTTGACACGCTCGTCCTTGATTTCGACAATCCGTTGTTTAACTTGCTCAAATTCGGGAGATGTCTTCCAAACGTCTCCCCAGTCACGGCTTCCAATCCGTGGTGTCTGTCCAGCACCGATCGCATCAAGCATCCATTCAGCCGGGTTCGCGTTAGATGGGCAATCGGCACCATTGCGGTGGAAGTAATCACGGAGAACGCGTGCATCCGTTCCAATATCACCAAAATATACACACTCGCCACCTCGTTGAAGCAATAGCAGACGGTCAAAGTTCTCAAACAGTGCAGAATTCGGCTGATGAATGGTGCAAAGGATCGCTTGACCCGCAGCGGCAAGCTTTCGGAGGAAACGGACAATGTTAAAGGCGGACTGACTGTCGAGACCGGATGTCGGTTCATCCAAGAATAGCAGCAGTTGTGGTTTGGCAGCGAGTTCCACGCCAATTGTAACACGCTTCCGCTCTTCGACCGATAGTCCAGTTTCTGGGTCACCGATAATGGCATCTGCCAGGTTTTCAAGTTCAAGGAGGGAGATGATCTCTTCGACGTATGCGAACTTCTCTTCTTCGGGTACCTCATAGGGTTGGCGAAGGGTGGCAGAAAACCGAAGCGCTTCTCTGACGGTCTGCGTCGGCTCGTGGACATCGAGCTGCTCTGCATAAGATGTCCCGCGTTGGAACGATGACCGCGGAGTACGTCCGTCAACGAGAATATCACCAGTGATAACACCAATATTCTTTCGCGCGGCTAATACATCAAGAAGCGTTGTTTTACCAGCACCACTAGCGCCCATCAAGGCCGTAAGTTTCCCCGGTTCAACATATCCAAAGACGTTATTGAGCAGGCGGCGAGTGCCACCAGGGACTGGAACATCGTAGCATAGATCCTCCCAAGACAGAACGGACTTCGACTCGATCTTCAAGTTCGATTCCGATTCTTCCGATTTCTTCTCTTGTCGGTTTCGCTTTTTCTCCTGAAGTTCCGAGTTAAGCTTCTTCAATTCATGGGTCTCCTTCGCAAAGAAAGTTACGGTCTTGCCTCCAGCACCATATGTGAGAGCTTCACCCAAGTAAGCATTCGCACAAAGGAAAACAACGATGAGAACGACCATGATGCCCCAGTTCCTCCAAAGGTCAGCAGGGTCATATCGGAACTGAAGTTTGATGTAATTTGAGCCTGGGATAATACTTGAACCCGGGTCGCCACCGGGAAGAGTGCAGACTTGATGTGATAAATTTGTGTACCCGGGTCCTGCTGGGATGAGAGACTCTGGGGTGCAGGTCATGTTCAGTCGCCCGAATTCGTTCATCATTAGCCCAGAAAACCCCAAGCCGACTGCATTGATGTAGAAAAACCACCGAAGCCACACTTGTTGATCCTGCCATTGGATGAGGTATCCGGAGGTGACGACAAACAGCGTGATGATGATGGACACACCTTTCAGGGCGTAATCAAAGTCTGGACAAACACATCCGACAGTACGGAAAAACAGTGTCATAGAGAGATACCCGGTGATGATGATGAGAACGAAGGTGAAGAAAGCTCCCGCATCCAGAACCAAGCCGCACATGAAATAGACTATAACACTGAAGACGAAAATTTGCACGGAAGCGAAGGCCAGGTCGACGGCTATTTGGGCAATCCAGAGAGCGCTTGGACGATGAAAAGTATATGCACGATGCTTGTTCACGATCGGCCGGCCCAACATAGTAGATGCCAACTCGCTAAAAGCTTGCAGAGCATTAAACAAGAGCGAGATAAACAAAACACCGCCACGGGTAAAGGCTCCAGCGCTTGTCGTAGGAAGCTTGAGCCACACTGTACCAAGAACGATGGCCACGCCGATAGATGTGATCCACGAGACTGCGAGAGAGAACTTATCTTGCCACTTGATCAAGAATTGACGCTGCATCAGGGCCCAAACTTGAAGATAAAACGGAATTGAATAGACCGACGACTTTGACGTGAATTTGCGCTTCGCTTCGAGGTGAGCCATTTCGAAATCATCATAGACGTGCTTCTCCTGGTCCAGCTGGGCTCGGTATGTATCCATTTCCTGTTCAAGGGCCTCGTTGAATCGAGACTTCTCGAAAGCTTGAACAAGAGCATCTGGTGTCGAGGGAGTATTTTCTGCGTTTCGACCTTCCTTATACTCTCGCTCAAAGGAGTCGGTGCATCCAGTCAAATAGTCCGGGGTTGTCTGACGAGGCTTTTCCTTGAAACCCAGGTCCTCGAAATACGCTCGTGCTTCCTTTGTAGGACCAAAGTAGACCTGGCGGCCTGAGTCGATCACCATGACTTTATTAAACTGATCATAGATATTCTCAGAGGCCTGGTAAAGAGACACGAAAGTTGTCGTCTGATATATGTTAGTCAAAATACGAAGCGATTTGGCGTAATCGAGCGCAGTGGACGCATCCAAGCCTCGAGTGGTATTATCCCAAGCAAGGACCGTAGCAGAGGTAACCATCATTTCTGCAATGCTGACGCGCTTTCGCTCTCCTCCAGAAACTCCACGGACAAACTGATTGCCAACAACGGTGTTGATCGTATGTTCAATGTTGAACATCTTCAAAAGGAGGTTAATGATCTACAGCAATATTAGCATCTAGCACCTGAAGGTCGGAGAAAAATCGACACGCACCTTTTCTTTGAACTCAGCCTTGGACATGCCAGCAGGGCGCTTCCCGGGCGTCTTAGTGTCCAAGGCGAATCCAAGGGTTTGACCAACCGTCAAGGTTGGATGATGCACGTCATCTTCCTGATTATAGACAGCTTCGCCTCTGAAGCGTTTGGCAAAAGCACTGGCGTCAAAGGGCCCATAGCGAACTTCGCCATCAACGCCTGTATAGCCGAACCTTTGGTTTGCTATCACTTTGAGGAATGTCGTGCAGCCGGCTGAAGGTTTGCCCAGTACCAGGACCATCTCGCCAGGCTTTGCGACGCCCTTGAAGTTCTTCAAGATCTCAAATTCTTTACCTTTTCTCCCCAGACCAAAGATATGCATAATCGTCTGGGGAACATTGAAGAAGTCTACAACGGCATTGGGAAAGGTGCGGACAATATTTCTCACCCCGCCTATCCCTCGAACGGTGAGGCCGTCCCAGATGACCCCTAACGATATGGGTTAGCCTCATGCTTACCTATGATAGAGACGGTGCTCCTGGTTCTTACCAATCCGCTTAGGCCGGATGCCAGCGTCCGCTTCGGCGGTTCTGGAACCGCGGAGAGTGGTCTCAAGGTCAAAAGGTTCTCCTTCCGTTGACGTCTCTATATCTTCGGGCGTCTTCTCGTCGAGCCGGCTTGATTGTTGGCGGGACAGGCGTTTGGCCCGTTCAGAGATCCCCGTCAGTTGCTTGCTCAGCTGGGCGAACTCCTCCTCGGCCCTCTGAACGTCAACTCCACTTGTTGGTCGCGTGAGGCCCTGAGGGTTTTCATTTCTCAAGTTCTCCCTCCTGGCTTCATAGTCACTGCTGGTGAATAGGGTTTCTCCATCAGAGCTGTCCGTGGGTTCCCGGGTTTGCGGGGGCGGATCCCCAGAGCCACTTCCAGGCATTCTAACAGCGAGAAAAAGAAAAAATAAAATTTAACGAGATGAATATGTCCGCTTTGGCTGAATATAAGTTCAAAGCTATGAAATAAAGGAACGTCGGCAGAGTAGGATACAAGAAATGGTCAATGTTGAGGGTTCAGGACGCAACAACATCACCCTAACGAACCAGGTTTAGGTATCAGGAGAGAACGGAAAATAAAGGTGCAAAGCGAGTGTTTTTAAAAAAAAAAAAAAAAAAAGGAAAAAAGGCTCGAGCTTGGCTCCCTTGTTATACGGAGGTTTCCGTATGAGATGGGAACCGTTGCAAGAGTTGCGAAGGGAGAAAGAGATGATGCTGGGGGCATTCCGGAGTTGATAACAACATAAATTTTCCTCCCTGTACGGGCGGTAAACCCGAATGGGTATGAAGGAATCCCCGGAACTCTCTGTCAAATTGGAAGTATCTTGGGAGCTGGGTCCAAAAAAAAAAAAAAGGGTAAAATAAAATAGGAAAAGAAAAAAAAAAAAAAAAAAAGAAAATACGGCCCCACAGGCCACCAGAAACCCACGGCATGGTTCTGGCCACTGTTTTGCGAACCAGTTCAGCAATGGACACTTGATATTGGACTTGCATAGTACGTATCTGTGGACTCTTGTCCATTGGGAGCATGGATCCATTACGTCAATCCGATCTATCTGAAAGCACGAATCGGGCACTATCCCGGGTGTGAATTTCCCGGGAGACAACCCTAGCTTCAGCCATCCTGGGTATCTTTCTCACCAGGGCGCGCAGGTCGACAACTCGATGGATCATGGACCGCCGCCACAAGCGATTCAAGGGCCGCCGCGCAGTAAGCCGGTCGGAGTTAAGACGCACGAAGACGCCGATGTCACGTGGAACGGTGAACCCTAGATTTTTCCAAACACGGTTAGTCTGAGCCGGTGCGGGAAAAAGGCCGGCGGTGATTGGCTCTCGGGTTCAATACCAGCGGGATGACATATGTCCCGGTACGTATTGTTACGACCGGAATTAGTCAGAATTAGTAATATTAAAGTCCGTGCCGAACCTGGTGGGCGCCACTCGCGTGGCTCTGCAGCGTCCACCATTGGCCGGTGACTGGTGGCGGTGGGGTTCCCTCGAGTCATTGCGAGGCACCGCTGCCTTATCTGATCGGCCCCCGGACACGGCCGCTGATGGGCGTTTCAGGGCGGCCGAGCTGGCCAGTTTCAGCCAACACCGATAGTCAGCGTCAGGGTCCCAGGAGTGAGCGAGTGTCCATGAGGTCCTCCCTTTTCGTCACGCCTTTTTGTCACAGGTTAAAACCTGGCCCGGAGACTTTTTCGTGTCCGCGTCCCGAGGATGCCTTAACTTGCAACACCTTAACTCCGTCGAACAGGATCTTGAAATTCCAGCTGGATCTTCTCGAACGCGAAGGATACGGAGCACCTTTTTGTTTTCTCCCACGCCTCTTTCCTCCGTCGAGTATATGCAATCACTCACCAACACACACTCAGAGATGGGGTTTTAGTCTTTGGGCAAGAGAAAAGACATGCACGTTGGGAACTGTGGATTCGAATCTGCGTGCCGGCGATACGATGTCCTCAATGTGGAAGAAAACCTGTCACGAAAAACACGCGTGTTTTTTTTGTGTTGCATTTCAAGCCACGTGAAGTACGGCTCGGGATCATCCCAGCAAACGATTGGACCATCCCGGATTTCCCAGGACTTGCTTCTGCCAAATCCATGGAAATGTTTCTTACGGCACGCTCTGGATGGTCGCGCTGAGGCATTCGCGGCTTGACAATGCGGGTAGCTCAAGTGCGCCATCCCGATATATGCAGATCCCAAAATTGGGACCTTGATATGAAATCTCTAGGTTTAGTGCCCGGCTCCACGTCACAGTCAAGATGTTCTGCACAAACATACCTTTGGCTCTAACCAAATATCAAAACTCATTGATCCCCGTGTCGGGGAAACGTCATAACCAGATTCGGCTGTATTACGTCCGTTCAGGCTGGGAATCCATCTCAATTGTCCTTTTCTATCTCGTATACGGCGTACTGAGCTTGCAGAAACAATGTCTAGACATCAGGTCAGTATGTATTGACACGTAGCAGTATAGTACGATGCATAAAGTAGATACGAATGAGATGTTGTAAGTGATAAGAAAAAGAGAGGTAGAGTCTGGTGTGGCCACAACAATCAATAGATGGACTGGCTGAAAGCAAGCAAGGAACAACTTGAATTTAGGCTAGATCTTCCTCACATACTCCGTCCTCTAGAGGAACGAGGTCCTCCACGCAATCCTCGGCCCATCATCATCGGGAGCGTCATATAATTAAATTGGCGGTCGAGGGTGATTTAATATTTCTTGCCAGGCATTTTCCAAGCATCAGAATTGCTAATATACATGGATAGTCCCGTCATGGCAAAGGCGGACATCACAAGAGGTGGCTGGATACCAAATCTAGAAATATTAGGCCGGATCTCCCCAGAGAAACTTTAACTTGACCTACCTGCATTCTCAATTCGCACATCCTTTTCGTCTCAGAGGGCCATTCAGACGTCACAGGTGCCATTCTACCCGTAAACTCTCATATCCAATCTTTGATTTCCTGATTTAGGAGATATTGAAAGCCCGTAGCACAGAGCTATCATGGTCTGATGCTGATTTGCGGCGAGGGCAGCCGCGTGGAAAAGCCCTTTGATCCTGCTCTGTGTTCAATGCGAAAACAATGATTTCTCCTCTGAGATCCTTCTTGCTCAAGGAGTATTTGCCGGGTATTTATTCCAACAATTCATTTTTGAACACACTCATCAACTTCTGTTGGAAATTTGGCCTCTCAGTAGGCTGCGCGCAACCCATGCTGCATCCTGCGTCATGCATGGTTGTTATGTTCAGCTTTTGAGCCTGTCTACGGAGTAGACTGGTTCAATTTCTGGCCAACTTGCGGCAAGTTCAGCTTGATAACCCTTCTCTTTATCACTTCATGCATGCTTTGAATCTGGCTGGCTAGGAATGCTATCCGGAAGCATGCTTGTCTCACTGTTGGCACGAGCAAGAGATATAACAATGATCTGCAAAAGACCTGTTTTTGAAGAAGCCTAGACCGTTTTACTATGGGACTGCTGTGCTGACACCGTCCAATGCGACCCGTGCTTCCATATACTTGTTTGCTTGTCACCGTGTGTTTCTGACGTAGAACTTCCCCGGAGTTGACAGCCGTTTGTTCAAGAAAAAGGCGACAGGAAGGCAACCAAGCTAAGAGTGAACGCTAGGCACACCTGCGTGGCAAGGGTATGAGAGTAGCCCAAAACTCCACCGCCGACTGTTTCCCACCGAAGACAGAATAATATATTTAGACCTCTGCGTCCTGCTTCATCCTCTTGAAAGAAATAAAATATTCCACTGGAATTGATGGCTTCTCTACCCGTCCCCCACAAAGGGTGAAATGAATTTGTGTGTCTCACTGCAAGAGGTTTGTGTTTAAACATGGGCTTTCTCTGTCTCCTCCCACCATCCTGGTCTCTCCATCCTACAACAAATCATGAGGTGTCAAGCGAGAAAGGTCCGACTTCGGCTTCGAGGCACTCCTCCAACAATTGCTTTTTTGTCAATACTCGACTTCTGAACAGTATGTATGCCATAAATCAGCTATTCCTGATAGACCGCTTTTGCTCTGACACATCATACCGTCAGGTGATTTTGCCCATCCTCCTTTTGGCGTGAACGTGGCTCCTTATCTCGTGGCCTTTCACTGGCTTCCTCATTTCAGGGATGCTGAAACTGAGTGCTCTTTTGCTGTGTGCTGATCCCGCCATTGATATCCCCAATAACGATGCACTTGATTTGCGATGCTGAGGCTCGTATCACCCCGACACCCCGTCCCTATGCTTTATTCGAGCCGGCTCAGCCAACAGTATGCGGCCAAGTACGATTCCTCAACCATGGGCTCCAGCGGTTCCTCTCCTCAAGGGAGGTTATCGCTACTGTACACCCTTCTTCTTTTTTTTTTAGCGTTGGTCGGGTAGCCACGCAGCTCCACCATCCTGTTTGACCGCACTGAATGCTACCAAAACGGCATGGAAATGCACCATCGGCGGTCGGGCAGTTATTTCGTCAGAGGCTCAAGTTTAGAGAGTTGCAACCCCGCCTCGAAGTGATTTAAAGAACCGGAATGTGTATAAAATTGAATCTGGGGCCACCTTCTCCACCGCTGGATAAATGCTAGCTGCAGGATGCCCCGTACTAAAGCTAACACTCTGAACTGTTTCGTCTCCATCGAAGAAATTGTCCACGGCTCTTTTCTAGCTTTGATCGTGGGCTCAACACCGCCAAAGAGATACCGCATCACTTAGCGCTCTCTTCAACCCATCGAACGCCATGTCTGCATATGAATCGAAAGTTCTGCGTTTCGTATTCAAAATCGACTTTATTGTGCCGAACTATGACGAGCAGTGCGAGATTCGTTTGCCCAACCAGGCATGGATTCCGCCTACGATTCCTAGTGCTGTTAAGACGGTTGGTTCAACCGGCTGGTATCGGTGGACACCAGCTGGTATTGAGAGAACAGAATGCCGTGGGGAAAAATTTCGGGTTTGTTCACTATTTTACAACTCGGAGTGTTACCATTTCCTGGGAGTGCCGTTCGATTGCCGCCAAAAAAGCGTGCAACAGTCCCGGCGGAGAGATGGTATCGGTTGGCGCAGAGTCATGTTCCAATATCTCCTTAATGACCCTTATCCCCCAATTTCAGTCATGCGCTTCGATGTGAATTATAACGTCCTTGCCGGGAAGGGTTCTGATTCCTGGATGCCGCAACTCATTCCAGAGACATACAACCAGAACCAAGAGGACTACGATTATAGCAACACTGGAATTGCTGGAGATCTCTCCCTCCTCCTCGCTTTCGCGGCTTTCTCCTGTCCCCACGATGCCTACACAGTGTTAGAAGTCATTCGTCTGTCCTTCAAACCTCCAATTTGGCACCGGCACAACCTTCCGGCCTCAAGTGAGTTCTGACATCTGCACTTTAGCTAAGTGGTATAATTCGTGCTGACGACTTTTAGGGAGACACGGAACCGGCGTGGTCGTGTCCATCCACCTGGACTCCGACTCAAATATCACAGCGCAAGACTTACGAAACATCGAGGAAGGCAAAAATGGCCCAATAATCCAGGCTTGATCCCGGAGAAGGGGAGAACAAAAGAAATATTGTCCCCTACCAGCAATCAGTAACCGCCATGGTATAAATTTGTATGTGTATACCTGTGGCTTTTTAACCAACTGTGTCCATTCATTGCCCATATTTTATCCCCCTTCTTTCTTTGAGAAGATTGGTTGAAATCCATGCAAAAGCAGGCCTTTTGACCAGACATATGGATTTGAAATGTATCTTGTTTGGTGTATGCTTTTGATACATAAGAATGGTCGCTCATAGCTTATCTTCATTCACTTTCCTCCCGCAAACTGTGATTGAAACTTTGGTTTCCCCCCTTGCTCTCCTTTGCACCACCTGAATACCTTCCATCTCAAATGTGTGCGTACTACTTCAAATCTTGTGTGAGAAATGCTGTTAGCTTACTTCAGTTTCTTGGTAGCCATATTATGACTCTGATACCAATATTAAGCTGTTACCAAATCCATCTCGGTAAACCATTGTGAAACCCCTTGAATTTTCAGTTTTTCGTAGTCCCAGGGAAATACTTATGCAGTAAAACTGTATGTTGTGGGAGATCTATACATACTGAAAAGCCCAACTGAAACCATCATCTGATGGGCAACACCGATAGCATGCTGGTGAAAGTTTCAAACAAGTGTTAAACAAGGACTATATAAGCTGCCCTTAAGAACATGGGCGTCATTATTGCACGTCGGGTAAACGGACAGCAATGTCACCAGACTGAGTTATGTAGCGGACCCAGGGCAGAGACGGATATTGGAGCTGCGGTAAAGGAATCAAACGGTTAGTGCGGCTCTTAAGGTGCCAAATGTAGCATAATATATCAAGGCCAGGGAACGAGTGAGAGATTCCCCTTGTGAGGGTGCGATCCATCCAGGGCACATGAAAAGCAACCACAATGGACATGAGAATTTTGACAACAAATGTCCGTGAAAATCCGGGGGACGATCGAACAAGGAGGGGGAAATTTATGTCTTGGCGAAAGGGATAGATGCATGCAAACGGACCAGTGACGACCAATATGAGAACTAGGATCCGTGCAAGTGACCGAAAAGGGGTCACACAGGTCACGGCAGGAGCAAAATTCCCGCTTGACAAAGAAATATGAAGAAAAAGTGGTAAGAAAACATGTCAGGTGTACATACCTTTGGTTCAATGATTTTCAAATAGCGGACTTGGATGCCGCTGGTTGTAAAATACGGGATCTCAAATTTGACATTGATGGGTCTCTTGCCCTTTGCTGTCTGCCCAGCACCACCCATGCTCCCTCCAAAGCCACCCGTCATACCACCACCATGCTCATCATCGCCCTTAACGGACGGCAGCCCTAGTTCAGCGCGCATGAGGAATTCCTTCCCACCTCCAAATTGTTTAATCTTCCATATTATTGCGGATTTCTCAGGAGCATAATGAACGGTTCCAATGTTTGTTCTAAATCGAGGTGAATCAGCATCTTCTGGCACAGGGACTAAAATTTCCACATTATTTGCTGTGCTGCGACGCTTAAATTGTGCTTTTGCCTAATCAGATTCATGACAGTCAGCCCTCACCAGCACACCATAAGGGACCCAGGCTTGGCGATGCCTACTTTTAACATGTACTCAATCCGGGACCCGGAGTGCGACTCCACAAGACATTCTACCCATATAAGTGGTTTGACTTGGGTATTCAGGCGGTAGCTCATTAGCTCAAACTCTCCATCAGGCGGAATAAAGCTGATAGTTCGGTCGTTTTCGAAACGCGATAATCGGACGCACTGGTGGAATTTAACGTCTTCCATCTCCACAGCTTTACCTCTCGTCGCCCGCCCCGTCGTTTCAAACATGACCTTGTCGTTCAAGCCCAATCGTAGTTCCGGCATGCCACTGAGATAACACTTCATCTTAATAGCTCCGAGAATCTCCGAACGCAAAACATTTCCATTCGCAGAAACGAGTAGGTTTAGTGATTCTATCACGTCCAGGAAAACCTCGTTCTTTCGGTATCGAATACCTTCGCTTCTCCAAGATACGGCGTTTGTGACGGCAATCGGAGGACGAGCCTGTATTTCCAATTTGTGTGATTCTTGCGTGATATACCTGGGAAACCCGGAGGTGTCAGTGTATTAATTTCGCCGGTCAGGACGGTGATGCCACCCAGCAGATCCCTGAATAAAGGAGAAAAGAAGATGCGCACTCCTGTAATATTTTGCTCTCTGTCGTTTGCGGGTAACCAAAATCCATCATTTCGTCAAGTAATTCATAAATAATAACGAAGTTGTCGCGGATACTCTCCTCCTCCAACTCCTTGAAGTATTCAGTGAACACCTCGACAATTTTATGAAGGAAAAGAAGGATTTCGGCGGCATTAGTATTCCGTTTCGTCAGAGCTAGAAGGTAAAGATTGCTATGGCGAATATAAAGATACTAATCGCAGCAGGAGAATCGTTAGCGCTCCTCATGCAAATGCCCCGCAAATACGTAGCCGGTGACTGAAAGCGGGCGACATACATTAATTCCTTCAGAGGAAAAGCAAGGAGGAACGGCCGAGCTCTCTTCTTCAGCTTCGCTTAAAAGAACTGGGAATTTTTCAACGGCAGACATGGGGATATCTCCCCGGTAATTGCGGGCCAGAAGGGTCTGTGGATAATAGTCTCAGCTCAGTTCGAGCAGGTGGCAGAATGGCAAAGCGTTTTTGTGTAAGGGCCAAGGGGAGAAATACCTTGCCCTTTAGGTCGAGGAAGAAGATCGCGGAGGCCATGGCTAAGGCTGTCAGAGCGGCGCGGGTGGGTTGATCGTAGTCAGCGAGAATTATTCCAATAGTTCATAGTCGTCAGGGAAGCACGCCGTCAGTCAGTCATCGCCAAAGGCGATCGCGAAAACAAGGGGCAGGTTCGAAAAGCGAAATGGTTCCCGTTCCCCTCAGGCACAATTGGCCTCAGTCAATTTCGGTCGGGGATGATACTGGAGAGACGTACTCAGTATGTATGGTCGTCAAGCCATCCGCCGTTTGCTCATCAGGGACGCATGTTGGCTGATGACGCCCCAACTCCACCGTAGTCCGAATCGAGACTAGCGCAGCATCCTTGCATTCTTAAAAATGAACATTTTTTTGTTTGCTTCGCTCTTTTTCCTTTTTCCATCAAAATTTACCTGCACCCAAAAGACAGTGCAAGCCAACATAAGCTCTTGTGGGCTTTCCTGTACGTTGCCTCTGGCTTTCTGTTAGAGATAGCACTTCAGGATTTCAATTGCTGACCCTTGCGATATGTGGTGCGGAGACCAAGTCTCTGGACGATTTCATAAGAGCTGACCGTGTATTCTTTTTACCGTTGCGCGGCCAGTGTCAGAGAAATCATACATTTTTCTTAGTTCGCTTGTATATTCATTGGTAAATGGGAGTACTCCGTACAAAGTTGTATATGTTAATACATGGGTCTATGCGGGAAGGTTTAACAAAGCAAAAAAACTGAACAGTCTCTAAGAACGCCGCGCGAATGCCAATTAAACATCTCAAACCTCTTCCAAACCTTTTTAATTTGCACCAATATGGAATCCCAATGGCTTCAATATGCGATTCCGAGCTACTTGGTTTGCAACCGCACCACCTTTCTCTAGTGCCACAGCACCAACGACAGCGTACATAGCCTGAGTTAAGACGACGCTGATTCCAGACAGCTGAAAGTCACTGGGCTGGATGTGAGGTCCCGTCAGTAAACTGCAACTGTTGTTAAAGCAAGATGGAGCAAGCACACCTTCCTCGGTATCCATCTCATCACACCGTCAAGCTCATACTGTCTCCCTAGTGCTGCTAGCCTTTTCTTGCTCATCAAGGTCTCTAGGGTAGGGCTCGATAGTACTTCTAACCCTTCCAGCGATGGGTGTTGAAATGGAGTCCGGTTGTAAGGATCCGCCGGTAATTTTTGAGAATAAGAAGCAGGATCTTGTATGAGCGCGAGGGTTGCTTGTAGGGTCACCAATTGTTTTCCTATTCCCGTTAGCAATAGAAAAGGCCCAGTAAGTTCAAGCTCGCAAGTCTTAGAACACACCGAGATAAGCCAACCGATCGTTGAATCCTCTTCTTCCCTGATCGAAGGATTTGTGGGTTACGGCCTGCCATTTGACCTCCTCGGAAAGCATTTTATCACCACCCTCTCCCAGCATCCGGACGTAGAATCTATCCAACTTCTCTGGATCGGAATTTACTTCAACATGCGGCCCTTCCTCGGGCCCTCGTAATCTAACAGGTGCCTTCATTCCCGGCGGAGTCTGCTGCCATCGCGGAGTAGGAGCTTCGGGAGGTGTTGGAATTCCTTTCTCTGTTGACACTTCGGTGGTCATTGCTCGTCGCGAGCCCTGCTTTGCGCTGGAGAATAGAGGGAGGGCAAGGCATGGTGCGCGGCGGCACGCAGGACGTGCAATTGTTGCAAAAGCTTGGACTGGTAGCAGTTTGGACGCCATGAAAACTAGAGTCAACGTAATAAGAGGATCAATCAAATTAAAAGGTAACCCGCTCCTCTGCGAAAGACGAGAGATACTCTTGGGCCTGTCTACCAGCGGGACGATTTTCTCTGGAGAATTGCCAAACCTCATGCTAAGCCCGATTAGGCGTTAGTTCGTTCACCGCCCTCTCTCCCAGCAAACATCTGGCTTCCGGGGGCTAGCAACATCACACCTACATCCCCGGGTTTAATCCGTGGATAGCATACATTTAATTCTGTTACAGGGCCAATTTTAATGATGTCGCGGGCTTACTTAGGGGATGGGCTCCAATACAAGGCTAATCTCTTAGGAATGAGACCCGAATTGCTGTGATACCCTTTCTTCCGGAGCGTCAGCTTCTTCCGAAAAGAACATAGGGGATTTGCCGGCTCCTCTTCAACTAGGGGCTGGAAACAGTTCTGGTTTCTTGCGATGCAGGTGGGAGACTGCATAAGATTACCCTGTTAGCCACGCTATCGGAGGTTATCATCGGACACCAAAGAATATTGGGACCCTCCCATACGTTTAATCCCAGCCGTATATCTCCCATATTCCAATTTACTTTCTAGATTTTCTCTTTGAACAACGGGAATGGCTATTCCGCCCTATTTCCGCGATGCCAACCTCAGCCCTATGGATCGTGACGGCACGCGGAAGGGATCTTGCATCCAACTTCGGCTTCTCGAAACACATGTTATTTCCAGTCCCTGTCCGCCTAACCAATGATTTATCCATCTAGAATTTAGTCTCAAATCCTTTTTTTTTTTTCATCTATGATTTCAATGTATGGTTGAGGAAGCTTACCCGGCTATTTCAAACGATCTCACCCACATACTCGACCCAGTAATTCCTCGCCATGGATTTCCAAACGGATATATTTGTTTATCGTTTTTGGAAAGCATCCTTAACCAATACCATAAGCAATATGCCTTTGCTGCGCCTCCATCTCTTTCAAGTCTATAACGATACCATGTCTATCGAATCTTGGAGTGGAACATACGGGGGGTTGAGCTACCACAGTGTATGTCTCATATCCACCGAGCCGTTTCCTTCTGGGCCCGAAGAACGGAAGCATGGAGCTATGGGTTCTTGCATACCTTCAGAACTCTCCGGGTGTCCTCCCTCACGGCATGGGTCTTGAAGATCGCTTCTCGTGAAGGGATGAGATATCCACACAAGAAGAACTCCTTAATATCCCTCAACTACTTTCCCTTATCACGGAGCATAAAATGTTCTCGACTTCTCATCAGAGCAAGGAAGAACACATCAAGGTAGCGACCTCCTCACGTGCCTACTCAGGAGTCCACAATAAGTAGCTGTCTACAGCCTTCACTTTGCTTCACTTTCTCATCTCTCACAACTTTTCACAAGGCCATACCAACAAGCTACTTCTTCTTCTCCAATATCAAGCTCCTTTTAGAGGAAATTTTGCCAGCTGTCGTCCAAAATGTCTAAGGCCATCTTCAACACTCCGCGTAATGGTAAGTGGACACAGTTCCGAAAGCAGATAACATGTCCTAACACTTCCGAAAACTTAGGCACAAAGCCTGCTTCGAACTTCTCTGTCATCGGACGCCCGGATTCTCCAGTTCTTCCTCCTAATCCTCCTCCAAGCCCGGCTTAAATGCTAAACAGAAACCAAATCTCTTTAACCATGAGGTGAGCCTATCTTGGTTGTCCTCCTCACTCCCTAGCTTTTTCGGATATGATGTTGTTATGGTACCCATCACATTGTAGCCATTCTACCATTTATTAACCTTTTCGACTTGTTGTTCTAGGAGCGTTCTATCAAAAAGAGTTCCGGAATAACATTAAAATCGTCAATTCATCTAGCATGCCAATACACTATGTTTTCTTTCTACCTTTGTTGATTTGACGCGTCGGGATGCACTTTGGGATGTGATCTTCATGAGAGTAAAAGGGATGTTTCATGGGATGGATAATCAGGCAATGTACTTGATGGCTTGAGCAATGGTTCTTTGTTGAACGCCCTAATACTAATGCTAATACTTCTGCTCTCTCGGCCAAACCAATACATTTTTTTCTAACTCAATGTATTTTGCATCGTAGCCTAGTTATCTCAGAGCTTCTATTTTGAAGGTTCCGACTTGAATTGACATTACAGTTACTAGAATGCCATTAACCTGTTGACAAACGTGAACTGCACAAAAGTGGTAGGCAACTTATATATTCACAGAAAATAAACTACAGATACAAATAGATATCACACTCAGATCAGAGCCAAGGCAAAGGCACTGGCCATACTCAGCCCAACAACAGTCCAACCAGTAGCGATAACTTCCTTGTTACTCAATTTCTTTCCCAAATCCCAGATCAGATGTCTAACACCGTTCATGCAGTGGAAGGTGAATGGCATGGCAACACCGAGCTTAATGGCGAACTTCGCAGCGAGGGGGAGGGCGCCAAAAGCAGCGGCGAGTGATGCGGATTCTAAATGCCAGCCAATGGCAGGAGCAACGAGATATGCGGTGGCGAAAACGTATAGACCGCCAGAGAGAACGGAACCGGTGATACGATTGAGAGCAGATAGGTACCAGGAAATCTGGGGTCTGTAGATGGTAAGGTGAGGAGAAACGGGGCGGTTAAGACGTTGTTGGGCAAGGATTTGGGTAGGATCGACGGTTTCGGTGGATGATGTAGATGTGGATGTTGCCGGTCTGCGAGAGGTACTTATAAGCTTGCGATCTTTAATTCCAGCGACGTTTTGGGTAAAATTGTGAGTTGCCGAAGTCGCTTCGATAACGACGTAGGGAAAGAACTTCGCAGCTTCCACAACAACCACGCAAAGCATTGGACACTGACCTAATCTGACCAACCGCAATCGCTGCAGGGCTCGCAAGTCTCGCGAAAGAGGATCTGAAAGCGATCGGGTTCTGGGCGGCCGCTACACGAGGACTTGTTAGCTCGACGAGCATGATGCTGTGGGGGATACAGACATACCCCGCCGCAAGGACTGCTGCATTATTCTTTGTGAAATCATTCTGAAATGCAAATGGCGCCTTGAATCGATCTCGCCAAAGCTACCTGCCTTCAAGAGAGCTAAGAATGAAATTGATCGCAAGCAATGTCGTTCGAGATCGGTAACTATGATATGGAACACATCGGCTTATGTAACAAAATGTTCGGGGCGAGCCGGAATGCGGCCCAATGAGAATGCAGGCATTTACAAGTCCTGAAGATCATTTTTCCGGGCCGGACACCATGCCGGGCGATTTTCAATTTTCAAAAGTGCGTAGGTTGTTTCTTGCTAACCATCGAGCCTCAGCCTCCGTCTCGGTCAGCCCTTCGCTGCGTGCTTCCTGCATGCAGTTCGTTATGGTGTGCAGTGACCGAGACGGTACCCGGCGACATCTCGCCCTTTGTCACGGCTTTCTGTCGTTGACTCCTTGAGATGAGAAGGTCTCTTAGAATGAGACGCGTTGCTTCGACCCGTCGTTAATCGCCCAATTCACTCTGTCAATGAGGGTATCGGGTTTCATATCAGGGTTACATTATCTCCTCTCTGCATGGTCTACAAGAGGAGTTTACATTTGTGTTTGCGATTCGACTATACCTGCTGTCACCGCAGAACCAAGTTTAGGACATCCCAACAATCCAATATGACACACACATACGGTCGCCGACAACACGACATGTAGGAGAGTGCATATAAAAATTTGAAGAAGTCGGTCCGTAGCAGCATGATTTTTGGGGTCTCACGCCAAGGACGGCGTTCGAATGGAATATATCTCGGATGAATAGGGCCTTACGCAGCGTCAAGGCAACTTGTAGTTCGCAGGCGCAGTCAACTTGGCGAGACATTGCAATGCCCACAGGAGCCGCTGAGATACTCCAAGCTGGCAGCCCAGCACCATTATATACGTGTATATGTATATACATACACTATATAGTGCGTTCCCAGCAGGTGGCTTTCGCCTGAGATGATTAGGTCGTGTAAGTACTCCGTAGACGAAGACAGGTATAATAGCTCATCAAGGAACGCATTTTCCATTTTGCTTCTCTCGGGGGTCCCGCTGGGTATCATGTAATATGTGGTAGCTTTTTGAGGCAGAGTGATCTCCGCTGGTCGCCCGAGAGCCGATGCGTGGTAAACCGCACCGGCCAGACCGAACCACGTGACCAGACAGCAGGGCGAACCTCGGTTCTCGGCCTGGCATCACAGGGCCTTGCGCTGGTCGTCGATGGCTGATAAAGGTGGCAGTCTTCCTTTGAGGACGGCCAACCTTTTTCAGACATCGAGCAAATAGGGGCCGTGGGCACTTGTACGGAGGGATTTCTGTATAAGCATACACATTCGCTTTCGTCTCGCGCAGTGCTTTTTGCCCTTTCGTTCAATAGATTCTAGATCATACATACACTTCCAATACCCTAGAAGACATCCTTCCTGGTGGTGCCCACCCCTGCTTCTCCCAAGATGCCTTTCAACACCGAGTTGACCAGAAAGCTGGGGATCGAAAGTGGGTAGATATGCATCCCTCCCTGAAGATATTTGCTAACAGAAAGCGGCAGTTCCCGTCGTGCAGGGTGGTATGCAATGGGTCGGTTACGCTGAGCTTGCCGCTGCTGTTAGCAACGCTGGCGGTCTCGGAATCGTGCGTCTATCCTGTTTAGTAGGTTGTAATTCAAGCTTCATCGCTAATGTCATCTTTGATAGCTTACCGCCCTTACGCAACCAACCCCCGAGGATCTGCGTAAAGAAATCCGCCGAACCCGTACCATGACAAAGAAGCCCTTTGGTGTCAACATAACCCTTCTCCCTGCTCTTGTACCTCCAGACTATGCTGCATATGCTCAGGCCATCATTGATGAAGGAGTCCGGATCGTTGAAACAGCCGGAAATAGTCCTGGGCCGGTCATTAAGCAACTGAAAGCTGCTGGCTGCATTATCTTGCACAAATGCACAACCATTCGACATGCTAAATCTGCCGTGAAGCTTGGTGTTGATTTCTTGTCCATCGATGGTTTCGAATGCGCTGGCCATGTGGGTGAAACGGATATCACCAATTTCATCCTCCTTAGTCGGGCCAGGCAAGATCTCGGTGTACCATTCATCGCCTCTGGAGGTTTCGCTGACGGTTATGGTCTCGCTGCTGCTCTGGCGTTGGGTGCCGAGGGAATCAATATGGGTACGAGATTCATGTGCACTGTGGAGGCGCCAATCCATATCAATGTGAAGAAGGCCATCGTGGATGCCCAAGAAGACGATACTCAGCTTCTCCTTCGTCGATGGAGAAATACAACCCGTCTCTTCAAGAACAAGGTTTCCACTGAAGCGTACAAGATCGAAAAGGAAAGCAAAAGTGACGATTTCTCAGAAATTGCACCTTTTGTAAGCGGCAAGAGAGGCCGTCAAGTTTTCTTAGACGGTGATGTTGATTACGGCGTAAGTAATTACCATTGCAGCATTTTTTTCTTTTTTACCGCTACCGCTCATCCTATATGCTGGGTTGCTAACATGTATTGCAGGTGTGGACTGCTGGACAAGTCATCGGCCTCATTCATGATATCCCAACATGCGAGGAACTCTTGAAGCGTATCGAAAGAGAAGCTGTCGAGGCAATGGCCAAAACTAGTGCGCTATATGCTCCTTCCTCGGCTCGCCAAACCAAGTTGTGATGTTCTGTTAGGTTACTTGCGCTTCGCGGATAAGGGATTACTACACTCCCTACGTGCAGTTCCATGTGACGACTTCTTCCTCACTGGGACGGTGTCAGCTTCATACCTGTAGCCCCTTTTCTTTTTTGCTTTGAATTGGTGCGGAAGCTGCTCTTGAGCTTTGAATATCCTCTGTAATTGTCATTTGGATATGTTTTAGATATACGGAATATTATGAAATTACATTAAATGGTACGCACTAAATGCTACGCAGATCTGCTCTTCCGACAAAACTCTCCGTAAGTCCTTTCCGCGTCGTAGCACTATCAAATCCTGATAACCAGGGGACTCGAGATTGCTTGCGAGGAAATCAATCTGCAGAAATATATCCTGAGAATGCACGCTGTAGCAAGCTAGGAAACGAAGATCAACTGGATGAAATTGGTTCAACACCAATAAATTGACTATAAATACAGACAAAGCACAGCACTGCTCGAAGAATAATCTTTACATTGGTATAGCGCACCAATACATAATTCCTATTCGCCTTTGCTTTCGATAAGATATCAGACAAAAGAAACAGAAATGAGAGACACAATTTGCGGTTCAAAACTATGTCCAAAATGCAGCGAATGCACGTCTAGCACCTGTTCCTGCAATCTTTTATCTGACCCGTATCGCGGTGTTGTGGAACGCGATATTGAAGACGGATGGGATGCTTGATGCAATCCATCTAGAGAATGTTGATGGGAATGCAGGGGACAGCAAGGGCAACAACACCGTTCTAGCGTAAGGTTAGAATCGGTCCACTAAATTGCTTGACAACATTGACTTACTGCATTGGATTCGGTGTTCTGGCAGCAGGCAGCAGTCTGCTGGCACTGTCTGTTGAGGAGGTCGGTAGCACCAAGAGCTATTGCAAACAGTTAGAAGCTAGACACGACGAGGGACATAGTTTACAGCATACCGGCAATATTCAACTTAGAGCATTGATCGAAGATGGGGATGTCCTCAAGGTTAACGTTCTTGAGGAGACCGTTGAGGACACCAATATCAGTGTCAGGGCCCTTGGCGGAGATCTTGTTGACCTGCTTGTTGCAGCAAGAGATGTTGCTGTTGCCGCACTTAGCGATGGCTTGCTCCTTGGTAACAGATGGAGTGCCCTGGTTATAGCTGGGAGCAGCGGCGACGGCAGTGGCCAGAGCGAAGAAAGAGGCAGCGGTGAAGAACTTCATTTTTGATAGATTGATCGGTGAGCCGGGTAGGCGAAGATTAAAATTAAATATTAAAGTGTTAAAGTATCTGGAAGGACCGAATTGGAAGCGAAGATGGATGCGGATGGAGAGAAGCAGGATCTTTGGCTCGGGAATGAGCGCCTTTTATAACTTTGAGGGCGTGCATTTTCTTCGACTCCTTGCCCCTGAGAATCTTTCTCGACCTGATTGTGAAATCATGCATACACTCCCAGACAGGAAGATTATCCCAATTCCTGATTTGCTCCCGTCACGAACGTTTGCAAAGGTGACAGATCACGTCACTAACCGGCCTGCTTCCCCGAATCGCGTCGTCAAATATTGGAGAAAACTGGGTCCTCGCAGCAATTGCTTTTTGCATCCAAGTGGTAAAAAGGCAAAATATTGACGCAGCAGAAAGCTCTTCAGGCCTGCCAGAGGCTGGAGGTTCTGATATGGATCCACCAGTCTCCTCAGGTATTGGCAGTGCAGCTGACAGGTCGTGAAACAAAGCTATCGACAATCACTGCCAGAAAGCGACAACGCAGCATGCACATTCTCAGGGCAAGAACGCCACACTATTGACTCTATTGACTGTGCAACTCTGATCCTGAAAGGAAGAATACCGGTCTGTGTCCCTTTTCTCCCCTGTGGGCCAACAACAATTTTCTTCGGTTTCTCTGCACCTGAAGAACTTGAAAATTTCGTCATGCTGTGCATTATACGCGGTCTTCTCCTGAGACAATCTGTTTCGAGAGACGCGAAGCAGAGAATCCTTTGTCTGTAGGGAACCCCAGTGAATTTGCTCTTTTGGAGTGCTTTCCTGCTCGAACCTGTCACTGTCAAAAACCTAAGCCCTGAAAGCCAAAACCACGCTCGGATTGAATCGATGTCGATCAATTGTTCCGGAGCTTTTCAGCTTTGGTTGGTTTGCAATGTCGACCGTTTAGGGGACACAAACGCCTTGGAGTGCCTCAGTTTTTTGCTTTTTCCAGCCTCGTCGCCATGATTGGCTCCCCCCTGACGAGATTCCGCTTTCACCATTTTAATTCTCGTGATATGTCCCAATAAATGATGGAGATCTTAATCAAGCTTCCCGAAGTATGAGGGAGAAAGCGGGCACTTGACCACCAAACCTAACTAGAGCTCTTCGCGATTTGCCCTTTTTTTTTTTCTGCGTTGACTGTGATTTCATTTACACCGCTGAGAGCCGTTGTCATTTTCAGTTTGCACGTTGAACGATGCAAGCCCATCCAGACATGCATGCTTCCAGAGATTTCGCGGATCACGGAAACCGTTCCTTGTCAGGGCCCTTAAAGCCTCCCCTCGCAAAACCCAAGTGACCGGCGAATCAAACCTCGCGATCCACAGCTTGTGCTTGGTGAAGGTTTCTGGCCAATGAAACAATTCGAAAAGTTCTTCTTTCGTACGCCCTGGAGCAAGCTTTTGGAGAAACTTCAACGGATGTTGAAGACCCACGAACAGAGACAAATCATGCATCGTACTGCGACGCTCCACCGGAATTCACAAAGGAACAGGGCCTAGAGTCATACAGAGGACGGCTAGGCGTGAATCCCTTTTCGTGGTACAGAGTACTCCGTACTCCGTACTCCGTGAATGCACGTACAGAGCACAATGTATGCATGCTGTCAATTCTGAAATGACTCGTCTCCCGCCTTTTGAATATTCAGGCTCATAGAATATTGTGGTACTCTGTACTCCGTACATCCGTGAAATCTTCCAAGAGGTTGTTCATCCAGCCAATGGCACATAGCAAGAGGGGATGTTCACCATACGTTCAGGGTACCCCATACATTTGTATGTATATACTCTGTACGGAGTGTAGAGTACTGGACATACCTTTCATCTACCCGGACACTGCTCCAACACGAGACTCAAAGGCGATCGTCACCGCTAACAGCCCAGAATACGGGGTAATCATTTAGTTGAGAGTGATATCCTGATCTCCGAACCCCAGGTCTGCATAGCTGAAGGCGGAAAAGTGGACTTGTCGATCGAGCGGAGATTTCGTCCCACTGATTCCCTTTATCCACAGTCCAGGTTTGTTCATGCGAAAATCGTACATACCGTATAGGCTTCCAAGGCACGAACAACCCGAATGAGCAACGCCTCGCGCGGCCCCGCTCTCATGCCCGGCCCGAATTTTTTGTCGCAAAAGAATGTGTTAGCCCTCGAGACTCTTCCCCATTCTCAAGTTGTGATTGATCAGATTTGCGAGGAGAACTGCAGTCTTGCGATAAATGTTTGTCAGCTGAGAAGCTAATGCAGACGTTTCTCATAGCTCCTGAGCATAGGCACAGCTTTCCGGTCTACTTGGAAAGTTGGGATGCATTCCATCACCGTTTTGTGATGATGATACAGCCCTATTTCCAAATGACAGCCCAATTTTTGTTATTTGATGACAACAGGGTCATGAAGCACATTCACAAAACGGCTGTCTCTCATAATTCTTTGAATCAGGCAACATCAAACGCGCTTGAAGCCCATAAAATCAGCTCCCTCCACAGGACCCCATGTGAGCTCCTTTTGTTGGGGATGTATGCCCATATTATCACAGGAAGCCTAGCTGTTCTGCATGATAAGGATGTACAGAGCCTACCGTCTAGAGGGGAATTCGACTGCTCAGTGCATTTCATCTCAATTGCATTCTCGGCACTTTCTCCATCTCCAAACGACGATCGAGACCAGAGCTAAACCAGACAGAAATTCGCGGACAACTGATGTGTGTGAAGTGCCAAGCAACCCGACCCGTGACCGGCAAACCGCGATGTTTGCCGCGGCACGCAGCAAACCCGCCGAAGGAAACAGACATAGTCCCAAGAGCAACATTCCCAATGTAGTGGGGGACGGCCAGCCAATGTGGTCAATGATGCTGACCACTTTTATCTCGAAACATGCGTTTTGCTGTCATGAGCGGTTTTCGAGAAACTTCGGAGGAGCCCTGAAGCCACAACATGCCCTGCCCGGCAGATATTCCGAGGTGATGTTAGAGCTCTTAGCTGGTGCAGGTTGCTCTGCTCTGGTTGGTGTTCATTTGTCTGCAAATGCCGTCTACTGTCGCGAACCTTTTTCACTCTGCCAATTTGTACCCTTTGCAATTATCTGTTCCAGAGAGCGCTGTGTGTCTTGTAACTACAATATCACACAACTTTTCACACAGCCACCTGTTAAAGATCACGGTGTTTTTAAGAATTGTTAACCAGGCGCACGCTTTTTCCTTCTCCTTCTCTAGCATCTGTTAGGTCCCTACCCTATCCTCGTCCAGCATTTGTTGCCGGATAAGTAGCAGAAATCCAGCAACCGTACCTGATCATGGTTTTTAAGGTCGGTCGCCTGCACCTGTTTCAACACTTTTGGCGAATATCCATAAACCAAGGGAGAGCGATATCTTCGCGGCGCTCGTATATGAACGGATGTAGCTCCCACGGCCTCGGCAGGCGGATACCACAACATAAGACAAACCCGCACCACATCGTATATAGTGCCAAAGGAAATAGAAGGTCGTTCATCTCATCCGCTCCTGTATGCGCTGTGGAACAGGTTTCACAAGGGTTCAGCGACGGAACGCGCCATTTCAACATCATAGATCATAGATATGAGTACGTTAGCCCCCGTTGGCTTCGGTTTCCTAGTTTAACATTCCAAGTGCAATTGTCATTGGTGCGGGGGGAGCTGGGCTCATGGCTGCCGTGGGATTGGCAGAAAGCGGGTTGGAAACAGCATGCATAACGAAACTGGTGCGTCGAGACGGCTCGTGGTCCAGTCTTGCTTTAAGAACCATTGTTGAGAGATGGCCAATACAGTTAAGCTAAAACCCGGGCAAATAGTTTCCAACCAGGTCCCACACAGTCGCCGCTCAGGGCGGAATTAACGCTGCCTTGGGAAATATGACGGAAGATGACTGGCGATGGCATATGTATGACACGGTCAAGGGCTCGGATTGGCTGGGCGACCAAGACGCAATTGTAAGCATTCGTCCTATACAACCGCGCGCAGAAACAGGGAAATACTAATGAAAACAAGCACTATATGTGTAGAGAGGCTCCCAGGACCATTCTTGAGCTGGAGGCATACGGGATGCCCTTTTCGAGAACAGCAGAGGGTAAAATATATCAGGTTAGAAATTTTGGTATCCCGATGTCTTCCACTATCAACGCTAAGAATAAAATCCCACGTCATAGCGGCCCATCGGAGGCCAGTCCCTAAAGTATGGCACTAGTGGCCAGGCATACAGGACAGCATGTGCTGCAGATCGCACAGGCCATGCTATGTTGCATACACTCTATGGACAGTCACTAAAGGTTAGCGACGGGAAACCCATCAACAACCTTCATCAACTAACTGGCTATGCAGCACAATTGTAATTTCTTCATCGAATTCTTTGTGCTCGACTTGATGATGATTGATGGCACCTGCGTTGGGGCGGTGGCGTTAGATATGGAAACCGGAACCCTCCATCGGCTGTTCAGCAGGAATACTATTCTAGGTCAGTTCTCATCTCATGGATCCGACTGTCAAAAGCAAAATTGTTGATATTTTTCTAGCCACTGGCGGTTATGGTCGTGCGTACTTTTCTTGCACGTCAGCCCATACCAGCACAGGAGATGGCTGCGCCATGGCGTCTCGAGCTGGACTTCCGCTTCAAGATATGGAATTTGTGCAATTCCATCCGAGCGGTATATATGGTGCTGGCGTTCTAATAACCGAGGGCGCACGCGGCGAAGGAGGGTATCTATTGAATTCAAAAGGAGAAAGATTTATGGAGCGCTACGCCCCCACGGCCAAGGACCTGGCCAGCCGTGATGTTGTCGCTCGTTCAATGAACATGGAGATACGCGAAGGTCGTGGCGTTGGAGCCGAGAAAGATCATATTTATCTCCAGTTGTCTCACTTACCGCGTGACTTGATCCTCGAAAGGCTGCCTGGCATAGCGGAAACAGCATCGATTTTTGCAGGAATCGATATTACAAAAGAGCCAATCCCCGTGCTTCCCACGGTCCACTACTGCATGGGTGGTATCCCCACTAATTACAGAGGCCAGGCCCTCGATATAAACCCAATTACTGGTAAAGAAAAGCCAGTTCCAGGCCTTTATGCTGTTGGAGAGACGGCATGCGTCAGTGTTCACGGCGCCAACAGACTCGGAGCAAACTCTCTTCTCGACCTTGCTGTTTTCGGTAGGGCCAGCGCCCAACACATTTCAGAAAACAACGAAAAGGGGATGCCCCATGCTCCCGTACCAAAAGACATCGGGATGTCCTCCTTTGAAGACATGGAGAGGATTCGTAAATCAGATGGTAGCAGACTAACAGCGGGGCTTCGCCTCGATATGCAAAGAGCCATGCAGTCGGACGTTGCGGTTTTCCGAACTGAAGATTCCCTTAAGTCTGGAGTATCCCGGGTTCAGCGAGTAGACCAGGCTTTCAAGAACGATGTCTGCGTCAAAGATAAATCCCTGATTTGGAACTCAGACCTGATTGAGACCCTTGAGATGCGAAATTTGCTCACGTGTGCCGCACAGACTGCGAAGGGCGCCCAGGAGAGAAAAGAAAGTCGCGGTAGCCACGCACGAGAAGATTTTACTGAACGGGATGATGAGCGGTTCCTGAAGCATAGCTTGACGTGGCAGAACGGGACGGCAGAAGACGTTCGAGTAGGATATCGCGACGTTATCTTCGCGACTTTGGATGAAGATGAATGTCCGTCGGTCCCGCCCAAAACGAGAACTTACTGATAGATACGATCCAAGCCCCTTTACGCAGTAAAATGATACTCATATCTTTTTTGGTTCTTTTTCTGTTCTTTTCTTTCGCCCCTTTTTCGAGCGTTTTTGGCGTCGTCGCATAAATCTGAGCTTTTGGTCTCGCCCGCTTAGACGAATATTAGATAAGCATCTGGTGACATAATCAGTTAGCAACTTATACGAGCTAGGCCAAACTGGGGATGGCGTGGCCAGGTTCCTCGGGCTGCTGGCTTAAGCACATCACAAATCGCGCCCATTCACCATCTACAATTCCGCATGCGCCGGGAACCAAGCTACGGTCTGCTGCTTTGTCCTATGGTAGGATTTCTGTCGCTCAATGTCGTCACCAGACCCTGAGGAGGGACAGCCCTCAAACGTACACAAGCCGGAGGTGGAGGAAGACAGGCCAGCCGCCAACGAGAAATCAAAAGGTGGAGAAACAGGGCAGCAAGAGACGGACGGAAAGAAATCTGGTGAAGACACACAGGACGGTGACGCAGAGACCAGAGTCTCTGCTCCTCCGTTACCTGCTGAAGAAGCCCCTCCCCCTCTTCCTAATGAACCAATACCCGGAGGAGCTGAGGACGATGGGTGGGATGCATTGTGGGATGACAGTGCGCAGGCATACTACTTTTATAATCGCTTCACTGGTGTTTCACAGTGGGAGAACCCTCGAATACCAGATGCCCAGCAAGGACCTCCTGGCGTAGAGAGCGAAAAAGATGGTGCGGAGGAAACTCAACAGCAACGGCCTCGTCCTCGTGTTGCGGGAGGTTATGACCCGGCCATCCATGGCGACTACGATCCAGATGCCTGGTATGCGCAGCCCCAACCCGACGATACCTCTCCGGCCTCCACAGATCCCAGTGTCCTCTATACCGCCACAGGTGCATTCAATCGCTTTACGGGAAAATGGCAACCCTTGGGCTTAACACCGGAGAACTTCAATGACGAGAATAAAAGCCGTCGGCAGCTCAATGCATATTTCGACGTTGATGCTGCGGCTAATAGCCATGAGGGAAGAAGTCTCAAGGCAGAGCGGTCTGGGAAAAAGTTAACAAAAAAGGAACTGAAGGCGTTCAAGGAAAAAAGAAGGGAGAAGAAGGAGGAAAAGAGGCGTGCCTGGCTGAGAGATTGAATCTGGCTATGATACGGAGTCTATTGTTTCATGTAATATGTACTGCACAATCAGTACATCGGCCCTTTTCGTGTTTGCCGCCTATGAACATTTCTTCTTTTCGGTCGGCAAAATGCGCTGGATATACCTGGTGTTATGGCGTTTGGATTTGCATCTACGGATTTTGTACAACGGACGAAACTTGGGTTCCTTGCTCTCCACCCGGTGGTCAAGGCATAGCATGTAGACATCGGGTCGCATTAGCACCTGTCTATTTTGAAATCAATAATAGCAACAATAGTCCAAGGCCTGCCCGGTTGCCAGTAGCTGTGACAACAATATTATCAAGTTAATCCAATCTTGTAAATTTGCCTCTTTCTCGGGCTTTTAGAAACTCGTCCCGCCTCCAAACGGCCCTGAACATCGTCAGTGTCACGTGATATCAACTTTTCACCCCGAAAATTTGGAGGGAAAAAGTTGAGCAGAAGAACAAAACTGTAGCGGGAGAGAGTGAAGAGTAGTAGATACCTAGTTACCGTACATAGTTCAAGGTGAGCTACCCCTGTTTCCTTTTTCTCTTTTTCCACCGGTTATCCAGAACCCGAAATGCTTTCCCGACTTTGTTCGGCTTAATATGCCGACATGTTGATACCCAATGCTACGGGAATGTATTGGTAACACTTTGCTTTTACCAAAGAGGGTTTTGGGACAAGGTGCATGAACCTGGTGCGCTATGTTGGAATCGCTTTTTTGCAATAATTTTGGATTCGCGGCCACCGAACCCATCTTCAGCTGGTGGATGCATGGCTATATGTCTACTATCTATATTATCCAGCATTTGCAGCACCCGGCATAGAAGATCAATTGGTATCTTGGATTTATTCTCTTTTTTTTTTTTTTTTTTTTTTTTTTTTTTTTTTGGGGGGGGCTCCCTCCGTTCTTTTCCCTTTTCTTTACTATGATTATTATCTTGCCCGACTAAGGAGTCACTTTAGGAATTACGGTTCCCAACACTCTAAAACTGATACAGCCATAACACGTCAACTCAGCTCAGCCATAAGATACGGTTGTTCTGCTATTCCTTTGGGTTGAAAAGGAGCCATTTACGGGGGGAAGAACCGCCCTAATCTCTATAAGCCACAATGGCATCTACCCAGCCTGCTGTATCCCTATCCTTTGAGGCCATCGATGACCTCATTTACTCCGCACGGGTAGGGGATCTGCAGTCGTTACAGACTGATATTGCGAACTTAAGCCACGAGCACAATTGCCCAGCTGCATCCATCGTGGGGTCGGCCATTGATAGCGAAGATGAGAATGAGGGTGGCACGGGAGCTTGCCTTCTACATTGGCCCGCTGCAAACGGAAATATCGGTGAGCAACCTCCCTCGACAGTGCTACCTCGATACGATTAAGGGATATACATGTGCTGAGCTCATTTAACTATTATCTCAGAAATATTAAAATACCTCCTTGAAATATTACACAATCCCGCCCAGCCACCCCCCCTTATCAATCACCGAAATCACTCGGGAAACACACCACTTCACTGGGCCGCTCTTAATACGCATCTCGAATGCGTCAAGGCCCTGGTCGAAGCCGGTGCTGACGTTAACATTAAGAACGGCGCTGGTCACGATGCGGCTTTTCTCGCAGAAAGGTCCGAATGGGGCACCGCGGCTGAAGCTGATGATACACAGGAAAATAGCGACGAAGCTACGGCCACAGCGGCTTCGTCGGCGGATGGTCGCCCAATCTCAAAAGCTATGCAGGTAGTGGAATGTCTATTGACTTATGATCGAGACACGAACCAGGGCCAAGACGCCGATGTAGGGCCGAGCAATGGAAATGGGCATGATATGGAAGTAAATGGTGCGAACGAGGCCAACTGATTTTGGACGATTCTAGTTGCGTGTGATAGTCCTTTTTCCTTTTCTTTTTTTTTTTTTTTTTTTTTTTTTTTTTTTGAAACAAAAAAGCATTACATTTTTTGAGGGTTATTGGAGCACATGGGGCGCATGTTTGTTAACAAAAAATGAAAGTAAATATCTTCGAGCATTGGGTTTTCTTTTTACAATGTGGTTCGTTTATGAGAAGCATTTGGCTCTTTAGGATTCATCTCGCCTATCCAAGAAATAGTATTTGATGTATAAGCTAGAGGAGCTGTATATCGCGCGAAGGAAGCGTTGTTATAAGAATCGAGCCTCGGTCTCCCGGAATCACATTAGATTCAACCATACATTTCGTACATTGTCATTAAAAAACATCGATATATCGTAACCATCATCAAGAAGCGAAGAACTCTCGCAAAAAAAAAGGGATCCTATCGCAAATACCATGGGGTATCTCCAAAAGTCAGGAAAGCCCAAAAACCCAAAATTAAGGCAGAGGCAGATCGTGATGTGGGAAGGGAAGAGAAAACGAGAAACATGCTGACTATATACATCAGATAAACCAGGGGAAATGACCTGTAGAGTATCAAGACTTTCCAATTTCACTTTCTATAACACGAGCGGTAGCCAGACCCGAGCTTACAAAGCTTCCATTGGGAGTTCGTCGACGCACGTTAGAACTCCCGTCGCCGCATCCTTCATGTCCTTGTCGACTTGTTGCTCGCGATCTCGTTTGGATGATCTTGTTGCCTCCAGAAAGTTGCGCGATTTCGTATGCCACCATGTCCATGCCGACTCTGAATACTTTGTCTCTCCACACGACAGTGGTCCCTCCGTAGAAGCTCCAGATCCAGATTGGTAACGCCAGAGCTTCTCTACCGAGCCAGGCGAAAAGCCACTCCCTGAAGTGCCGGCGGGCGATTGACGATTTCCGCAGTGGACGTGCAAAGGGCGGAGTAAATTCGTCGGCCTCAATGGTGGCTCCCGAGTGAAGCTTTAGATAGACACTCCAATCAACAAGCATCCATACCAGAACACTAGCGACCCAGATAAGGCAAAATGCGGACCAATTGGCTAGATAAGAACGGTACTGTGGAAGCAGGCAGGGCACAGAAGTAGTAAGGCCGAAAGCAAGATATGCGGAACACAGGAATGATTCCGTCCCAGGTTCAACAAGAGTCGCTAGTAGAACAGTAAATTTACGAACGCGAAGCCATCTCACACGACGGTCGATATAGGAACCAACGCTCATACCACTCATGGGCTGAATGGCAAGGTCCCCAAACATCAGGCTATGCTTTCCCCAATCTTCGTTGTGCTCCGCCTCCTCAAAGATCTTTCCTTTCCACAGGCGGTCGCCAATAAGGTGGTCCTCACAAATATTATCAGAGAAGTAGTCAATTCCAGGCCTCCGCTTCGGTCGTTTCGAGTTAGTGGGAGGTGTCGTCGTAAGATAGTTTAGATGAGAACGTCGAAACATGGATGATTTGCCAATGATGCAGGGAGCAATGAGCACGGTGTTAATGGCCGAATACATTTTCGCGTGTGACGAAGAGAGGAAAATTTCTTCCAGACGCCCTCCACCACGAGAGAGCACAGATGTAATCTTTGAGCATGCTCTGTCCTGAGTGTCTACATTCTTTAGCGTTCCATAGTTGAGCATCGCGAACTGGGAGGAAGTCCCGGCATTCCCGCGGTCTGGGACATCGACGACTATCGGCAGATGGTGGACGAATTTGAACCGCCTGCCACCATTCTTCTTTTGGTCGAAGCCGCAGAGCCGGTCCACCATTCTGCCGCAGACCCCCTTGGAGAGCCACACATTACAATCCGTGATCCAAACGATGTCCCCTTTGGCTTCCCTATAAGCCTGGCTCATATTCCTGATTTTGGGGTTTGGACCAAGTTGGTTGTCATTGTAAGGAGGCTCAACAAACACACGGGCATCGGCATCAGGAAAGTCCTGAAGGATTCTCTCGAGGACGGGATAGGCTGGGTCCTGGGTCGACGTCACGCAAAAATAGACGGTGAGCTTGTCACGAGGGTAATCTTGACGGATGCTGGCAGCCAAGCAATCGTAAAGGAAGGGCTCGAGCCCCTTGACGGGCCGGATGACTGTGACATGAGGAATCTTGGAGTGAGGGAGTGTGGTGGTTGAAATAGCTTTATGTGGGGGTTTCGAGTAGTGCCGTTGCCTGTGAACACTCGGCGTGAAAGTTCTCAGCTCTGCAAACCCCAAAAAAAAAAAAAAAAAAAAAAAAAAAAAGGAATCTGGACAGAAACATATGATAAGGGCCAAAGGCGAAGAAGCTCACAGTTGAAAGTTTCCTAGCCAGCAAACCAGCGTTACTACAAGGTACCAAACGATGGCGACCCAGCCAACGACGACGACCCACGCGGGATGTCCATAGCTGCTAGGAAGGTCAGCTGTGTGTGCCTCAAGAGGAGCGCTCTCCGCCAGCATGAGTCGAGGTTTCGCATGCGGCCCGAATTGACTGAGAGGAAGTAAATCTTTTCGATCTTGACGACAGCGCGCGGAAGAGGGAAAAAAAGGCCCCTGCCAAATACATACGTGCGGCGAAGAGCGGTACCTCTCGGAAGGGAAACCGCCAAGAGCATTATCACGTGATACAGCTCGGCGGAATATCGGATCAATGATGCTCCGAATAGCACACTAGTACATTCTAGGGTTGGCGCTGCGGAGGTGGGGTGGGGCACATGACGTTGCTTGCCGCGGGCTGCCGAACGCGTCGCGTCTTTCAACGCCGATTCCGCTCAGTGACAGTGGCAGGTATACAAGGACAACAGTGATGTCTCGGTGCCTCAGATGGGACATCCTCAACTTCCAGCCATAATCATGGCAAGGTTTTCCCCTTCATGTCTTCAACCTGCTCTCGCGATCCAGGTGTCCGCCCGTCTCTCACGGTGAGTTAACCTTGCTCTAATGCGAGTTAAAAGTTGACGTTTTCTTTTTTTTTTTTTTTAAGGTTGTTTTACAGAACCAGCAAGTGCTGAGTCTGCCATTGGTTGAAGGCTGCATCGCCCCCCCTCACATCTCCCCACCGCAGCTCCGTTAGTCGACGAAGCTTGTTCACGCCTCCCTCCCCGATGAAAAACCCCTCAACACGGGCCTTTGTCTCACCTTGCCGTGCCGGCCTGGCGAAGAATGTCAAGCCAATAATGTGATCAATTGCCTTCATTACGCCAACCCGTTGGGCTCTCAGTCGTTGGCTGTTCTCGTCCTCTCGGTGATAGGCACTGCGGGCCGTGTGGAGAGCCTGTGATGGAATCAGGATAGCTGCTCCTTGACCTCTAGTTGCGCACCCCCCAACCCCCTGTTGCCTCTCAGAAGCTCACAGGCAGGCCGTGCTGTTTCCGCCATGCACTTATGTTTTGTAATACGATGAAGATGGATTTCGCAAGTCCGACTCGAGAGCAGAAGCTACGCACGGTCAAGAGGATTTTAGTCTCCTGGGCATACCGTTACTATGACGGCGATGGCGTGAATCATGCGCGAGTTAGAAACTTTTGTGAAAAGGTCCTTTCAGGGAACTTCTGATTTTGTGAGTATGTTTATGCTCTTGTTAATTTCTCTACCCTGTACGGAGTACGGGGGGGGAATTTCTCCATACAATTATCGTAATATGGCCCTTCTCCAGACCTCACGAAGTCGGGTGTTCGGAGCATTTTCAGACATTATTGCCGAAGTGTCCGAAGCCCTTTTTATAAAATGCAGTTCGGATTCCAGACACAGTCTTGCGCCATAAGCCCCCAGGCATCCCTTTCCATGCCTAACCGTGAAAGAACTCCGTCGTAAGAACCCATCGTAGAATATTTTGCGAAAAAATTGACATAAAACGTGCCGTATTTTCACGACCACGGACGCCATCAGTGATCTAGCCAGTTTTCTTTTTCTTTCGTATCAGCGTAGCACTCAAAACATTCACAGAGGTTTTAGATTCCTGCTGCGTAGGCATTGAAGCTGAATCGGTGTCCGAATGAAGCTTGCGTTTCTTGAATATCAGGCCACTATTCAGCGGATTTGACGGATCTGCCGGGTGTTCCGCTGACGCTGACGGTTGCTCATTTATACCGGCTACTATCTCGCCATGGTCACTTCGCCCTGATAACGAAGAGAGTTTATCAAGCCACGATTTTGTGCTGGTCAACGCAAGTCCCTTGTCGGCGAAGTCGAGTTTTAGTAGAAGAGCAGATAATGCGGCGTAGTTCTCAGGGTTGAGAAGGATGGTGTACTTGTCTTGAGAAAATGGACTAATCTGGTGGCCCGTTTCCGTCGTGATGAGCTCCTTAGCTTTCGGTGCCGATGTGTCCTCTGTTTGAGAAAGGGCCTTGTCATCACGTTCATCATTACATAACACGGTACCACCATTTCGATCAGTAGACGATCGAATAGGAAGAGTAGTTTGTGGCTCCAATTCAACTGATTCGAGTCCGGGATTAACAGATCCCTCTATCAGATCACCTGTCCTCGCTGAAGCGACTTTGTCCAGCCCATCTGACTTTAAAACACCTGGAGGATTAACAACCATCCATATGAACCCAACTAGTCTCCCTGCAGAGCATTCTTGTCTGAACGTCATCATTTCCCAGAACTCTTCGAGAGACTTGACACTTGGCCACCGTCCGGTAGCGGCGTGGTCTTGAAACGAGGCTTCGGTTACGTCGATAATATCACGTACGCATTTAGGTGTTTTGTTTCGGGTGGAAGTCGTAGCGTGACCAAATATTTCCTCATCGAGGTCGTCAAGGAATCTCGCTTTGGGGTCGTCCGGAAAACGAGGGACGAGGCATCGCGGAGGAGCTCCAGGGTTCGCACACACTTGATAAAGCGGGTGGCTATTCAACCAACGCGGTTTGTCCTTAGGATCAAGCCTTGCTGTGGAGGGAAACAGCGCTCTGGTTTCATGCTGGTCGAGGCCGGGAACAATGAGATATGCGGTGGCTGTGGTGTTCACAGCTTCAGCATGGTCTGGTTCTTCCCCCTTCAGGGCTGATTTGTTTGTGGTGTGTTTTTCTGGCTCGAAATCGCGTAGGATCGGGTCGAAGACGCGACACCACCATTTGATCAAGCCACGATCATCGAGGACGTGTTTGCGCACATTCTCTATGCTGCCAGGAAACAAATACTGACTTTGGGCCCTTGCGAAGAGAGATAGTACAAGCCGAATACCTGGACGCTGATACTCACGTAGGAGAGAAGAGAGAAACACGGTGAAAACGGTTCTAGTCAACGACTTTGCTCGCGGCTGGTTTAGAAGGTAGAGATAGCCAGTCGAGTCGGCCTTAGACACAAAGACGGTAGCAAGCCGCCGAGTGGTGTACACCAGAACCTCAATAGAGAGTATCAATAATTCGACATCGCTGTCAGTGTCAGTAGAAGCTTCCTCGGGTCTAATTGACACCGCAAGGAAGTGGTTCTCGCATTTGGTAGGCTCTGGACCCTCACCTGGAAGAGGTGAGAAGATGGGCTCGCAAGGTGTTGGAGGACAAGCTACGTGCCGCACTGAGAGCTTCACACCCTTTGGCAACGATTGGCCGAGCTGCTGCACGAAGCGCGAGGAAGCCATTGGGGCAGATGTGAAATCACCGCGGCCGCCGTATCTGTGCGAATGCGAATCATCATGAACGCCCCGGACGCGCCGCGACTTCTCGGAGGTCGAGACGGGCAAGGTTGCAGTTCACGTGCTCAACGGGCGGAGATAAGCGGACTTAGTCAGCTTCGCAGGGCAGCAAGGCATGCAAACTGCGCAAACTGCTTCCCCATAACCTCCAGTAACCATGTATTGCCATCCGCCCGGTTCCTTCGACCAACCATGAGCACACTCGGGCCTCCTTGATCAATTGCCGATGTATGAGCCACAGCATTCGGCTTCGCAGCTTAAAGAACATCTCATATTGACTGAACTGCCAAGCTTGTCTTAGGTCCGTGGCGCTCAAAGACCCTTCGGACAGCGAACAAGGTCCCCGTGATGAACTCAAGAGGACATAGCATTGCAAGGGTGGAAGTCCCGCCATCCGCAGTAAACCCTACTATCCATGGACGATGGGGCCAAATGCTCAAATACCCAAGGCCATTCCTCAACCTGCCCAAAACTTCCCTACAGTCTCCCGTTAGTTCCCCTTGATTAAGCATATTCGTCCTTTGATCCTCCATAACGCACTATTCTTCACTCCAACAACGATGGCTACGGAGGAACAACAGTCAGGTCAATTCCCCCCCGTTCGGCGCGTCGTGACTGGCCATTCCCCCACTGGGCAGGCAATTATTGAATCCGATGAAAAGCTCATCCCATATGACCCCTTTTCGGAGAACGCATCCCCAGCTACTGCTGAATCGATGTTCGGCTTCACTACGATCTGGTCGCTGAACCTCTCGCCTTTCCCTGTCACTGCCAACGAATCTTGGTCTGAATTTAATGGCAAGCCCGTCGGAATCTCCAACCCCCAAGGCCTAATTGCTCGAATCGTCGACTTCCCCCCCGGCCGACCTGGTATGATGCACCGTACGATGACGGTGGATTTTGGGATTGTTTTAAACGGGGAGATTGAGCTAGAGCTGGATGATGGTGTGAAGACTTGGGTTAAAAAGCATGATCTAGTGGTCCAGAGGGGTACGATCCATGCCTGGAATAATCCAGGCCCAGACACTGTGCGAATGATGTTTCTTTTGGTATCCGCAAACAAATTGAAGTACGGCGATAATGAGTTGGAGCCGACGCCAGTGCCATCAGCTTTTGATGGATCGTCTCTCAAAAAATGAGCGTCTTCCCGTTAACGTCCGAAGTGAAGGTCCGGAACGAAGTGATTCCGGAGCAAATAACTCTCTGTCCCGCCTTTAATTAGAGTGACCAACCTCGAGTATCTTGTCTATGTTGCTTCCAGACTTGGAGAAAAGCTCAATACAACGAGTACTAGCTGACTACATTATACTTCTTGTCTGTCCAGCCATTCTCAACTTAATAATCATGTAATTATTCCGTACACGTCCTGCAAAGCGGCAATTCGGGTCAACGGATTTATGCCAAAAGGGCTAAGTTCGAAATGTTGTCGATACTAGAAATACTCTTTAACCGCGTCTAGATCATCAACGTTCAGCAATGCAACGCCTTCCTTCAGCAGCACTCTCCAAATCTCATTCCGCTTTCGAATCGGCCAACCAGGCGTTTGCCAGTACCTAGCCCCAATTCCTTTGCTATTTGCTTTCTTAATTTGGGCCCGGATGGTTTCTAGCTGGGCGCTAGTCAGGGGGTCTTCCTTGTCTTGATTTGTTGCACCAACGGCGGCTTCAAAGCTAGTCGATGCAATCGGAGAGATCAAGGAAGAGATGTTATCAAACTCGGGCTGGTCAAGTTCGGCGAGTGGTGCATCGTAGAAGTAATCGCGGTTTTCAAGCTCGGTGATCAAGTTTAATGGTGTATTTCCTGTACCGATGACGGTGACAGGAGCCGAAATCTTAATGCCATTCTTAACTTTGGTCAAATAGCCCAGGTCTCGGAGAGGTTGAAGGTCTTTGGAAACCTGTTTCCAGGTTTCGACTCCATCGGTTTTAATATCTATGAATAAATATAATGTCTGCGCCGGATTGGTGTCGAACACGCCACTGATTATATCATCAGTTAGTGCATATGTTACTTGGCTCTAAAGGGAATTGAACGTCTTCAAGGCTTCCCTACTTTCTCGTGGATGACGGAACGAATTTATTTTGGGGGTTCTGGCGCTTGAGGATTTGAACAATCTGATCGATATATAATGATTTGAGAGTCCGGGTCTCCGCCAAGGATGATCGGTGATGGCCGACCTGAATGCAAATGAGTGAACAGCAGCAAAACAAAGGGGCCAGGAAGGAAGCGAAATGCCTAGATTCAACATACATATAGAGTACCATTGATCAGCCAAACATCGGCTTCGATCGAGACGCAGCCGGCCGCGATAGCTAGTAGGAATTGTAAGCACCAGGTTCGACAAATTTACCTGAACAGAACGCACCAGAGTATACGGGGCGATCTCTCCAGTAGTCACTATGGGTCAACCATGTCAAACTCAGCTCATTCCCTCTCATCGATGGACTACATATACGCACTTATGAGAATGGCACGGAACCTTTTAAACCTCAAGGTCCAGACCAATTAGACTCCCTAAACCTCATAGGATGCCCTTCATCAGCTGTTTCGGAAGAACGCACCGGAATGATTTCTCTGGTGAAGTCCGTTGGATAGTGATACTCCGGTGCATTATCAGTGTCGTCTAGAACGTTCTGCAGCTCTGTCGAGCCCAAGGATCTTGCGAGCACGGTGGTCTGGAAGCTCGCGAAGGCTCCCAGAGCCGACGCGACAAATAATGACGTCACCCTCATGATTGACTCTCAGGGATCCAAGGGCAAAGGGATCGATTGATTGAGCGATGGAGGAGACAATTTATATTTGAGCGGAGTTCCAATGGCATCCGCTGTCAAAATGGAACTTAACGATGTCGAGACCTGCTGCCTTCCCGCCAAATTTCGTGTCGCTTGCCAGTGCCAAAATCACGTGAAGATATTCGGAGGCCGTTTGTTTTAGGGGAACCATAGTTTTGAGGGTCGATAGAAGCATTTAATTCGGCCAAGGAACTGTCTCTGGGCCAGTTCTGGGAGCGACGAGAGATGAAATGCTAGACGGCACGCTCCTATCGTTTGGTTGGCAAATAATATGATAGCATTTCATCCCGTGTCAGACATTATTTAACTCACCCCCTGGTTAGCCTTGAGGGGGCCTGAGAAAGTAAAATGCGTTTTAGATTTGGGCTCATGCATATGGCTCCTATGGAAGCAGCTGGCAAAGGCATTCGATATGTTATCGGTTATCCATTGGATTAGAAAAAAGTATGTATGCTAAAATACAAAGCAGGGCAATATATGTACATCGTGATGCTTCGTAAAATCATGCTAAACAGGCAGTGGGGAAGCAAAGGTCCGGGGAGAGTGGCGGTGCACCACTAAACGTCTCGCACAGTAATATTTTCGGACTCGCCATGTCCCTCTTGAGAGTTGCTTCCCCGGCCCCGAAGATTCAAGCTTCCAATTCGCTGCACGATACTGGAACCTACTGCGTCAACAGCTCCCTTGGGGGCTAGTAATGTTGGACCTTGGGCGACTGCTTCTTGTACTCTGAATAGTTTAATAGCCGTTCCGTTCCAGACGCCGACTGCCCCCGGCGTTGAGCCAGAGGCCGACCCAACTATCATTTCACTCGAAAAGATAAATCCCCATAGAAGGGACTCGTACCAGCCAAGGGAAAGTGGACACCATTCAAACATATGAACTTGAATGGGGGTCGGCTCTGAGAGCACTGACTGGATATGTGGTTCTTCCGCGAATGATGGAAGTTCTGAAAGCAGCGTGCGTGCTTCAGGGCTCACAGATGATTCAAGAGCCGCTGCCGGGACATGAGGGAATATTGCAGAAATGACTGTTAAAATGGTGTGAAGGGGCAACTCGGGAACCCACGATTCGATCTGACCACTTGGTTAGCTGGTTGTATTTATGGCCTTTACGTTGATCTGGCGCTACTTACCCAAGCTGCAGTGGGAACAAAGCCACTGGACGCTGTCGAAAAACCAGATGCTGCAGCGTAGCTACTTAAGCTTGTGGTGCTATTTTGCCGAGAGAACGTAGCTTGACCGGCCGGCATCTTGCCGCGAGCCTTCTCGGATAAACCTCGAAGCTGATGTGGAACGCTGTCATCGGTGGGTGATGCCAGGGATGGCGGCCGTGAATTGTCGAGGGAGGGAGATGACTGAGAAGGTGTCTCTTGACGCAGAGTCTCTTCGTCAGATTCGTCGTCTCCCACTGCAAATGTACCATCTTCCTCTGGAACGTGGCTCAAAGGTCGCGTGGGGCTACGAATCTCTTCGCTGGGCTGGACATAAGATTGATGTGTAAAATGGTCACTGCCGCTTAAGCTAGCCTTTCTTAGGTGCCGTTGTTGCTCAATCTCCTGCTGTCCGCTTTCTAGAGTAAAGGCCCGCAGAGACTCAAAACGCCTCTTTGATTTTAGAACGGCATAAACTAGATATGGGTTTTCTATACAGCGTTAGATCGAGACGGGTAGGTAGGATTTACTTTGGCCCACATACTGCTATATTGGTGTTCTATAACTGCATTGATAAATTTGAGCAAGGAGGATAGGAGAGCATGATTGGTTTCCTTGGCCAGAAGGAAACTCGGCGAAGACATCGAGACGAAAAGCTGTAATACTCTAGAGCATGCTGTAGCCGACAGGTGCTCTGCGTAAGCTGCAACATTGTCCATAATGGCTAACAAAGCAGGATAAACTGCGTCTAGTTTTCCTTTGCTGGTGGTCATCAAATTATGGATGGACTATAGAAATTAGCACCGTTTAGACAAAGCATATAAAGTAAAGGACTGCATACAATGATAAGAAAATCCCCATATGTTCCGCGGAAATTGGAAAGCCTTATACTCGGTGGCAGCGTGTCTTGCGCTTCAAACTTCTTAAAGAGGTTGCGACCAAAATTTGGCTCCACACTGAGGGTCTGAAGTAAAAAGATGCACATTTTGACAATGCCATGCTTGGATGGGTCTGTCTTATATTCATTGGCATAGAAAAGGCAGATGATTATAAAATCATGGGCACGATTTGAATCGACAATGAATGATCTAAATCGTTTGTTGCATTGAAGTGCTTCCCAGAACAAGATCATCATCTCAGGAGCCCACTTAACGGACTTCTGACTACCTGGAAGATAAGATGATGTGGCTTGCATCTGTTATACTATTAGCTTATATCCACTGCTCAAATGTTTGTAAGGAAACAAACCGGCTGATTGAGGATTCTCGTCATGCCGTCGACCAGAAATTGGAAGTCTTGAGGCTGGTGGAGCCTCCCAAAAAAGTGCCGATAGTAATTTTTGGGCGGTGCTCCGCTCCCGCTTTCTGGGATAGGATAGAGTAATAAAGCTAGGAGAAGCTGTAGGGAATAGATCACAAGGATTTGCCTTGAATCTTTCCAAACAACGTGGTCATAAGGCATTTTCCAGGGAGTTGGATTGAACTTGAGGGTCTGAAATATGTCAGAAGAAATCCCATGCGTTGTCCTGGAAACAGAAACTCACTGTGTTTAATAAGGAGCAGAGAACAGACAGGACGAGCTTCTTATCGGGACAGGTTGCAAGATAGGTGAGCGACTTAACCCCTTTCACGGGAAGTAGATCTACGAACGTTAGCCTGGATGGGTAGCTTTGGGGGATTCGAGGCGGGCTTACTTGACGGCATATACATGGACTGGCCGGTCAATGTCAACAATAGACGTAATACTTCCGTTCTATTGCTCTCAAGCTCCTTGTTGGATCCCATGGACGTATGGCAGCCTATTCCACTCTGCCATATTGAATATTGAACTTTGGTTTTAGAACCTGGCAACTGGGGTATAGTAAATCCAGTGAAAAAAAGCATATCAACCAAAGTATCAAGGAGCTCTTCGGCAAGAGGCTTTGCATCTTCGTAGTCTTCATCCCGAGGCCGGGCATCCTGATCTTCCTCGTTGCGAGATTCATCGAACAGAACTCGAGCCGCGAGTTGAGCCTGTCGAGTTTTCTTCTTCCTTTCCCCCCAGAAGAAGCTTTCTTCCCACTCCTCCAAGTTTTCCGCTTCGTATATGAAAGGTAGGATCCGGGTAAGAACCCGGATGCAGTTCAACGCATCTCGCGGTGGCGCAAGTTCATGATCAGGAAATGACGGGTGATGTCTAAGCGCAGTCAATCGGGAGGCGACAGCGAGTAATAGGGTCTCCAGATTCCCTAGCGACGTGTCGCGCGTTCTTCGTATGTCAACGGGGGCGAAGAGCGTAAACACGTCTTCAACCGATTCCGGGAGCTCCCAGAACTAAACGAATACACACGTATTAGTCGGTAGCTTTGCAGAGCAACTCCACACACCGACAAAGATCGGTACTTACACCAGCCCAGTATGGATCATCGGCTGGGATACCTTTCTCCTCCGAAAGCCGAAAGATGCCTTGCCTGAAAACGAGCTTGGATTCCGAAGCTCCCATGATAAACGTACCAGATGCGTGTGAATCGCAAAGTGGGGAAGCAGTGGCCGAAACCTCAAAGGAAACAAATGCTCAGCATGCGACAATGAGGTTAGGGCATCAGTTATAAAGATCGGGTTAGTTTTTGAAGGAGAGCCAGTACTCTTGTTGGGTTGGATTCAAGGTCGAGCAGAGCCAAGCAACTGATAAAGCTTGCGTAACAATTCAACTGCCACATCGACCGTTATTTTATCACAAGGTGATGCAAGCAATGAGCGATTCTCCCGTACACGCTATTAGATTGTAATCTAATCTTTATCTTCAACAAAGAGAAATTATAAAATATGTTGCTGAAGAATTAAATTGATTGTTAGCCTTTCAAGGTAGGTAATACTCCGTACATAGTAGTAATTCTTCCCGCTTCCATAACGCCTTTCTTCTACCAGAGCTAAATCACGCCAAGACATTTAGAGAATAAACCAATATCATCGTCCAAAAACGCTGCCACCAGGAGAAACGGCACGCGTTTTCTCATAGAGCCACTTATTTGCGAGTACATTGACATTCCTTCCACCATTAGGACTAGGAGTGGATGGCGTCCGCAGAGCGGTTGAATCTCGCAATGAAGACCGACCGAACGACGACGAAGAACCAAAGCTGTGACGCCGCATCATACCCCTGTTCCCACCGGCAACTGCTCTTTGGAACAAAGGGCTAGGGGAGGGTGAATATAGAGAGCCCTCGTAAAGCTGGCTACCTGACAAGCTGCCTCTGCCAGATAATGGAGAACTGCTCGGGGATAACGGGCTAGGCCGTCGTGAACCTGAAGATATCCGGTATCGAGGAGGTGTTATGTAAGAGCTTCCGGGTGTCGTAGGAGGGGTGCTGTTGGGTTTAAGTCCAAGAAGCGCACGTTGTGAAGGGGTTAGCGGGATATCTGTGATATCGTCCTTGCGCCGAAAAAGTGGGTATAGTGCGGTCGCAATGTTGGCAAGAAAATATAATCGCAATACGAAGAGTATGACATTGGGATACGTTGTGATGGACAGAAAGGAACCGAGTGCAAGTATGCTGCAACAATACCCGTTAGAAGCAGCGTGTATCTGTGAGCCCTGCTGGGCAAGACTTACTATTGCCTTAAAGATTTCCCCAAAAAGCCTGTGGCGAGCAAAACTGCACCATTCCACACGATCTTCCGAACATTTGTGTCACCGAATCTCGCTGCATTCTGCCTTTGTACAATCTCCTTGAGGTGGGGATGCCGCCATTTGCCCGGTGAAGGTGTATCGACCGTTTGGATACTAGCGAGTTTGGGGGTCGATGGAAGCAGACCCGGCGCCATTGGCAGAGCTAGGGAATTGCGTGCTAAGAAAATAGCAACTAGAGATTGACTCAATTAGCCGTGTTGCAAAGGAGAAAGGAATGAAAATTTGGGAATTTTGACGACGAGCGTACCTTCTGGTGGGAAAAGCCTCCGGAAAACAAAATACCTACCCCACTTACCTTTATCCCTAATCCAAAGCCACAAACTTGATATCACGTTAGACCTAGAGCGTGGCGTTGCGGAGAGACCATCATGCAGCTGGCGGCAATCGGGATATTTGTTTTGGAGACAAGGGCCTTGGAACGATGCGAGAGCAACCTTCTGCGCTAAACTGCACACGTTCGAGATTTAACCAGCCTAAGCGCCATTGCCGCGCGGTAACTAGTTACTTGCGACCAGCTTAGTCACCCCGCCTCAGCGCGGGACTCGGGTGATCGGGAGCAGCTCGGTGGAGGCATCAACCATTATTGAAACACGTTACTCCATACACATTTGATTCTCCCCGGCTTAGAATCATTATACGAACCCTTTTCAAGCTTGTGCCACTGATTTTTTTTTTTTTTTTTGTTTTTTTTTTTTTTTTGCAGTATTGCCTGGGATTTCACTACGTACGTCCCTCAAGGAAGTCCTCTCTGGGGCACTGATTTCCTCCATTCCTGAAGAAATGGACGAGTTATGATTGCCATGACAGACTCCCCAAACTGTCGCAGGAGGGAGACAGCTGGCGGGAATGAGAACTTTGAAACATGCACTGCTAAGGAATTAACAGTCATGTCTGATCATTGATAAGATTAGCTGGCTGATAGGAGAAGTGATTGGGGATGAACCACATCGCGATGGCTCTGGTCCGTCTATTCCTGCATCTACGGGGCTTTTTAAGTCAATTATATACGAAATGGTTGCCATCTCAGGTCTCGCAGATATCGGGCGGTTCCCCTTCCCATGCTAGGCTTGCTATGACCAAGTTACATTCTCTGTACTCCGTACCCCGTATTCCGTGTGTGGCGCACGTTTGGTATCAGGTTACGCTCTTGCTGGACCAACCTCCACAGGCTCACAGACAGTAAAATTGACCCCAACCCGAATAACACATCACGTAGGCAAAGTGATAGCAAGACAGCCGATGTTGAACATAGCCGAGCGTCCCACTCAAACCTTCACCGAGCTAGGACAAGGCGAGTAATTAAGGATATTGCGTACCCTAAGCACAACGGAATACGGAGGAGGTATCCACACATACCTTCCTGAGTTCCCATGTATGTTGATGCATAGGATTCAATGGCGGACGGACGATTCCATAGCAAAAGTCAAAGTGTGATGTGGACAAGGCTGGCTGGTCAAGAGTCGAGTCTCGCGTTGGCTCTGGAGTGGCGCCCAAGAAGTACTCTAGGCGGCTCCAGAGACTAAAAGTTAACCAACCTAATTGACCGATCCGTGCTCCGTGCACCGCAAATCCATAACAGCCAACGACACAGTATCAACAGCGTTGGCTGCGGTACCTAATTTATTCACCTCATTGATCACCCTTGCTTTTATTTTTTTTTTTTAACTATGCTCGAGAGTCTAGACGGCACTCCGATTTGAGTCTTTGGCCGATTTGAGATAAAATTAGCTGCACCCGAGTGAAGGTTTTCAAGATGGCCTCGAGCGAGTCCCTGATTTCAAAGCTTGATAGCTTACTGGCCCAACTGCTTGCCGACTGGGACATCTACACAACTGGGCTAGCCACCCTTTTGGTTACTTACGTGGGCTATGTCACTTTCTTTTCGAAAGATCCGGATGCGCATCCTTTTATGCTTGCCCGGCAAGCCGCCGAAGCTCCCATCAGGCAGCCGGGAGAATCCGCGACACTTCGTGCCCTTGACGCTCCCCATGGGTACCCTCTTAAGGCCGGATTGGGAGTGAGGGATCCGGAAACACCAAAATGGTCATATGGAAGGAATGGAGATTTACGTGACATCTGGAGGAGCGCCGTCAAGGGATCGCTGAATCAAGACGGCACACCTAAAGGGAAGCGTGGAAAGATATACACTGTCCTGGGCAAAAATGTAGAAGAACGAAGTATCGACGAGATATCGAAAGAAATCAATGTTCTCGGGCAGTATATTCGCGACTCAAAGGCACAAAATGTGGCAATTTGTCTTTCTGACTCTGTGGAATTACTTGCTACACTTTTTGGTTCGTGAGATCCATGCAGCATTCGGGGAGCATGAAGCTAACAAGTTTCAGCCGGTGCATTCTACGGATTTAAGATTACGATAATCCCTCATAACTTGGCTTCTGAAGAGCTGGCAACGTACCTCCAGCAAGCTAAAGCAGATCTCCTTGTTGCAGAAGCCGGTGCTGTTGATCTCGATGTTGTGTCTAAAGCCCGTACGTCTCTGAACAATGTTGTCTGGGTCACTAAAGTGGGCAACCAACACTTGGATTGGAGTCAAGGCCCAGATGAATTGGGTAGTCAGATTAAAGTGGCTGTTTGGCAGGATTTGGTGAAAGATAGCGGTAATTCTGCTACCTCGGAGCTTCCCGCCTCTGATCCCAACGTAGCCACACCCTCAATAACTACACTCTGGTTCCCCCCAACTGGCCCTGGATCTTTCGTTGAATATACAGCCGCGGTAAGCTTATAGATGCGGGAACCGTCTCCTCGCTGCTTTTCTAACGCGTACAACAGAATCTCATATCTGCTGTGGGTGCTCTTGGCAGCTCCCTTCCACGTAACGAGCTTCTCAGAGACTCCGACCTATTTCTTTCGATTGACTCGTTGGCTCATACATACTCGCTCTGCTGGACCCTTGCTGCTCTGTATGCCAACGCTTCCGTTGCTCTCAATTCGGTAGCTGGCGAAGTTGTCGATTTAGCGCTGGCTACCGCGGGGATTTCACCCACCGTGCTGGTTGCATCTTCCCACACCATATCCGACTACCATGCTCAACGTATGGGACCCTCTATGAATCCAATTACCAATATTGGACGATACTTTCATAGCCGTTCCTTGGATTCCGGTGTGATGCCAACACGTAATTGGCTATGGGATTTGTCAAGCGCTGCACCAACTGCAGGACTTTCTCTCGATAAGCTTCGACTTTTGTTCATTTCCCATCGAGCTGATGGGAACAAACAAAATCGGCTCACCTCCGATCAATTAACGGACCTCAGAATATTCACTGGAGCTCGTGTTGTATATGCGCTTACTGCTCAAAATGTTGCTGGTGCGGTTTGCCAAACGCTTCCGTACGACTATAGAATGGATACCGGGCCTAGTCATTTCGGCCCACCTACAAACAGTGTTGAAATAAAGTTGATTGGATGTCAGGAGAATGGCACCAACGAGAGAGCAACAGAAGGAGAAGTAAGTGATAGTTACCTTCTTTTTTCCTTTTTTTTTTTTTTTTTTTTTTTTTTTTTTGGGCAAATTGGTATGCTAATTGCAGTCACAGATATTTGTGACCGGGCCCTCTGTCGTCTCCGGACAGTCCTCACTAGGTGTCAAGGCTCGGATTCGTGATGATAATACCATTGCACTCTGTGACTAGAAGGATTCAATGGTTCATAATGTCTATCTTTGTGTACTGTGGATATGTTGTTCGATATGCTCTATCAATGAAATCTTTTCTCCAAGGGCAAATACCGACAATCAGGGCTGCCAAGCATGAATCCTCAATATTTTATCCAAAGGTAACAAATATTGTACAGTATAAACGCCTCTGACACCCCAAACACGGCCTCTCAAACAAGTAAGAAGTGACTACTTATGATACAGTCGCTTGGCCAATACAACACCCGATCGATCCGCACTATCGCTTTCCTTCGTCACTTTTTCCACAGAGGCTTCGATTGTCTTCCCAAGCTCACCCATTCGAGATCGTAAGGCATTGGACAAGTCGGCATCGGCCTTGATTTCATCTACCTGTAGAGCTAGATTCATACCATTCCACACAGGAATCAACTCTAGGAGTCTAAAGTTAGCAGTCTCCCACAGGGCGGGGACATCGAAGTTCCCGAACGACCAAGTGCTAAGAAGCCTGGTAGCATATGCTCGAACTTGTCCTTCAACGTCCTTCCCCCCAAGTGAGTCGAGAGTGTTGGCGGCGCTGAGCTCGAGTAGAATTGCAATGATCTCAGGTGAATGTTTTGCGTCATTCATCCGATCAGCTGCGGTATGCTCAGGAGCATCGAAAAGGTCCGCCATTTGACGAGCTTGTCGCAAAGCTGTCTCAGCCTCACCACCCTTAAAATTCGCCTCCTGTGCCTTGTAGCGAATTGCCAAAAATAGATTTTTTGCTACAGCAACATTGGCCAGGGTAAGACCAGTTCTCTTCGATTGCTTCACACTCTCCACCATCACGCTTGCTTGCCCAGCTAGACCGGCCTTGCGAACTAGCCACACCAAATTTTTTGTTGCAAATGGCCGCTTTGAATTTTGTAGTCCGGTCAGAAATGGAATAATGTTGAGCCAGTCCTCGCGAGTCTTCATCAAAGAAACCATTTTCCTAAACTCGGCGGAGCCGGGCTGGTCTTCGGGTTTCATGGGCTTCAGGAGATAGGATTCTTCGGTTTGGCCGCCAACTTTGACAGATATGGGGTTGTCTTGTAATTTCTGTGCATATTTTTGCTTGAACATTAATCGTTTGTGTCGAAGACTCAGTGACATTGGAATGAATAGCTTCTGCCGAAATACTTCCAGAAGCTCGGTCAATTCGGGAGAACTTGAGGGTTTAAAGGGGGGGAGGATCTCTACGGGAAACATTAATTAGTAGCCGGAAGGGCTGAGAACATTGATGCCACCCATACCTTTAGAGTAAGAAGGAGTGCTCGAGAAGGATCTGCTCGATCGGCTGAATTTAGATGTCTGCGCGGCGCATCGCGAGAAGAGCGCCGGGGCTCTCCACATGGCACCTTGCGCCATTGTCGTCGGAGGAGACGGCCAAATTGATTCTTCGGGAGGGCTACTGTAGAAGAAATAGCTCTATTCGGGTCTTTGCTGGATCGAATACTTTCCGTGATCTGACTTCGCAGGTGGGTTTCGTATTCGAGGGACTATTCTCTTGAAGCCCAAAATTTGAAGTTCAAGATTGCGTGACGCACGGACCACCACTTGAGATCTTCAAATCTCTCCAACTCCGACGAACACGCTGACAACCAAGTTGATGACAACAATGGCCTCGCTACAGTCAGCGATGCGGCCGCTAGGCTGCTGGACTTCGATATCCCGAGAATTGGGGAAGTGTCAGTCTCACCGAAGATTCCTGACGACCGTGTATTCCGCTCCAAAGCAGCGCCTCCCTTTCCCCGAAAACCTCCCCGAACAATTTCATTCGCAACTACCAAAAGCCTTTCGCCCTGGTAAAGGTGGGTTTACAGCGTTATTCTCGTTTCAAATACTACTATTCTCTTGATTGCACCGTTGTCCGTTAACAGTTCTACACGAAACAGTTGCAAAAAAGCTGAAAGTCCTCCCTCCTCCGCCGTCCCCGGCTTCCACATATAAAGATCCAATTGCCTCTTTCACAAAGGACCAGCTGGCTGTTCTCGACCCAACTGGTGAAAGACAGAATCTCTTTAACAAGAGAAACCGACAAGGCGCTAAAGTTGGTGATATTCTCCGCGTTACTTTTAAATCCGGCGATCCCTTTGCAGGCGTATGCTTGAATATCCGACAGCGGGGAATAGACACCGCATTTTTGTTAAGAAATCAATTGACTCGAGTGGGATGTGAGATGTGGATTAAAGTATACAATCCACAAGTGCAAGCTGTGGAAATTGTGCAACGTTCTGAGAAGAGAAAGAGGCGTGCTAGACTAACATACATGAGGTATGGCTCTACTGCAAAATCTTTTTCCAGGACACCCGAAGCTTTTGACTGGTTCACTGACGCGCTCTCTCCCCCCTCTCCTTTAGACAAGCTAAACACGACTTTGGAACCGTTGAGGGTGTTGTTCAGAAATACCTCCGGGAGAAGGCCATCCTAAGTGGTGAAACGAGCCAGACGAAAACAAGGAAATAGGGACGCCTATAATTTAGTGGAGTGGTGTACATCTGTATGACTAGTTTGAGACGATATCATACTATATCTCTCTATTCAGTGCATAGTTGTGTTCTATTCGTTCAGTCAGGGCCAGGATCTCGGGGGATGGCGCAGTTACATTCGCATATGATGTTTAGTAAGAATATTTTGCTATTACTCCGCTATAGAGAAACATATTTCAAGAAACATTCTGCGGCTTAATATAACAGTGACAAACAACAAAATCGACATGAATGTTTTATTTTCGTTCGAATTGAAGCCGACAAGCATCGACTAGACTGTGTTTCAAGGGAGATAAACCGCAACCTCGAGCCCGCCCTTGAATGGCGTCGTCATTGTCTTGAACCCGTTCGCTGGATTGTTAACATAGTCAAAGAAATCTTTGTAGCCCGATCGCGCCATTTTGGTATTATCAGCAACAATAAGCGCCCCATGGCGAAGTTTTGGCTGGACGGCCTGCAGGGCAGGGAGGACCATTGGCGTCCAAACTGGTTCAGAGACATGTTAGTTTCGTTTAATAATCGTGGAATGACAGGTGGACAGAGAGGGGAATCATACTATCGAGCAAGAGGAGATCAATCTGATCAGTTTTGTTTACCTCCACGGGAAGCAACTCGCGGAGATCTCCCTCCAACAATGTGATCCACGGTTCCACTTCCTCTCCAGCTTCCTTCCAATGTTGCCTTGCCTTTTTAGCTTTCTCCGGCTCTTTCTCGGTAGCAATTACCCTTGCTCCCTGTCCGGGAATGATTGGGCCGGAGGTAGCCTTTGCGGCAGCGTTTTGTCCAGCAGCAAGAGCCAGATATATGGTTGAAACACCGAAGCTGGTCCCAGCCTCGACGATGTTCAGCGCACCGGTGGTCCGCGCGAGCAGATAGAGGAACTCGCACTTGTCGGGTTCGAGGGCAATGAATTTGTCCCGCATGAAGTCATCATCGCGGGTATTCCAACTTTCTTTGAAGAACCGATCGCGGAAGAGCTTGAAGACCCAAAAAACGCTGAGAGAGAATGAGGATTCTTGGGCCAATGAAGCGGCATGGAGCTTTTGGAGAAAGTTAAGGACTTTCGGACTAGCCACAACAGTATTGGAGGACATCTTAGGGTTGAGGATTCATGTCATTACTTGGTTTTCAAACTGTAATTCTCGGCAATGGCAGAGAACCCAACACATTATATATACTCGAATTCGGGGCTCGCAGCTTTATACGAGGGCCGAGTCGAAATTGCCGGTTGAAGGGCGTGAAATTTCGCACGATGACATCTGACTCATTCCCGGCATCGCAAGGGTATTTCGCTTCGATGCCCCCTGATTAATCTTCTGCCATACAATTGGCTAAAGGGATAATGCTCTCTCAAAGCCCGATACACGTCTGGAGATGCTAACTTTCTTCCCTGCATGACGGTTCATGAATACCGCCGTCTGGCGGTGGGTACTCAGCTGTAAGATACATGCTTAATTACGGAGCAGTACGCGGTGTGGGACTAGTGCCTGTTCGAGCATTTACCGCGCTAGTAAGGCATGCAGAGGAGGGGGATCAGATAACATCGTTTAGCAGATCAGATAAGAATGGTACCATGTGATTCGCTAAACGGCGACATCGGAAACTCTAATCCACGTGACTGATCGCACGATAATCTAATCTGATCATCCGAGTTTCCCCCTCTAACCTTCCTGCAACATCCTCCACTACGCTCCTCGTCGCTTGCTGTCGTATCACAGTGTCAATTGCCATAGCCAGTGATACATTGTCGCATATATTATGTGACTGGGACGAACTTACATCTGGATGCTTCTTGCCTTGGACTAGCTGCGTGAGCCTGCTGCTCTAGGGCCTGGAGCTTGAGTACAAATAATCAGCTTCTGGTTCCGATGCCCCGATAGCACGTTGCGGTTGAATTTCCACACAATCAGTCTTTGTCCTTTTTTTCTTCAGTAACCCTTTTTTTTTTTTTTTTTTTTTTTTTTTTTATTTCGTCCCTCTTATCCGTCGTTTGTGTCTTGGTTCCAACATTCTTCATACGAACCATGGCATCTGCTGTGAGTACGCCAACCGCTTCTACCCCCGCCTCGCCGCTACCGTTAGCCCCGGCATTGGCCTCACGCCCCCCAGCTCTCTCGGTGAAGCCAATCGCAGCCGCAGGCTCTCCTTCTCCCTTAGTACAACGCTCTGTTACGTCAAAGGAGTGGATTATTCCCCCACGACCAAAGCCTGGCCGCAAGCCAGCCACGGATACCCCCCCAACAAAGCGAAAGGCTCAAAACCGCGCCGCTCAAAGAGCCTTTCGGGAAAGAAGAGCAGCGAGAGTGGGAGAATTAGAAGAACAAATTAAAAAAATTGAGGAGGAAAACGAGCAACAAGAGACGTTGATGAAAGCACAAATAAGCACACTATCGAAACAACTAGAAGACTGTAGAAACGAATTATTATGGTGGAAAAAGCGCTGTCAGGGACTTGAAAACAACGTTGTTACAGAGAGAAACGCTAAAGATGCTGTGGCCAAGGAACTCCAAGCTATCAAAGCACGGAATCCGGTCGAATCTGTCCCTGGTGGATGTGAAAATTGTTCCTCCGCCAGATGTCAATGCATTGACGACGCATTCAACGTAAACCCTTCACGGCGGCAAGAGGATGTTTTAGCGCCAAAGCGACCACACTCCCCACAGCAGGAGTCATCAGATAAACGGCAGAGACCTCAACCTGAAATTAAAACCGAACCAGAAGAACTAGAGATAGATTTTACATCGCGGTTCTCCCTTCGTCGCAATACGGATAACGACGTGGAAGTCGTCTCCCCGAGCGCTCTCTTTGATCCGTGCGGATTTTGCCAGGATGGAACCCCGTGTATTTGTGCTGAAATGGCTGCGGATCAATCTTCGGAGAGAGAAAAGCCCCAGAGGCCCAACAAACTTGCCCCTATCCAAAACCTCGACCTCTCTCAATTTACCCCTCCTCCCTCGGATGGAGATGTGTTTTCTGACGGTCTTCCCTCTATAACTAGCAAGCCAAATCCGTGTGCGAATGGACCTGGTACCTGTGCACAATGCCTCTCAGATCCAAGAAGCACCTTGTTTTGCAAGAGTCTAGCGGCATCACGAGGCGCAGGTAATGCCGACCCCGGATGTTGCGGAGGAAGTAGTCCAGGAGAAGGCTGCTGTCAATCGCGAGGATCATCCCAGAATGACAAAGGGAATAGCGTATTGAAGGATAACCCGCCATCAACTCCTCCAATTACATTAAGCTGTGCGGACACTTTCACCACACTTTCGCGACACCCAAATTTTGCTCGTGCATCAGACGAGATAAACACATGGCTCCCACGGCTACATACTCTTCCAATTCCTCGAGGGCTCCCTTCCTCGGTCAGAAATCGTCCTGCGATGGAAGTGGAAGCCGCCAGCGTCATGGGTGTGCTTCGATATTTTGACAGAAGATTCGCTAATTAACGACATTATGTATCACTTTTCATTTTGATTGATTTATACTGGGACGGTTCCAGGCTGCAGCGATGTGTTGGCAAATGTGTACCGTCTGGACTTCACGGATTTTAGGAAAATTATGGAATATCGGGGAAGGCTTTACCTTTTGTATTTGGCCGAAGTGGTGCTCTATTTGCTTGTTCGTTGTCTGATTATGTTTTCAGCCGCTCTCGAGGGGCTAATACGGCTTAGAGGCGATGAGAAATCGTTTAGGGATATGGCGTTGAGTCTTCAATGGGTGTAACATGCCTGTGGACCCATTCACAAACACCATTCGGCCCACTCTTAGAGTATCCTCATACATATGGCAGCATCAAAAATTATGTTGGGTTGGTAGGTGTCGTTGTATTGTATATTAGAAAGTTCAAGCTTATGTACTTTTGTTTTCAATAGAAGAGAGCACGAAGAATCGCACCGAAAAAACACTAGCTCCCAGTAAAGCTCAGATAGGAATATGTGAAATGAAATCATCAGAATTCCAATTATGCCGCCCAAGTAATCTTAAAAATAATATGCGCTTCTCAACACCGTCCGATCTAAATGAGTCCTCCATTTTCCTTTTTTTTTTTTTTTTAAAAAAAAAAAAGGGGGTGGGGGGGTAGAAGAACGAGTAAAAAACAGAAAGTAGAAGTGCCTTACAAAAGAGCAAGCAAGTTGAGGGGAGCTGGGATGATGTCGAGCGGGCGCGCCAAAGTCATGCTAATAGTACACTGTGAAAATCACACCATCGTCGCCAAAAACTCACGCGAAACTGGAGAATATACCTGGCTCTTCGTACTTCGCTAGAAAGTCGAGACCCAACAAGGAATATGCCACCGGGTTAGAAAACCCCCCTGACACGCGATTATAGAGCTGAATGGTGGTAGTGGGTATCTCAGTAAAAGGATACAGCTGCATTCGACTATATGCAGCAGCGCAAAACCGGATATGAGGCGGCCTAAAAGGCCCCAGCACTCCCTCGACCGCCAACAGGCCCAAGGCCCATAGCGGCTCCAGACTCTACTAGCACCTCTTCGTCTCCAGGTCCCAGAAGAGCTCCCAGAAACCCAGAGCCCCAGATTCCAACGATACCCCACATCTCTAATCGCCAGCTGCGATAAAGACCCCTTATTCCCTGGCCCCTGCGGCGTCTCGGCACTCTGCCCGCGGGCCCGGCCGTTGTAGGCTCTGGCGGCCGGCCCAACACTCGTTCAATCGCAACAGCTTCAGCCCCTCCGTCCGTGCCTTCTTCGTAGACAATACTCCACATTGTCCCAACGATACCACGGTATGTGTCTGGTGTAGGTACAACCGTTTGTACAGCGGAGGTGACGTTCTCTTGTGAAGACGATGACGCGGACACAGTAGTACGTGTGATGCTCTGCTGCCTCAACACCGGAGACGTGAAGGTCGTTATTTGAGCTCGCCTTAAAACTGTTTCTAGTGGAATGCGTACTCCTAGTTCCAGACCGGAAGCCATGAGAGTAAAGAGGCCCCAGCTTGAAGGGTTAAGGACCGGGTCCAAAGAAAGATAGGATTTGAGGAAAAGTGGGGTACTGTTCGCGAGTAGTGTTGGAAGCGTGGAGGAGAGGATCGTAATTGGGAGTAAATGGGGAGGAATTAGATAATTAGGGGTGGGAAGTTGACGAATAGCTCTGAAAAGCGAACCCGGGCCGTGCCCCGCGGGGCTTAAGATTAAGTATGTCCTTGCGGTATCAACGGGGGATAACACGATGGAAGCCAGGGCTGCCGAAAGACAGGTAAGGACTAAAGCAGCTCCTGGAGACGTAGATGTCAAGATATCGGATTCAAGGATGGTCGAGAAGCTATCCTCCGGATAGCCGATAATCGCTGAAAGAAGACTTCGAATGAAGGTATTCAAAGTCGGAAGGAGTAAAGAGTACACAAATGTCGAAGTCGAGCCCTTCCAAATAGATGTTGGTCCATTTGTTGTCCATAGCTGTGCAAGTACATCAAAGAGGGCAGAGGGGTCCTTGATCTTAAGCATATAGCCGGGCTTAGTGGACTGCGGGATGTAACCACTCCGATCCGTAATTCGATGAGGCGGGCGGCGGGTACGCGAGGCAGAAGCGGAGGCCGCCGGTGCTGCTGGTGCAAAGTAGCTATCCTCATCGTCAGATGAGTATGAAGATTGCTAACACGCGTAGTTGTTAGTCCCAAAGCTGGCACAGGAGAACCGGGTAAATCGATACATACATCTGTGTAGATGCTCTCCCGATAACTTCGATCCTGTCCCCGTCTCTCGTCCAGCGCCCTTATCTCTTGTTCATCTTGAACAACGCAAACCTGGAGAATCGTCTTTGCAACCTCGAAGGGCTGTGATATCAGAACGCGGGAATATCTCCATAATGCGCTTTCAAGAAGCTGTTTGATGGACTCCGCCACCGACGGAGAGGACTCTCCCAGGTAATCGGAGTAATCAAAATCGGAGAAGATTTCACGAGCAGAACTCCCGAAGCTGGTTATATTCCCTGATGCCGCTGATGGAGGCCCATTGGGCGAGATCTTCGAGACCGATTGCCCAGCAGGCAGCCCAATGGAAGGGGGAACGTAGTACGGGCGAAGGGGATTTGGCGCTTCAGGTGGCGAAGTCATTGTGCTCTAAAAGCACCGGGGTGGGCCAAAACCAATTGCAAATGCAGGGGAAAGCTCTGCGAGATTCGGCGATGTGGTTGCTGGCGACTCTGGAAATGAGATAAAATAGATATTTGAAGCTACTAGGAGATGTTGTTTTTCTGAATCTGGACTTCCGTAATTTCCGCTCCGCTGATTCGACTGATTTTCTTGTCGCCGCTTTCGCCGGCCGAACATCAACTGCGGCCGCGAACAAATTTCTGTCAGCCAACACTCTTCGCTGCTGCGAGATATCTCAAGCAATTTTGCACATTTTTTGCTGCGCTGGCCAACACTGCTCCTACGCAACCATGAATCCGTGGAGAACGATATGCCAGCAGCTCCTCCGACCGTCCGCCCCGCCGGCTGCTGGACAGTTTAGGGTAGTTGGAACGTCCCGGGGTTGGAATACGTTCACAGTTTCGAATCACCAAAGATTCGTTTCAAGGTCCAAGGCCTATTCGATCTACAGCAGGCCAGCTCGCCGGCTACGCAGTTCGGGCCACTACCAATGCTCATATGGCAATCCCGCGCAGCCACGACGGCCTTTCTCCGCGACCACAGCTGCTGCACATGGCCATATTGAACCTCCAAAACCAGGCGAAGAGTGAGTTCGACTACATATTTGACCAGGGAATCTATGGGGACCCTTTTCAACTGACTATTCTCAGGATCAATGTCACTTTTGTCGATAAGGACGGCGAGAGGCATGATTTCCAGGTCGCCAAGGGAGATAACCTGCTTGACATCGCGCAAGCAAATGATTTAGAGATGGAAGGTCGGTTTGGTCTTTATTTTCCATTAAATGCGACGGCGTTGCATTGACATTAAATTTCAGGAGCTTGTGGAGGTTCTTGTGCCTGCTCTACCTGTCATGTTATTGTTGAAGACCAGGGGATGTACGACCGAATGCCTGAGCCCGACGACGATGAAAACGATATGTTGGACCTTGCCTTTGGGTTAACGGAGACCTCGCGACTCGGATGCCAGGTGCAGATGACGCCCGAACTGGACGGATTAGTTGTGCGACTGCCCAGTATGACCAGAAATTTGCAAGCTAGCGACTTCGCGGATAAGAAATGATTCCCCCTACCGCTTTACTCTCGACTTCAACATAGCCTTGAACAACGAGAGGAAATTCGTCGTGTGCACGGGTTTTTCTTGTACTACCAGCGTCGCCGGGATTTTGAAAACTCCGGTGTATCAGATTTTGGAAAGATTTAGATTGCAATGTGTATTATTATAAAATTCAACAACAATATCAAGAATTTTTTTTTCCCAACCACTGCTGTGTTCCCATAAATGACGAGAAGACGAAAAACAATATAGTCCCTTCCATGCGCCTGAAAACATGCTGAATCTTTTAAGACCATAACACATTGCTCATGCTTCTTCGATTGTCACTTTCTTCCCTTTCCCGTTAATCAGTTCCAAAAACCCTTGCTTGCTAACCTCGGTAACCTTCTTTTCTCGTTCGTCCATGCCGACAGTTGCACGTTTTCGCCTCTCCTCCCTCGCCGCTTCTTCGCCTCGCACCTGAGCAGCCCGAACAGCATTGAACAATTTCACCACACCCCTCTGCGCTATCTTTCGTAAGCGCTTTTCCTGCTCCGCCGTTTCGCCAGCCTCTCCTCGCTCAACCCCCAGAACGTCCTTTACCCGTCCACGCTCAAGCTCTTCCTTCTTCTCGGCACGTATCTTTGCACGCGCTCGTTTTTCAAGTTTCTCGTTGGCAATATCCGCTGTCGTTTGCGCTGTGGACTTACTTCGTGATAGCACGGGATCGGCGCGGGCAGAGGTAGAAAGTTTTGTTCCAAGAATTTTGGATATGGAGGTGGAAAATGCCGCAGGGTCATTTCGCTTCGAGATCTGTTTGCGATTTGCTATACTCCCAACGTCGGAGGTGGCTAGAGAGTAGTCTGATGAATCGGAGTCGTTTTCGGAGTCTGACGCACTAGCATCGTTTTCCTCTGCGTTTGACGCCGCCACTGCATCCTCTGGTAGTTGGACGCCCGTAACTGATCCATCGTTGTCACTGTCGGAGTCTTGTAAGGTCACTCCCGAGAACGGGGCTGGCGGAGCGTCGTCTTCATTTTCGGAGGAACTACTGTGATACTCCAGTTGTTTCTTGAATTTCTTTTTTGGTTGAGAGGTCTTGCCATTCATGGCATCCTCTATTCTTCTCTTCTTCGATATCGATGGCGCCATTGCGTCTTCTCTCGTCTGGTTCTAGATGTTTTTTTTTTGCTCTGCCATCGCTGCTCTCCGCAAACTTTCCAAAGCCCAAGGCTTATCGGACGGGTCACATGACTCTCCGCACGGACTTTAACGCAACGAGGGCATGATTTCGCCTCTTTGGCAAGCGACTCTGACCGTCGTCCGCGGGCATCTAGATTGCGTTGATTTCGTTTCTTCTGTTACAGATTAAATATTTATCGCCTTGGCCTGTTTGTTGTTTTCGCGACGTTGTCATGGTTCTTCAGGATTTAGGCCGGCGCATCAACGCCGCTGTCAGTGATCTGACCAGGTCGAATGATCTGGACGAAAAGGTAATACTGACCTAGAGCCCTTGCGGGGCAGGATAAGTATTTTACTAACCTATCTATAAGGTGTTTGATTCTATGCTTAAAGAGATATGCGCTGCTTTACTTTCAGCCGACGTAAACGTCCGCCTCGTCCAAAACCTTCGGAAATCTATCAAATCCAGCGTCAACTTCTCCTCTATACCGCCTGCCGTTAATAAAAAGCGCCTCATTCAGAAAGCCGTGTTTGATCAGTTGGTCGCTCTAGTAGATCCTCACTCCGAGCCTTTCAAGCCGAAGAAGGGTCGATCGAATGTCATCATGTTCGTTGGTCTACAAGGTGCGGGAAAGACGACGACATGTACGAAGCTCGCAAGACATTACCAAACAAGAGGGTTCAAGTCTGCCTTGGTTTGCGCAGATACGTTCCGTGCGGGAGCTTTCGATCAGTTAAAGCAGAACGCGACAAAGGCCAAGATCCCATACTACGGCAGCTTAACGCAGACGGACCCCGCTATTGTCGCCGCAGACGGCGTTGCTAAATTCAAGAAGGAAAAATTTGAAGTTATCATCGTTGACACCAGTGGAAGACACAAACAGGAAGAGGACCTTTTTGCAGAAATGACACAGATCCAGAATGCCGTGAAACCCGATCAAACTATCCTTGTTCTCGACAGTAGCATTGGGCAAGCAGCTGAGGCGCAGTCGGCAGCTTTCAAGGCGACAGCGGACTTCGGGGCCATTATCATCACAAAAACAGATGGACATGCCGCTGGTGGTGGTGCCATATCTGCCGTTGCTGCTACCCACACTCCCATTATCTTTCTAGGTACCGGGGAACACATGTTGGATCTGGAAAGATTTGCCCCGAAGCCGTTTATACAAAAATTATTGGGTATGGGTGACATGGCCAGCTTGGTTGAACACGTCCAAGCGGTAACGAAAGATTCTGCTGGTGCGAAGGAGACCTACAAGCATATTTCGGAGGGAATATTTACACTTCGAGATTTTCGTGAAAATATAACATCGATAATGAAAATGGGTCCTCTCTCCAAAATATCAAGTATGATTCCTGGTCTTTCTGGTCTTACAGCGGGTCTCGATGATGAAGATGGCTCTCTGAAGCTCCGCCGAATGATTTACATTTTTGATAGTATGACAGCCGCAGAACTCGACGGCGATGGCAAAGTCTTTGTTGATCAACCGTCTCGGATCGTTCGCGTGGCCTGTGGAAGCGGCACCACCGTTAGAGAAGTTGAAGATCTCCTGTCGCAACATAAGATGATGGCGGGCATGGCCAAGAAGGTTGGTGGCCAGAAGAAGCAAATGCAGCGCGCCCAGAACATGCTCAAAGGCGGAAACAAGGAGCAGCAGATGGCAGCTATGCAAAAAAGAATGGCTGCGATGGGTGGTGCAGGTGCTCCTGGAATGCCGCGGATGCCTGGAATGGGTGACATGGCGAAGATGATGCAGATGCTACAGGGAAGTGGAGGAGCAGGGGGTGGAATGCCCGGTTTTGGAGGCATGGATCTTCAAAGCATGATGAGCCAAATGGGTGGAATGCTGGGTGGGGCTGGAGGAAGTGGAAGAGGTCGTCGATAATTCTATTGCGACGATTTACTATTATCTTGTCGATGTGGAGCATGTATTAAGCATACCATAAAGGCGGCGGCGTTACGGTGTAAAAGGTCGTGGGCTATTTGCGGATTTGTTTCTGGCCAGGTCCTGAAATACCTTTGTTTATGTTTCTGGCCTTTGTCTTTTAGCATGATACGCTAGCTTCATACTCCGTGCAAAAGAGTTATTTTGACTTTTTCTTTTGCCATCGACTACCATCCTATAAGTAGACGAATGTTAAAAAAAAGGGGGGGTGGGAATCGGAACGACAGTGCTGAGAAAACTGTAAATATACAAATGGGAGGAACTAACAGCGAAATAGGCAGCAGACCACCTTCAGGTCTATGCTTCATCAACCCTAGCGCTCCGGAGGAATTCATCCCGAGCCTTGCCCATAGCTCGCCCGAGCCAGCCGGATCTCTCACCAGCGTAGGCCGCCCATTTTCCGGCCCTTTGCCTCACTTGCTCTTCCCAATTATCGACGTAGTCGAACACCACTTTTCCGGGAGGAAGCGCACGACCCCTCGTAGCCGCCAAAGGAGTCTCGAGCGTGTATCTCCAAGTCTCCTTTCCATTAACATACAACGAGTACGTCAGGCGTGAGGTAGGCTGTTCACTCTCATCGGCTTTGATACTAATAAGGCCAAACTTGAAATTTCCATCTGGCACGTACTTGATAGCCACATCTTCATCATCCTCCTGGTGATACGATCTCACCGGAAGGTAAAACTGGCTGAGTGGGCCGACACAGAACTCATGAATACCTCTTCCAGCACCAGAAAATGGCTCCGGGGCCGAGGTAGATGAAAGGATTGGATCTGGAAACCGCGTGGCGGCAAACTCATGTCTGTCACCGCTTAGGAGAACAATCCGTACACCAAGTTCGAGTTCTGCTTTCCACATGGCTTCGAAAATCGTCCGCCTTTCTTTCAGAAAGCCACCCCAGGTATCCGGCGTACCCACATGCCAGTTTTTAGTAAACGGCACGCTACTAGTGATGATTTTCCATTTTACCCCCTCCGACTCCGGGCGTAAGATATATTCGATCAGCGCCTGTAGCTGCGCGAAGCCTAGCATGCTAGAGTCCTCGCGGGACGGCTCAGAGCGATAAGTTCTCGTATCCAAAAGGAAAAAAGAAGCAGGGCCGTTGATAAATGAAAAATAACTTGTGTTAGACGGAATGGAATGTGGGTGTTCTGGTATTGGAGGGTTAACGTTGACATGATAGTGCAAGTATGGATCCACAGCTGCTGGGTACGGAGGAGTGGAATTTCCAGAGGCCCAGTCGTTGGCGATTTCATGATCGTCCAGAGTATGGATCCATGGGATATTAGCAGGGGAATCTGGAGGAATACGCCAACTAGGCGAGGAGTAAACCCTGCGATACTCGCTTCGGTAATGCTGTACGGATGACCCAAATCGCCATGGTACGTCAATATAGATAAAATCACCTAAGAAGAGCATAAAGGAAGGGCGAAGCGCCTCGCCCAATCTTGTCAATGTCGAAGTGAGGACGTCAATCCCATGAATTTGGAAAGGATGGGAAAAGGGGTTGTAGGGAAAATTCGGTTTTATGCAGCTCGAAGTTACAAATGTCAGCTCTTTCGACTTGGGAGAGCCGAGTTCCGGTGCCGTAGTGAACTCCCCAGATTGATTGTTGGACAACGAGTACCGGTATTTAGTTGAAGGATTAAGCCCAGTAATCGAAACCGGGTACGTAAAATCTGTTGATTCATCTAGAGGGTCCAAGGTTCCCACTGTCACTGCCGGGCCAGCTCGATCGTCGCTAAGCTCCTGGTATGATATACGAAGGGGCAGATTTTGCTTTGGCTCTCGAACAAGAATTTTTGCCGTGGTTGAAGATACGTATCCGACGCGAGAGAATGAAAGTTCATTCGTTGGGTAAAATAGGAGGCCTCGCAGCATGAAATCAAACGCAAGAAGAGACAGAAATATATTGACCCCGATTGTTGCTCGGCTCGCAGCCTTTGAAGTAGTTGATGGGACACCCGTCAATAAAGACTTGAAGGCGGATACATGTGCTTCTTCTCTGTTCTTTGACGCATGTTGTCGGCGGCTCTCGTTCCTACGGCCATCTTCTCCAATATCCCTCTGCAGGTTTATTCTCTTTGACTCCTTCCCACTGGAAATGGTCCCACTATAAACCTCCCTTCGCGATCCATCGTCCACTCGCTCCTTTACAGGCCAGATAGAGCCAAAATAAACCAATAAAGCCGTTAGAATTATCGGTGGGACTGGGTGTGCAGGAATCTAGTCTTTTGTAAGCAAGTGTGGCCTAAGATCAAGAATTGGCATTTTCTCCTGACCCAGCGAAGAAACACATAGACAAGAACCCGAATAGTAGTCGAGCTTAAAGTGATGATCGCTTTCCGAGCTGATGACATACCTCGTTGGAAGACTGAAGAAATGACTGCGGCGCGACCATTTGGAGCCCGTCCTCCGTAATTGCTGACTGACAAGGATCAAACGTCTCGAGCATCGTTGAAGTTGCTTTGATGACGACATAGGGTGCAAACAAGCCAAACATAGTCCCCAACAAGAGGCGGCTTGAGAAGACAATCAAGAACTCAAATCTATCGTCCTTGTTCTAGTTTCTACTAAGAATATCTTCCGTTTATCATAAAACTCTATGCCGTGGCTAACTTCGAGTAAAGCGCAGAAGTCGCACACGCAAGGACTGTCTTCATTCCCACTATCAGTGAGATTGAAGCGGCCCATTCCCATGGGCGAGAGATGCCCCCCGGCATTGCGTTGAAGTATTCCCACCCTGATACCCCCCCGAACGATGGGTACTTTGTCAGCACGTTTGCTAACACCGAACTTATCGTTTCCATTGGAACATAGCCCTGAGACCCGTTAGCGGGATTGGTCAAGAGACCTATAACGATCCTCTCCGCCTCCCAGCCTTGATGTATGATGGTATCGTAGACGCTGGGATGCAGCATATGACCCCATCCATTGTAGAACTGCACATTATACCAAGATATTTTTGAGCCCCTGGCAGTCTCCAATGCTCGGTAATCAAAGCCGGAGAGATGTCTCAGGCCACGCACCATAGCAGTGGCCACGGGAGCTAGGGTGATGATAAACTCATCTCCAAAATCCGATTTGAGGCGATCAATCAGGCGAATAATGCCGTCGAGGGACATATCCTCCTCTACGTCGAGGTCCAGGCCATTCAAATTCCGCGTTCGTATCATATCACGGAGCGGGCAGTAGAACGCTTCAAAATCTGCCACGCTTCCATCAAGCCTCTGATAACTGCCTTTGGCGGCACCCCCAACCATCCCCATCACCTTGGTCCCACTCGCCTGCATTACGCGCATCTCTGCCCACAACGGCACGTACCGGGGATCGTCTGGGGAATGGTCGTTGAGTGTAATATTTCCGGGTTCATCATTGATATGAATTGCGGCAAGAATAATGTGCGACACCCCACAGTCATTCGTCAGAAGCGGGAGGGTAGAAATGTAGTCGGTCCCATTGTTAGGATAATAGGTTTGATAGTAACATATCACTCGAGGATTCGTCAATGTGCTGTTACCGTGGCTTTCCGGAATTGGAGGCATTGGTCAAATCGTCCTCAGCGCCTCCGATATCGTCTATTCGACCAGATAGTGAGCTCTTTTGATTCAACTACTCGGTAAAATCCGACGGGCGCTTGAGTAACTGGGTTTGTATTTTCGTATATAACTGATCTCCCAGGTGCTGCTCGCTTCACCGAAGCATGATATGCCTCCTAAATACTCCGTAGTGGGCTTCGAGTTCGTTTCCGTAAAAGTAACTCCACGGAAAGACTGCTGTACCTGATATCTCGGAAGGTTAAACCAGCTTTAAGGGGTTGTGCTGGGAGCAGGCTGCTTGTCATTGTTCGAGTTGTAACGCCCCACTAACTACGGAGTAACTACTCCGTAGTTACCCCGGACTTCCTCGCCCGCTTGCATCATCTTCTACATCATTGTTTCACACGCTTTCTCCCATCTTAATTTTGTTTACGAATTTTGCATGAACGCACAGCCTTGGAGCTACCCCTGAATCGTATGTAGATATTGAATTGCTGACAGCCTATCTGGAATTATACGGCATACTGCAGGAACTGCACTAATAATTCGGTTCAACAAATTCAGCCCAAGTTAGTACATAACTAATAAGTGCATGTAGGAGGAGGTTTCGATTGAGATGCAATGCTCCATCAACAGGCCATCGAAAAAAACTCCGTACTACCAAAGGTATACGTGAACTCATAATAGCATTATACGACTGAAATCACCATGCTGTATGTCCACCATCGATCACAAGACTGCTGCCGGTCATATAAGAGCTTGCATCGCTTAACATGAAAATGACAGCGCCAGTGAATTCCTCTGGCCTGGATAATCTCCCAAGCATGCTCTCTTTTTCCCAAGTCTTCTTTAGGTCCGGTACTTCTTCAAAATTCTTTTCTACCATCGGCGTGATGACGTGGCCCGGGCAAAGCGAGTTCACTCGAATACCTTTGGAACCCCACTCCATGGCCAGGTTTCGTCCTAGTTGGATTACTGCGGCTTTTGAGGAGTTGTATACGGGTGAATTAAGGCCTTTGTTGGCCACAATCCCGCTCATGCTAGCCACCAGGACTATGGAACCATTGCAGCCGAGTTTCATCATTTGGCGAGCCGTGGCTTGAGCGGTCATAAAAACACCAGTATAGTTTATATCCAGCATCTTCGTTACATCGTCGGCGGTGTAGTCGATTGCTTCGGTCACTTGCTGTACTCCAGCAGCTGCGACTAGTCCGTCTAGGCGATTACTGCGCAATGCGATCTTCTCCACAACATCGTTGAGATGCTTCGAGTCTCTCACGTCTACATGATGATAGTGCAGATTGCCGACGTGTGCCTTGCTGGCGAGCTCCTGTGTCCGAACGAATTCATCATCGGGTTCTGGTAGGATATCAAAACAGTGAACTAGAACGGCCATTAGCTTCATCAATAAGGGCCACTCACAGTCGAAATTGATCATCCTTACCTTCCGCACCTGCCTCAGTTATTGCCTCTGCCATCACTAATCCTAGCCCCCTGCCGCCCCCAGTGACGATATATACTCTCCCTCGCAAGCTAAAATTCGGGTAAGCATTTTGATGTTGACCAGTGGAGTTCATCATGCTGGAGCTGTGAGGAATGTAAGACTGAGAGAAATTGCCGGAAACCAATTAGCAGTAGATAGTGATGGTAGATGATGATAAATGGCTCAAATGTTAGCATTTCTTGGAGAGTTTCCCAGGTCAATATGAGCTGTTATACATATGGTCTGAAATTCCTGCGTTGAAGGGCCAGATGACTATGACATTGAGTGAACCAAGGTAATTACCAACTTTGCCCGGTTTCCTACGTATATACCATGCGGGAATGTTTCTAGGCAAGGGACGAGCCCCGGAACCGCCAGGATCCCCACCACTTTGCCCTAAAGTATCACTAGTCAGCCGGTGAGCACAGGGTGCGCGGTGCTGATGTCAAGTACAAAGTGCCACATGTTGGTACTAAAAGAAGCGTCTCCAGTTAGGGCCATCAAATGAAGTGATCATGGTCTTACAGCGCACATTCAAAGTGTTCTTTATTGTTTAATTGACGATAGGGCATGATTTCGCCCAGCCATTTTATCCATCCCCTCCCAAATAAGGGCAGCATCCAACAAACCACAGTCGCAGGTTCCTCTATGTGATCAGCTTAGATCCAATGATGACATCGGCTCATCAGAAGCAACTCAGGGAAGTTAGCCAAGGTAGGTTAGTACTATGTACGGAGCACTCTGTATGTAGTATATTAAACTTGACTGCAGTGTCAAACAACGCTGCGCTGGTAGGATTTGCTATGCAGTGGCTCGTTGCTTGGAGAAGATCAATGAATTGCAGCTCTCAGTGATGGGTCGCGAGAGGACGGAGCGGATTATCTACGTTCCTTAGTCATGTGGTTTCCGACCGGCGGTGCCAACAACACCGCCTAACCTTAAAGAGAAACATGTAAATAACGGCCGACGAGGCAAACGACGCGACTTCGTCATCCCGACATTACCAACGATCAACATCATCCATTTGCTTCAGACGGACTCGTTCAAACGGCAATCCTTGTTTCAATGAGGAATTTTTGCAAAGATTTGACAATATGGCAAAAAGAGAAAGCTCTCCATTTCCGACTTCCCACGACACTCTAGGAATATCTTCCGTCATGGATACTCCGAGGTTCATACCCTCCTCGCCTCCGAGAATAATGAGCCCTTATAGAAGGTCGGGCATTCGCCACGAGAGACTAAGTCCGAACACATCCGGTATAAATAACACCATCCGCGCGCAAAAAGCAGGACAAAGACGAGGCTCCACTTCAAACGGTTCCAGCGACGGAGAAGATTCTGAAACACACCTTTCGGATTACACCTTCGACCTCAACAAACTCCCGAATGCGGTATCGACTCTTGAGGCACAAGAGGATAACACCACAAAATCGAAGCAGTCGCCCAGAGACAACGACAACATATCGGAACCTCCTGGCCCAGACGATTTTACAGAGAATATGGTCGAGTTACTGAACGGAGCAGATGCACAAGTCGAGCAGAATAACCAGGGAGATAATTTCAAAGATTTTGTTCACACTGACAGGCTACCAGGCCGACCAGCCCATGATGAGATCAGCGAAATTGAGCCGCCGTTGGAAATGTCTACCCCAGCCCACGTGCTTTCGGGGAAAAATGGTTTTAACAATCCTGAGACACTGTCAGATAAAAATAATTCTACCAATGAGGTAGAGCGGCTCCTAAAGGAGTTGAGGAAGAAGGATGAGATCATCAGAGCGAATCGACGAAGGGTTTTCGATGCTGCATCAATCATGCAACAAGTACGGCATCTTCAGCTGGCCCTCGAACAAGAGAAGCAGCAGCGACAAGCGGAGTCGGCTTCCAAAGATCAACAAATTCGAGAGTTGCAAAGCCAAGTTTGTGCAAAGGACGAACAATTGCAAAGTAGTCGGGCTCAGTTGCAGGAATTACAGAGTCTAATGCAGTCTGTTAACCAGTCGCGACACGAACCCAAGGAGGATGGATTAAATGATAAACACAAAGATGAGGAATTATTTGCTCTTCAGAAACAGTTTGAGGCGAAGGACAAGTCGTTTCAGCAGCTAAAGGCGAGGCTAGATGAGACCATATCCTCTCATCAGGTTGAAATCTCAAAGAAAAATGCGGAGAATGACCAGCTCCGGTTTGAATACGATGAAAATTTGCGCGAATTAGATAAATTGGATTCTGATATTGAGTCACTAACGCGTGAACGCGACGTTCTTGAGAAGAGAACCCAAGATCTGGACAAAATCGTTCAACACCTTGAGTCACAAATTTCGGAATTAAAACACAACCTTGCCATGGAGAGAAAGGAAGCGATTTCCAGCGTCGATGCGTTGAAACGGGCGGCTGACGGGGTATCGGTTGATATGGAGGGAAAATCGTTTGGAAAAATACCGGATTCACTTGCCTGCGCTCATCAAAAACAGCGGGACCCGGCCTATTCCGAGTCTCACGCGGTCGGAAGTGTTGGCCAAATGGAAGAAGCCGAGAGGGATTTGACCGGGGTTCGAAACCAACTGCAAGAGTCGAAATCGTTGAATGAGATTTTGTCTCTCCAGTTAGAATCAACTCGTGAGGGGCTTTCCGAATCGCAGTCCGCTCTTTTGGCTGCAAAGGACAAAAATTCTCAATTGCTATCCCAGTTAGAATCCGCCAACTCGGAGAAAAGCCAATTATCACAAAAGCTTGAAAGGATAACTCAAGAGCGGGATGAAGCAATGCGGACGGCTACCGACTTGCGTAATCAAGCAGTGGATCGGCAACCCTTGAGCCCTGCACCATCCCTCCCTCCCGAAGTATATGAAAACCAATGTCAACACGACATCGACAGTCTCCAGAAGTCACATCAGCAAGAAATTGATCGAATTGAAAACTCCCATGCAACCGAACTTTCTACTTTTCGGGATACTCATGCCAAGTCGACTCGTAGCTTACACGCACTTCTTCGAGCTGCACAAGATCGTGAAAGTGATCTACAATCTCAACTTGTTGATCTTCGAAAATCATTATCCTCCAAATCGAAAGAGTTGTCGGCTTTGGCAAACGAACAGGAGAGACTTGGATCCATCATCGAAGCCAAAGACGCTGCAGCTGCCGCTTTGGATACAAAGTTTGCCAATGTTCTCAAGAGGAGAGAAGAGGTGTGGGAGTCGCGGATAGACAAACTTCTACGCGATAGAGAACGAATGAGCAAAGCATTGATGTGGGCATGGGGAGAGATGGAAGTTGGGCATGACAAGCCAAGCAGGGATCAAAAGGCCACCAAAGGGGAATGGCATACCCAGAGGTATATGTATAGATATGTTGAAAGGCCAAGAAGTGCAAGATAATTACTCTGTCACTATCGGTCTCTCAGCGAATGGAATATCGGATAGGTGTCTAAGCTGTTTGGGTGATATCAAAATATTGATTGCCTATTGTCCTTTGTCCCTCAGACCTCATAAGACATGAAGCATAGTTACATAAATCGCATGGCGGAAAAAAGAAAAAGAGAGAGAGCTTGTCTCTGTAGTGGGCATAGCATGTCAGAGGGCTTTTTGTTGCCGCTTTGAATTAAGGGGCTGCCATCCTGATCCGGGGACCCGGCGCCTTGCCTGATAGAGCTTAGCGTTGGGGCCTGCCTAGTGCGTCGAGATACGAGCTGCAGACAGGGGCTGGTGCAACCCCAACTTCAGGCTCACTCATCCGCCCGGTTGCGTGCAAGATTGTTGTCCCCCTTGGATGAAGCTCACAGAGTTGTTCTTAATGTGATTAGGTCTTTGCAGAAATGACTGCTAGAATTCTAACAGAGCCACGACTTACAACTGCTGGAGGCTTTATCCAGCCAGCAACAAGGACCGACCTCCCAATATGGGTACATGGCTTGTTAACGCGCGGTGAGGACGTACGTTGGAGCGCTAGGGTGCTGCTATGTTGATGACCTTGCGCGACACTCGATGCTCGGGATTAAATTCACCCCCTGGAAGGGTGACTCGGCTAGTTTGATAGAAAAGCTGTCGCACTGAAGAACCGACTACTCCGCACGAGGGGAACAAGGTTGGAATTGAACCGCGCCAATCTGCCGAAAGAGATGGGCCAACCAAAACCTAAGGCAAACTACGGAGTACTCCGCACCCCAAGGCAATGGCACTGATCGCGTGGCTCGAGGCTCAACCGGAGATCTCACTGAGCGGGAGCAGTACGGTTGCATATTCCAGAGAATTGCCAACTCAGCCGACCATTGATCTTGATAGGCGCTTCCCTGGCGAGTTCCTGACTTTCTCGCGAGCTCCTAACCTCTCAACAAGGATAACTCGTTGCTCCAAGTCTCCTGGTGCCAGGATTGCATATTCTTTGGTATCATTTCCTGTCAGATCTGCATGGGGCCCCCGCAGCAACCCTCTCTTGAACCATTACCCAAGTTCTGTGTCACACATCATCTCGACGGCCGGAAACGAAATACGGCTTCTATGCGGGGATGTGGAGAAGAGTTAACACCCTGGGAGTCCTTCTAGAAGAATGTTAAAAGTCCCTGATATGTGATTCCTCCTCGTCAACGTTGCGTTTTGAGGATCGGAAATTTTAGCCTAAGATCGGATAGCTGTGGTATATCAATATACGGGCTTCATGATATAGCTGTGTATGCCGGACAGCTATGGTCAAAGACGGGACAAGTATGAACAGTCCCAAGAAGCCTGTTGGTTCAAAGCTTCGTTCCAATCCTACGACATCTAGTTCATGCAAAAGAGGGGGTGAAGCGCAACGGCTGCTGCGGGTGGAATGAATACCTGAAGGGAACCTGCCTCTTCAGGGCATCGTCTCTGTCTGGCGACACTTAGTTTTGCGGAAGATGGAGGAGAGAAACGGATACCACGGGCTAGATGGCCGTGTGAACGAAGCCTTCTTGTCTCGGGCATCGCTCATACGTGTGCAACCTTCGGTCTCCACGGCAAATGGAGGAGAGACACGGTTACAATGAGCCAGATGTAGTCAGCTACCGCCGCCAGGAAGGATATATAAACCTCGGCCAAGTTTCCGCAATGTAGCAGATTGCATTGAGTTCAGCGCGAAGGGTTCCTGTAATTGCTTCGTGGTTACACTATCGGGCAAGATGAGGTTTCTCCAAAACCTACTCGGGGGCACTGCTTTGGCACTGCTTACAGGCCTTGGGTCGGCCTTTGGACCAAGATGGGCACGCTATCAGAACGACCTTCACCTAGCTGCAATGCTAGGTATGGATGCTGATTCTGTCTTGACCAACCGAAGCAGCCTCGCCTCTGCCATTGACAGTCTTGCCGAGACATCCGCTGTGGTCGCTGAATACGCAAATGTACGCCATCCCCATAGCTCCTTTGGGTGTGCTCTGTCTTAATTCCTGAAATAGATTCCTATCGATCACAGAAACCCTGGAAGAATGTACAGGAATCGATACTGGGTGAACGATCAATATTATCAGCCAGGAGGGCCTGTGGTTATTTTCGATACCGGTGAGACCAATGGTCAAGCTTTTGCCGATTATTATTTGGTCGATCCTACGTCCTACATTGTCCAATTGCTTCGGGAATTTCATGGCGTAGGCCTTGTTTGGGAGCACCGGTATGAAGTCAATTTCTACTAATAGGAACGGATAGGAGGCTAACTTTATGGAAGATATTATGGCGAATCTCTCCCTTACCCCGTCAATGGGCAGACGTCTGCTGCGCAATTCCAATACTTGACGCTCGAACAAGCTTTGCAGGATCTCCCTTACTTTGCCAGAACATTTCGCCGACCTCGGCTCCCTAATGCTGATCTGACACCAAGATCAACCCCGTGGATTATGGTCGGCGGCTCATACCCAGGCATGCGTGCAGCTTTCTCGAGACTCAAGTATCCCGACACTATTTTTGCTGCCTTTTCCTCTTCTGCACCTGCTCAAGCTAGGATTGACATGAGCGTTTATTATGAGCAGGTGTACAGGGGTTTGGTAGCATATGGCTATGGAAATTGCACCAGGGACGTCAATGCTGCATACCGATATATTGATGCCCAACTTGCCAACCCCAGTACCGCTGCTCAAATTAAGAGACAATTCTTAGGTCCCGGTGCCGAGCAAAACAGCAATGGCGATTTTACTGCAGTTTTGCTCTATAATTGGGCGACATGGCAGAGCTTTGGGGCAAATGGCCCTGCGGGTCAGTTCTGTAATTGGCTCGAAACAGACCAATATGGCAGAGTGGCCCCTGCTGAAGGCTGGGCACCTTCAAGAGGTGCTAGATCTGTGGTCGACAGATGGGCTGCATGGCCGGGACTCAGCCGAGCGATCAACTCCATTTTTGAAACAAACTGCAATTGCCCAGAAGAGACTTGCTCCTGTGACCTTTCTGCGCCACCTGCAGACCCCCTGGCCATCAGCTGGTCGTGGCAGTTTTGCTCGCAGTTCGGTTACTTCCAGTACCAGAATCCCAGACCCCATGAGATCGCTTCGCGCTATCAAACGGAAGCTTACATCCAAGATAACTGCTACCGGCAGTTCCCTGACGGCGTGAGCAGCGGCCATCTTCCCCGCCGCCCTCGAGCCGATGCGACAAACAATTATACTGGAGGCTGGAACATGCGCCCTTCAAACGTCTTCCACGGCGCTGGACAATACGACCCGTGGACTCCTTTGACTGTGCTTTCCCAGGAGCCTTGGGGACCACGCCGTCGCGTCACCACTCAAATCCCGGCGTGCAATCAGGAACAAGAGGCGGTTTTTGGCGTCCTGCTTCCCAATGCAGAGCACGTTTACGATCTTCAAACCTCTTACCAACCGGGCGAGGTATCCAGGCAACTGTTCAGAAGGGCGCTGCACCAGTGGCTTCCTTGCTTCCGGAGGAGGAATTCAACGGCAGATCATGATTGACCGATGCGGTATGCATCCCGGCGCGTGACGGTTTCCCGTCGATGTGCTTGACGCCTACAAATTTGAATATCGGGTTTGGAAGAATTCAGAATGTACATAGTTACCTTTCAATTCTTAGAAATTGATATTACACCTCCATCCGGAGTATATATACGCGGCACGTATACAGAGTACATGCATGGGGACTACACAAAGAGACTCTCATAACCTTTGAGACCTGTCGAGCGTAAATGAAAGGGTGGATGTCACCAGGCAAAGCGTAAGCCAGATATTTTTGTAGCACAAGCAAGTGCTCAAATATGCCCTTGACAGAAAGGGCGGGGGAACTTCGGGCCTCAAGCGAGGTACTGCTGCTCGTGAAGGTTGGTGGGTGTGCTCGGTCCGACGCTAGCGGGCTTGGCCCCTAATGTTTGTGGGGCAGCTGTGCCTCGGCTCCCCGGAAAGCTTACCCAGCTTTTACTCTCGGCCCGGGCATGAACTGCGACGGGACAAACGGCTTTACCCTTCTACATTGATACGCAGACTAGTACGAGAGGGAGCCGATTCAAACGCTTTAATAGGCGACAGCGGTCTGGGGTTAATTCACACTGTAAATGACGAGCTGACTAGCCCGCTACTCTGCTCTTCCTTAATATATATATATATCAAATCGTTACCAGACTCTGTGGCCGCTTGTCCAGAATATCGGGCTTAAGGATGGCGGGTGCTGCTTTACCACTCCAGGGTGTTCGCGTCGTCGAACTCGCTGGCTTGGCCCCAGGTGCGTATGTCGGAGTTTCACGCAGAACATTTGAGGTTACAGTTGAGGATTTGATGACCCCTTGAAGCTTACATCCTTTCCGCCATAACCTAGGTCCATTTGCCGGGCTTTTGCTAGCCGACTATGGAGCGTCCGTCTTGCGAGTTGATAGACCCCATCCGAACGCACATTCAACGTCTAAAGCCCTTCCTCGTCCAACCAAAGATGCGTTAACTCGACACAAAACATCCATCAGCTTAGACCTGAAATCACCCGCATCAAAGGAGGTTCTGCTATCTCTGATCCGCAATGCTGACGTCTTAATTGACCCTTTCCGCCCCGGGGTGCTAGAAAAATTGGGTCTCTGTCCTTCGACAGTGCTTCTAAAGGAGAATCCCCGTTTGATTGTTGCTCGTATGACAGGTTTCCGTCGTGATGGGAAATATAAAGATATGGCCGGACATGATATCAACTACATTGCCGTTTCGGGAGTGCTAGGGATGCTAGGACGGGCGGGGGAAGCTCCCTATCCACCAGGAAATATCCTAGGAGACTTTGCTGGAGGCGGAGCAATCTGTTTCCTAGGCATTTTGCTGGCTCTCTTGTCTCGCCAGACCACGGGGAGAGGTCAAGTGGTCAACGCAAATATGGTTGATGGTTCGGCGTACCTTGCAACTATGCCACGTTTATCGCGAAAGACTCCCATGTGGAACGGCCCGCGAGGTACAAATGTGCTTGACGGTGGCTGCCCCTACTACGGCACATATGAGACGAAGGATCCTGGAAATTATTTTGCTATCGGGCCATTGGAGCCCCAGTTTTTTGATGCATTGTTGCGTGGGTTGCAGCTTTCGCCTTCGGATGTGTTCCCTCCCAACTCGAACAAAGTCCGTGAAGATCCAAGCAACTGGCCCTTTATGCGGAGCGTTTTCGAGAAGAAGTTCAAACAGAAAACAAGAAAGGAGTGGGAAGCTGTTTTCGATGGAACAGATGCATGTGCAACCCCTGTTCTAACTATGGATGAACTGGAAGAAGACGGCTATGACCAGCGGTTAGTCGTCGAGTTGTCCGATACTCCAGGTCTGAAGTTTTCGGCGCAAGATGGAGGATGGTCGCCCAACCCAATTCGACCAGGTGAAGGTGGTGAAGAAACACTAAATCGGTGGCTCGGGTGGAAACGTGGGAGAGATTTCGTGGTCAAAGACGGTGCTCTGGTGAAGGTTACCGGGGCAAAGCTCTAATTCGTATGCTGGCAGGCTGCAAGGGTTCGCAGAGATGCGACAGAGTGTAGAGGAGCGCGTAGCGTGGATAACTAATGGATCCTCTTTTGATCCAACAAGATCAAATGAAACTCGAAAATACCTAAGAACATTGTCGACAACCATACAAAATACCTCAGGGCCAAATAGAGACATGTCCAATTTCACAGCTGTTCGAGCAAGAAAGTAGCTCTGAATTTGAAACCTCTTTAAGCCGCGGGAATGGTTGGTACATCATCCAAACCGACCTCCATCTCATTGCAAAATGCACATTAAGGACATACGGAGTACAGAACACCATCTTCAATACACTCACCCGTCATCAAGTGCCCAGCTCTCTCGGCGATTCTTGAGATTGCTTGGACATTGCACATGATTGGCGCTGCGGATGAGCATGAGCTGGGTCGAGAGGTTGGCTCGCTTGACCAACTGGCTGACTAGGCCCAACTCTGATCTTTCCCTGCCAATGTTATGGCCACTTGGGTGGCTGGCGTAGTTTAGAAGTGCGATGATTTATGGATACGATGGGCCGGCGTTGATAGGTTTGTGCGTCCTTAACATTCTGCCTCAAGTACGGAGTACTAAGTATCTCTCTCCAGAACCACCTGAGACGACAGTTTTGGAGGAGTGCATCTCCAACCAAAGCCGCTTGTTGCAAGATCCGAGTACCTCAATAGTTATCTGCTTAGTGTCTTGATAAGGTAGCATTTCCCCGAATTCTATTCCCTGTCGCTGCATTGATCTCTCTGCTTTACCAGGTTGTTCATCCGGGTCGGCCTGCCATTGGAGACACGGCTTTTTGAAACTCCTACGAAGCTGCGCCGAGATAATTAATATGCTAGGCACTTCGTGTCAAAGCCCAGGCAAGCGTAACTACTTAACAACAACGGGAGCCCCAGGTTCTACACTAGTGGTACCTTGAAAGCCATTTTTGAGCTTTAAAATATGTGCTCCTCCTGAATATTACTTTGTACGAACCTGGGAAAAACAAGGTCATATAAGTATGCGGCATTTCTATTCATTTGCAGCTATAACCGCACAATTAATCGACATCGGCGTCGCTCAGAGTTCTTGCACGGCTAGGCTAAACCCATCTTCTACCCCCGTTGCAGCCGATGGCTATAATGTGAATGTGGTGGCACAGGGTCTTCTACGGCCGAGGTCGCTCCAGTTCGACTCACAGGGTAACCTTCTCGTCGTCCAATCCTCCGCCGGAATTTTCAACTTTCGCTTGAGAGATAATGGCGGCACCTGCTTGGAGGTTGAAGACGAAATCGATCTCATAGACCATCCGGTCAAATCCCGCTTGAATCATGGGATAGCTCTGTCTCCGGATGGAAAGAAACTGTATGCGTCGGACCGTGGCACGGTCTATGCTTGGGATTATGACGCGGAGGCCAGGAGAGTCACCTCAAGAAATCCAGAAGTGGTGGTAACAGGATTGGAGAACCCAGGTCATTCAACACGTACACTGCATTATTCCCCCGGCTCGGGTGGATATCTTGTGGTTGTTAGAGGCAGCGCAGGCAACATTGACCTTGACTGCGGGGATATTTCCACAGGCCATTGCCAGATGAAGGCTTTTCAAATGGGAGAAATTCCTCAAGGTGGCTATAATTTCACAAGAGATGGAATCCGACTTGGCTGGGGAATGAGAAACTCCGTTGGTATTGCTGAACATCCAGGGACAAACGGTATCTGGACGGTTGAAAACACCATCGATAATATAGAACGTCACGGGATTGATATCCATCAAGACAACCCGGGAGAGGAATTAAATTTCCATGGAAGTATTAATTCAACTACCGGGCTCAACTATGGCTATCCATACTGCAGTGCTGCCTGGGATGTCGACGCTATCCCGAACAACACCGACATTCAAGTTGGAACCGAATTCGCACTCGACGTTGAAAGCGATATGAAAACAGACGATTTTTGTGCTAGAGTAGAGGCACCGAGACTAACATTTGCTCCTCATACAGCTCCGTTGGATATCAAATTCAATGGAACTGATGAGGCTTTCGTTTCCTTTCATGGCAGCTGGTGAGTGACAACTTTTTGATTTCATCCAGGAGGTACCTTTCCATCTCGACGGATCTGACGCTCTCTAGGAATCGCGATGTACCAATTGGCTATAGGATAACGAGGATTCCTTTCCAAGACGGCGAGCCCATGGCTCTCAGAACGGATACGGAGGCTGCCATCAATGTAGTCACCAATTCCGATACCAGAAAATGTCCAGATGGTTGTTTCAGGCCAGTTGGGATGGCATTTGACGAAACAGGACGGCTCTTTTTCGTTTCTGACTCGACAGGAGAGATCTATGTAGTGGCAAAACAGCAAAGTACATCACCTCCAAGGGAAGACAAAGCTACCTCTGTGGAGGTCAGCATTTTGAGCGTGGCTTCCATTGCTCTAATGCTATGGTACGCGATGGGTGACTAGCGTCGCCATCTTGCGTGTGAGACATGGCTGGCTGGCTGGCTGACTGACTGTTTGCTACATATGCCCGCTGACGACAACAAGGAATCATATTTAATGAGATGAATGATGAAACGGAGGAAATTTAAACCTTCCTGGATGAAATTCGGATTTTCATATATAGCCAAGGGGGTAAACATGCAGATGAAACGATGTTCGAATGAGATTGAGACTTGGATGCCTTCCCTTCCCAGGTGCTGATCAACTATAATCAACGAGTAGAGTCCTAGTCAACCTCTGGACGCTTGTGACTCGCATGTGAGAAGGAAAATATCTAGGAACAGTGTTTGCTGGAAAACAAACACGCAAGCCATTGAAAAGGGTCACCAGGGCATTGGCATCTGTATCTAAAGACTCCAGTTGAAGGTCGCGAAGCCGGCCGTAAGTTGGCCTCCCTTTTAACTCTCAACTTCAGGGCAACATCATGCACGTGTGCCCAGTCCGCCCGTAGTCGCGGTTGGTGAGCGATCCCACGGATTGCGTTTTTAGAGACTCCCTAAATTTGAATGATGGAGCCAGATAAGCTTCTGGGCTTCTCGGGGCAAGCCCATGAGGAGCAGCAGTCCGATCGAACACAGTGTCATTTCAAGGGCGCATCAACGCCTGTGGGCCTCGCGGGACCGACAGGGCTGAATGAGTCCGTGCATTGATTAGTTAGTTACATAGTATGCGAGGAAGAGGAAGAAATGAGCGCCTGTCTTAAAATTTTTGCAGTGTCCGGGGCTGAGTTTGGGCTGAAGCTCAATGACATCCGGTTATGCCATGAGTTAAAAGTCTACAGAGCGGAACCTTCTTGCAGATGTCTTGTGATCAGTCGCGGCGCTTAAAAGTGCATAAATTTTGCTATTCTGCGCTTCCTCGCGCGCTCTGCTACCAATGCCAGCAAGCTTCATTGGTCTTTCATCTTCAATTGTTCATCTCGGGCGGCCAAACTCTTGTGTACGTATAGTCAATGCTATTGTCCGCTTGCAGTGTCTTGTCTCGCTTTTCGCGAACCAGTGGGTGGGAGAGAAATCAGTGAAAACCAACCTGAGTGGATCACGGTGGCAAAGAGTCCTTTTGATGTTACATTTCACAGTCTTCCGTCGGTGGAGTTTGACGGAGAAACCTTGAAAAGAACCGGATCTGACATCACTCCTTTTTCGGTTTTTTTCCTTTTTTCAACCAAGAGAATGGGCTATTACTACGTACATGGTAGCATCACTGGTCCAGCCCCCGGACCACAGTATTCTCTTCCCGACCAACAGGAGCCAAGGCCTCGCGCGCGTGTCTGTATCCGGTACCTTTTGCTTCTGTGATCTCGTTGGACCAGCACCATGGTTGATTATCAGTCGCCAGCCTTACAGGCCCCTCGTCGCAAGCCTCTGCCCACCGGGAACGCTGGTCTGCAGTTCCAAGTTTCAAACATCCAACACACTCTCTTTCCGCGTGAACACAGCTTGCCTGCAAACCAATATCAGTCTCACCCGGCATCTTCGTCGTCGTCGTCGTCGTTTCTCCCTACCCCCATGCACCCGCTCCGTCAGATGACCCCTGTCTACCCCCCACAACAACAACAGCACCAACAACAATACAATGTCCTTCTCCCATCACGCCGCCCCTCGAACGCAACAACGTCGACGTCGTCCACCGGCGGAAACCCGCATACCAGCCGCCATATGAGCGCTTCACAAAACAATGTCAGCCGCAGCCCTTCCTCTCGAACCACCCACCCGCAGGTCGGGTACGTTGCTTTGATGCGAAGACAGAAGGCGACCGTCTGGTGCGACCGTGCGCAGGCCGAAGACCCTCGCGAGGCCCACCAGCGACGCGTTGCAAAGCAAAGAGCGATCCTGGAGGTTCAGGAAGGCGGTGGCTCCGGTCGAACAAATACACTGGCTAGCAGCGGCAAGATCAGACACAGTTCGGCGACGAAATCACTGCCGTTCAGTACAGGGACAATGGTGGGCACTGGCGTGCCATTGAGACTCAGTGCAAATGAAATTGGCAATGCGGACGATGACCTCGATAATCCGGATGGATCGGCTTACCATCGCCGTAACGGTAGCGGACGAAGTTCTGCCGCTAGCAATCGGATGACCGGCGGATATCGACCCAACCAACCTCGATTGAGCAGTGGCAGCGGCAGCGGCAGTGGCAGCACTCCCCCGAATGCCGAACCTCCCGAGCAACGCCTCGATATCCCGCACATCGTTGAAACCCCTGCTGCAGAGACCAAACCGGGATCGCCAAAAGACAAGGATACCGGTGGCACCCAGGACTCTTCCACGTCGGACAACCGCCCATCAACCGCACGATCCACCGAAAGCCAGCGAGAAGAGGACTTCGGAATGATCACGGATCTAGCGGCCCCGAGCGGAGCAGCTGCAGCAGCCCGAAGACATAAGGCGGCTGAGGAATTGAGACGTAGAGGAAGTGTTGACGACCGCACTACCACCATGAGTAGTGTTAGACTCTTCGTCGCTAATCCAGACCTCAGCGATTGAGCCCACCGTGGATGGAAGGGAGGCTCGTCGACAGGCTTCTTACAGGCGCAAGCGTCCCAGGCGGCCCTCTATTTGGCCATTGAAATCTGGCCATTCAACTACGTGTGTTCTTATTTCCACCTTCTATATGGACAGGGCGGGATTATTATCGGGTTCTCATTGTGAGCGGTGTTAATGGGGGTTTGATTTTTTTTTCTCATCTATTCGCATCCCTTCCATATAGAATCATTTTCATGGTTCTTTTTCAGCTGCAGTTCTGCCTTTTCCCTAGCATCGGCTCTGTTTACTCCGCACTCATTCCAAGCATCTTGTTTCCCCTAGTCGGTTTTTGGCACAAAAGCATGGGAAGGCATGGTTAGTGGGATCACCGCAATGATGGTGCAAGTGTCACAGTTCCAGGGACACAGCCTGCAGTTATTATCTTTATAATTAATACCAATATTAGTTAATATAAGTTACAATCAGCAGGAATATTCTGCAGCCACTCTGCCACTCTTTGTACACCGAAGGTGCCAGGAGGGGAATTGACTTTCCATTCATAGGGGCGAAGTTGGCGGAGTCCGCCTGGGTTCAACCTAGAAGAATGGGGGACACGCGCCAAGAGCCACGCTCACGCGTCTCTCCAGCCAAACCTTGTCATGGACGACCTGGCTCTCCAACCGCTTCAACCGTCGCGCAGCAGCAGCAGCCCTCGCCTCCATTCCTTTCCTTGCTGTGCTTGGTGACAATTTTTTGTTCGCTGCAGGTGTATTTACAGTTTGTCTTTTTGGTTTGAAGGCACTACAGCTCCCAGTTGTGCCTAAGGTGGACCTGTCATGACCCCTCTGCCCACGACACGACCCATCGAATACCCGTTAACGACCCATTCCTAACGGCCCGGACTCCCTGATATGACACAAGACCCTATTTATTTTGACGGTCTTTCTTTCGGTAAATTATACTCTTTGGAATTCTTGCGTGTTAAAGTCGAGAAGCGGGAAGCAATATGGATGTCGCAGTTCAACAAGAGGTTCTAGAACAGACACATGGCGTTCACCCGGCGTCCCCAAAGAAAAGGCCATTTGATGAACTAAATGGAACGATCCTCGGGTCCAATACCGAGTCACTTGCACCAAGCCCGGCTAGCATGTGTCAGACCCCAGACGACCATGCAGACACCCGGCGGCAAAAGAGAGATCCTTCACCATCCCCCTTGGAAAGCATGGCGTTAGCCCAACTGCATGCCACTGAATCACAATCCATCTCTGCACCGGTACCCCTTACGGTGAATATTTCATCTGGCCCCTCGTGCAATATACTATCGGAACCTGCTCCCTCTCCTCCTTCTCAGCCATCTCTCGTCCCAAATAAAAAGCGACGATTGTCACCTGCAAGCAAAGAAGCCAAGGCACAAGAAAAGGCAAGAAAAGAAGAGGCTCGAAAATTATGGGAGGAGGAGAAGAAACGAAAAGAGGAAGAGAAAGAAGAAGAAAAACGAAAGCGGGAAGAATTGAAGAAGAAGAAAGAAGAAGAAAAGGAACAAGAGAGAAGAAGACGAGAAGACGAGAAGAGAAAAAAGGATGAGGAAAAGGAGACAGAAAGGCGAAAGCGGGAGGAAAAGAAAAAGCAAAAGGAAGAAGAGAAACTAGCCCGCGAAGAAGAAAAGAAAAAGAAGGAGAGGGTATGTAGCTATGACAATCACAATCATGTTGATATTTGGTGTCTTGTGTTCGAGTTCTTTACACTGACCTATTCTGCAGTCTCAGATGAGGTTGAATGCATTTTTTGTGAAACCTATGGCGGCCACTATCAACAAAACATCGGCACCCGACACTTCGAATAAAAATAGCAGCAAGGAAGCTGCTCCAGCTGCCGGAAGCGAAGTCGATAATACGAAAGCGATCTCTGATTATGAGAATGAATTTCCTCCATTCTTCATCCATTCCCACATGCGGGTTGGCACCCCCCACCGTTTCGAACGAGACTCTGAGGCGCTGTTGCATGTCCGCGAGAAGCTAGATGTATATCTTAAAAATACCCACGATCCTTCGAATCTATCTCTAAGGCCATCCGAGCTCTTTAAGATGATTCCATATAAACGTCGCTTTGGCAAAATGGAAAGTCCCACTGTGAAGGAAATCGTCTCATCTATGAATGACTCCAATGATAGCAAAGGTGCTGTTATAGATCTTACGGCAGAAAAGGATGCTGGGACGGATGAATCAGCCCAAAGCATGCTCAAGAAGATCCCGATGAAGTTACTACACTTTAAAGAAGATGTGAGGCCGCCCTACCAGGGTACTTTTACGAAACGACTACCCGATAAGAGTGCTTTCAAACTTTGTCGAAATCCCTTTTCTAGGGCTATTCCAGATTTTAACTATGATTATGATTCCGAAGCAGAATGGGAGGAACCGGAGGAAGGCGAAGACCTTGACTCGGAAGGCGAGGAAGATGTTAGTGACGACGATGATGAGGATATGGATGACTTTTTGGACGACGGAGACGACGAGCTTAGCAAAAGGAAAATGATCGTGGGTGACTTGGAACCTGTTTGCACCGGAATCTGCTGGGCGCATGGCAATAAGGCGAACGAATATATGAATTCCTTTCGGATGGAGGTTTTATCGGGTATGTCAAGCCCCGGTGGATGTTGAATGAGTTGCTCACAATGCCTCTTAGAAACAGGTAGCCTGCCGATAGATCCTTTCTCTGATGCATATTGGAAGAAGCCGACATCGGCCCCTCAAAGCAACCTACGACCCGTGCTAAACGCGTCTACTCCTGGAAAAGCACCCGATTCCTCCAAACAAACATCAATGCAATCCAATAACGCATTTTTGACACCTGCGCTCAACCCTAGGCCTACTTCAGCTTTACCAGGAATGAATACCACTTCCAACGGCCCTGGAGCCGGGCTAAAACTAAAAGCTCACTTCCCGTCGGAACTCATTTCTGAGTTCAAACAGGCTGTTTCCGGCAGCGACCTAACGAAGGCAGGATTAATCGAAATTTTGAAAAAACGGTACGTACATTGTCCCAACTCTCACCCGAATTTATAGGACTAATTGATTCTCAGATTCCCCAAGGTGTCGAAAGAAGTTATTAGGGACACTCTCACAACCGTCGCCGTACGCCAGGGAAAGAAAGAAGCCGATAAAAGATGGATGTTGATATGAAAGCACCAGCTCTTCAATCCTTTTCCTACATCCGGCCGATCCAATCAGCCCCGCCTCTACGACAAAATGAAAGGCAAGGGGGGGGGAAAAAGGGGGGGCGGGGGGAGAGAGAAGAAAAGGCGGTAGTTCTGGGGGGAACAGAGCGTCACCTACCTGCTTCGACAGAATGACGCCGCGCTTCATCCTTGATGGATTAGATGTTCCCTAGAGCGGGATCGACAAGGTTATTCGCTACTCTCACATGCGACCGTTGTAAAGGTCCAGGAGAAACCGTCTTGGTCACGACTTGAGACGTACTAGATATAATTTATGTCAGATTATTGGCATCTTGTCAGTCCAAATATGTCAGTCAGCCGTATCCGGCTTCATGCATTTAACTACCAACTAAAGACTCAATGTCAGAATTAAAGTGTTTAATAAACGTCAATATATATATTTTATTGGGAGCTTTTAGTTTCGCTTCAATGCTCCGAGTTGGAGTTGGTTATCTATCAAGCATTCTTTATAAGGGCACTTGCGTGAATCGATCGCTAGTCTCCATTGACTTCTGCAACTACAGTTTCAATGGAATAATCCATGCTTGCAATGGTAAAAGTATGCTCTCCGTACCCATAACAGTCCGGACCGCAATTGGGTCTCCACATCTTTGTGCGAATGAAAGGGCACCGTGTCAACTAGCATGATTATCACGGGCCGATTGGCACGAGGGAGGAATAATTCTGAGAGTCGGGGTCAGCAAATCCACTTACGCTCTCGCTCAAGCCGTGCAACCGATATGAAGCGAATTTTGAAGGATTGATGTCCGCTAGAATATAAGATTCCGGTCCGCGAAAACCAAAGAGCGCTTGTTGCTCTCGAATATACTCTTGAAGACAGACCTGCGGAGGGTCTGGCTCCCAGTCCAATCGCATCGTATCACAAGCTCCAGTAGGGACATTACGGACATCATTAGTAACAGGGGATCTTGACCCATCGGTCGTGCACTTCCATAAATTTTCCAGGATCTCAGCAGCGTCACCACGTGCTGCAACAATCTCAGTGTTTTCGCTTGTTCGAATAAAATGCCAGGTATTCAGTCGATGAGAGCTGGAATGGTTGGGAAGGTCGACGCTCGGCAGCAGGTATGTGAAATGGCCAAGCACGTCTGTGAGACGCATCACAAAATTCGTAGAGTTTTGTCCACGTTTTGTCGGCTGTATATCTGAAGGCAACTCAAGGAAAGGGGGAGCTTTCCACTTGAGATTGCGCGTCTTAGAAAAAGAACGAGTTCATTGTGCAGAGACCCGTTATGATACGCCTGAGGGCATGCCTTCATAGAGGATGTTGCTCCAACGCAAATATCGGAATTGATCATGAGGGAACGGAGGTTTGGTCATGCAGGTAAACCGAGGGTGAGGTTGCCCGCGTCAAAGATGTCAATGAAATTTGAGCAGAGCCTCCCCAACCGCAAGCGGACATGCCGAAGATGAGGCATCACTCTGGCAAAATGTCCGCATAAATGCCCACCGTCTTGATACATTTCAATGCCCCCAGTATCGCGCTCGAGGTTAGTACAGGTCGGAGGGATAGCGTCTAAAAGGCGGACAAGGGCGTGGTAACTGAATGCGGCATCAATGTCGGCGTATTCACAGCTATAGAACTCAGCCGTAACCTCGCGAATGTCTATGTGCAGTGAAAAGGAAGCCAGGTCCTTGACGTCACGGGCAATGATTTCTGCCAATTTCGCGAGAATAGAGGTGAATCTCAACATTATACCGGACGAGGATCCCACAACGCGTGGATCCGGGGCCACCAGGCGCAGAGTCAATGATTTTATGGGCAAGGGAACTGGGATCCTCCGCCGAAACATACACACCACGAAGGGAAAAAGAGACACATTGGTCAACACCAAACAGTTGTACAGGAGACCCCGGGTTACAGAGTAATAGGGGCGACATACGCTAAGGCACGGCAGAAATTCCGCAGGAGTAGTTATCTCACGGAGTGCGGTGAATATCTTTTTGCAAAGTACAGCATCTGTAGCTACTCTCGACATTGGATCTGAAGGTAGCCATAGCAATCCGACTTCCATAGCTGCCAGGACGTAATCTTAGTACGAAAGGGGGATCAACTAGTTGAGTTGAATAGAGGAAAGACCTTGATTGGGAGCGGGAAGAGAATTTGCTTTGGATTGTTATGTATACACGAAGTATGTGTAAACAGGGGAATGATGGGAGAATGACGGGAAGACGCCATGTTGCTGTGTTTCGAATGAACAAACATAAACAGGAACAGAAGCAGTTGCAAG